GGGCGAAAGAAGTAGGGCGTGATTGATTGATGAGGATTGATGTAGGCTGATACTTTTCCTTCTTACTGACTCTCTTTTTGCTCGATTCGATCTCTTTGCAGCTTCGCCGTCTGGCTCGGTATGAAACGGCAGATGGACATCTGAAGTCCCCCTCCTCCTCCCGGACCTTTCTCAATGGCGAAGGCACTAGATGGGGGAGAGAAGGGGTCATAGCCCTCGGCGATTCCCTGCTCCTCTTGGTCTATCAAGCATGACATGACATGACAGGATACAGCCTATTCTGGCTGCTACCCCCCTTCTGTCCTCATACAGGCTCTGTTGCTCCTCCTCCGCAATGCGTCACCGTACCCCTCTTTAATTCGAATTTCATCGTAGACTAGACTAGACTGGATGAAGTCTCCACTTCATCGTCTTCTTCTTCTTCCTTCTTTCTCATCTTGCCTTTTCCTTTTCTTGTGCAATACTCCAAATATGTCCTCTGAGGAATGCAATACATTACAACATGAGACGCTATGAAGACAGTGTGATGCACCATTGGCCCTCCCCACTTTGACATGCTGCCAATACTCGTCCTGCTCAAGCACTACTCCGGGAGAGGGAAGCAAGCAGGCAAGAGTTGGTTGTTGAAGACATTTATTGTTGGATAGAAGTAGAGACACAGACTGAAAGACGATAGCACACCTTCTCTCTCTCCCTTTTTTCTCCCTTTCCCTACTTTCACTTTCACTTTCCTTCTCCCTCCTTTGGCTTTCCTTCCTTCCTTCCTGATTTTGATTTCCTTGTCCTTTCTTCTTACTTTTCTTCTCCCCCTGCGTGATCACCACCAGAACCTGCGAGTGAAGACCTCTGTGAACCAGCTTCCCAAGTTCCTCCGAGGGGCCAATCGACCCAGGGAAGCAGGCGTGACGGTAGCATCGCTACTGCTATCCGCATCCGCCTCGAATCCCGAGTCGAAGCCTGCGTCTACTTCCTCGGCTACAGGGACAGCTGCTTCGCGGCCCGCGCCGAGCGCCAAGTGGGCAGCGTCGACGTTGGCGGCAGTGACGGAGTCGACGTTGAAGCGTGAAGGGAAGGCCGAGTGCGATTCGATGCGCCAGTCCCAGAGGTAGAGGGGAGGGGGAGGGAGCTCGCCTGTGTGCTCTTCCGTGTGGGCACACTGCTCAGTGGGCTGCTCTGCTTCGTGCTGGTGCTGGTGCTCATGCTCGTCTTCAATGTGGAAGGGCTCGACGTCGGCATCATCCTCACCGAATTCGGCTTCGTTGGAGTAGACTGAACCAGAGGAGCTGGAATCTCCAGAGGAAGGTCCAGAGGAGAGTTCCACAGAGGAGGAGGAAGAAGACAAGGGCAGGTCTGCCTCGATGGTGGGGTCGAAAAGCACAAGGGTGCGCGCTACGACATCGTTTCTCTCCTCGACAGGCTTGGTCAAGGTAATGATGGGGATGGGAGTGTCGGTGCTCAGCGTGTCTGGCAGCTGGTGGTGGGTAGCAGCCTGTGCCTGTGCGCGCCCGACTCGACGCTGGCGCCTAATGGCAGGTCGTCGGATCAGATCTCCTCCTTCAGAGTAGACGTAGGACCAGGGCAGGGAAAGCTCCTCTGCGCGCTTGTTGAGTGCTTCGAGAACGTCGCCGTCGGAAGTGCATTTGCCAAGAGCAGGCTGGGGCTGGGGCTGGTTCTGAGGCTGCGCCTGGAGGGCATCCATGTTCTCGGTGCTGAGCTGTCGGCAGAGAAGTCCAAGGGGGGAGTCTTCGGGCAGGCTGTCCTGGCTCTCAAGGCGGTGTGGGCACTCTAGGTTCCTGGAGATGACCGAAGAGGTAGTAGGCAGCTTGTTCTGGTCACTGAAGTAGCCATGCTCGTCTTGCGTGGCAGAGGAGCTGGGGGAGTGAGGCATAGCAGGCATCGAGTGATCCTCATGCTGTGCCGGGAAGACGGTGCACTCGAAGCTAGCTACCAGGGACTCCTCGGAAACCTCGATAGGGGCGAGCACGGGAGGATTCTGGGCCGGATCCTGGGTAGCAGCCTGGCTGGTTCGCTTCTTCTTGCAGAGGAGCAGCACAGTGATGAACCGGAAAGTGCGAGCGAGTCGGCTTTTCTTCTTCTTCTGCTCTTCTTGTGGGACTCCATTTGGGGTGCAGTGCGACTCGATGGCACGCCCGAGTGTGATGGCATGCTCATGCTCGAGCTCGATGGTTTCCTGAGATGGAGGTGCTCGAGGCCGGAGGAGCTCGTCGGTGGCAGGTGCATTAGCATACATCCTCATGGCGTCGCACGGTTCCCTTTGCTGACAGAACCGAGCCAGAGCAAGGAGGTTTGGATCCATCTGCGTGGTGGTGGAAGTCATCTTGTGGGGATGAGGCTGCGGGTGAGGCAGAGGTAAGGCGGGTGTTGTTTGAAGGTTGGGTTAGGTAGGTGGGTCTTTGGACTTCAACAGCGGTAGTGATGCTGGTGAATGTTGAGGTTCGAAGGCAAGATACTCGAACGGCGGTCGTCTTTTGTATCTCACCGCCATTATGGTGTCTCAGTGGCTGACGGCACTGAAACACCCCTGGGCGCGTAGGCGGGGCGAATAGCTTCCGGCCCTCGCATTGCTTCCGATCATTGCAATGCTTCCGACTTGAAGTCCACAGAGCCTGTGCCTCCAGGATAGCTTCCGGATCGACTGATGCTTCCTGCTAGTGCAACACGATCATTGTAGCAGCCCGGATGCTAATGCTGCGAACAGTGACGTCCGGCTACGAGTGATCCCTCCGCTCGCGCGACGTGGTACGGGCGCAGAGGCGCAAAGACGCGGAGGCGAATCGCTGCCTCCGCGTACGGAAATGCTTCCGACGCGTCGTGTCTGAAACCCTTGGCTCCAGAGTCAGAAGAACCCATCGCTGCACCTGCGCTGAGGTAGGCAACAGCATCGTTCAGGCCTCTTGTTCGACTGCCTTGAGTTCCTCTTCCAGCTCTTTCCTCCGTTCCTCCAACTTGCTGATGTACTCCTCGTCAGAGATTTTTGCGACTCTCGGTATCGAGGAGAAGAACTTGCCGAAGAAAGTCTCGTTGTCCGCCTTCTCCTTGGGGAAAGAGTCGGTCTCCCTTTCCTTGAATGCAAAGCCTCGAATGAGGGGGCCATCTCTGACGCTGTCCCTTGCGCCGTTCTCCACTTGTTCGCGCTCCCTCTCCTCGCCCTTGGCAACCTGTCTCAGCCGCAAGACGTTGAGCTCGTTGCCCACTACTTGTCCAGAGAAGCAGATCGCGGCATACAGAGCTGTGGCTTGCGCGACTTGAGCACCCCGACCTGTAGCACGATGGTGGCAGGGCAATAGGCGCTCGGTCAGTTAAGTATGGCAGTGCCAAGATTTGTCACATCGCATCCAGCTTTGAATCTCACGTGTAATCAGCGCTGTGATCAGTCCGACGATCCCTCCAGCGAGGGGACTTGTGCCTAGGTCCTTGAAATGGGGCGACCGCCGCTGTCCTTCTGCTGGAGGTAGATAGGTCGCCCATAAAGGGTTGAGAATGTATTCTCTCACGGCTGCCCAGAGGTAAGGGAGCAAGAGATCGAATCAGCTTCTACCCAGCGGTGATCAACTCCGACTTCGCCATCAGACGCACCATAGAAAGGCCCTGCGAAGAGGAAGGTGGATCGAGCTCCCCTGACCGCGAGGAGAATGGGCGGGACGTTGGCCTCTGCCCTCATAATGCCTACGGCCGAGCCTAGAAGTCCACCTCCTGCTGTAAATGCGGCCGTGCGTGTGAGTACGACCAAAGCCGAGTCCTCCATGGAGGCATACAGGGATGAGTTGCTGGTACTTGCAGTCTGCCGACTCATGGGAGGAGCAGGCGCAGCTGTAGGTGGGGACTGCGAAGGTGGGCTGATCTTCGAAGGTCCAGGCTGGCTCTGATCGTCCTGGGGCGCAGCTCCCTTAGACGATGAAAAGAAGGACACCATGATTGCCTGAGCCTGAGCTTCTGACCTGGATGTCTTCCTGAGCAGATCTGAGTGTATGCGCCCTTGACGAATAGCAGTCCTTGATGATACTCTTCTCTTTTCGCCTGCGTCTTTGCTGCCTTGAGCTGCGAAGAGCATCGCTTTCTTCTGCCTTTGCTTCTGCTTTCTGCGCCTCGGCTCCCTTTCCGCTCTTGGCCCGCGTCTCTGCTCCACACTCGCTGAGCCAAGGGCACCGGGCGTCGCTCCCTCCCGATCCGGGGTCGCAGTAACCAACACCTCCCACCCCGTACATCCCATCCGCTACCGCTACCTCAGCCGCATCCTTTCCCCCTCGTCCCCCTCCATACACTCCTCCGTACCCACTCTATCCTCACAAAGAATGTCCTCTATCATCAACACCCTCTTCGGCACTCGCAAGACGCCCGCCGAGAAGCTCCGTCAGCATCAGCGCGCCCTACAGAAGGCACAGAGGGAGCTGGATCGCGAGAGGACCAAGCTGGAGCAGCAGGAGAAGAAGCTAGTGGCAGAGATTAGACAGAATGCAAAGCAGGGACAGATGGTGAGTGCTAGAGGAGATGGGGAGCATGACCAGGCGAGGTCACTGAGGAGTCCGGGGAGGCTCACACTATCTCTCCCCTTACCTCCTCTCCTCTCCTCTCCTCTCCTCTCGCTCGGCTCCCCCCATCCCAGTCCGCCTGCAAGATCCAAGCAAAGGATCTCGTAAGGACAAGAAAGCACATACAGAAATTCTACCAGATGAAAACACAGCTGCAGGCCGTCTCGCTCAGGATACAGACGCTGAGGAGTAATCAGCAGATGGGAGAGGCAATGAAGGGTGCTACAAAGGTGAGTACGGCTAGTCGAGCATGAGTGACAGTCGGCGACATCTCTCAGATGAGCTTAACCTCTTCCCATTACCCCCTTTTCGCCACTTGCGCATGCTACGATCAAAAGGCAATGGGCATGATGAATCGCTCAATGAATCTCCCACAGGTACAACGGATCATGCGTGAATTTGAGAGAGAGAGCGAGGTGATGGACATGAAGGAGGAGATGATGAGCGATGCCGTCGATCAGGCAATGGACGACGAGGCAGACGGGATCGGTGAGGAAGAAGAAGGAGATGCGATCCTCAAGGAGGTCTTGGATAGTATTGGTGTTGATCTGAGTCAGAGCGTGAGTAGGGAAGAGATCGTGATGAGGTCGAGAGCAAGCCTGGTGAAGCCCTTCCTTACCGTCCGCTTTCCTCACTTTGCCCTTTCTAGCTCGGCGAGGCACCCACAGCATCACTCAATGACCCTATAGCAGCTCCGCAGCGAGTCGCCATCGGCGAGGAGATGGGCGCCGGGTCTGGTCCCTCTGCTTCAAGCAAGCCTGGAGGAGGGCCAGGAGCACCCCCATCTGGCGGTGTACCAGCTCCTACATCACATCGACCGACGGGAAGTGTCGGTGGTGCTGGTGGGGGTGGAACGAGCGATGAAGATGCTTTGCAGGCTAGATTGGACATGCTGAGGAGGGATTGAGGAGGGCGGTATTACCTGTCGCTCTCACACTGGCTCGTTTGTTACAGACTGTCCGTTCATTGTCACGTTATGCTATACACATTGTTGAGAAGAAGCAGACTGGCCACACGTCTGTGAGTGAGAAGACCTCCCCTTACGTGACTCAGTCCACCTTCTCCACTACAGGAAGCGCCACACGCTCTCCCTCCCCCTGGTCCTCTTGAATTGTCCATACTTCAAACACGCAAAGTACATGCTCACCAGCACCACCCCCACTGAAGTCCAGTAAAGCCAGCCAAGCCCAACATGTGGTCTTGGGCGATTCCAGCCTCCTCCAGGTTTGTTCGGGTCGTCCAGTGTGGGCTTGGTACCCTTGAAGGGCAGGTGTGGAAGGATGAGAGAGACGATCTTGATTGCCCAGAAGTGCGCGCCGTAGAAGAAGAGGGGGTTGGTGCCGTATACCAGTAGTGGGTTGAGTGGAGAGGAGAGGCACGTGCCTACTCCTGCTAGGGGAGAGGTGGAGCTGGTGGAGAGGATGATGGAGAAGAGGTAGAGGAGGAGGAAGTTGCCTGCTAGAGAGAAGAAGGCGTATGCTGGTGATGGGGGATACTTGACGATGTAGAAGAAGGCCCTCCAGGAAGTGAGGTACTGATTAGCCGAGGCAGAGGATTGTGAGGCGTCGTGTTGTGTGTTGATACAGTCCGTGGAGAGATTGCCATACTGTAGCAGTCTGGTGGAGACGAAGAGGAGAGAAAAGAAGATAGTAAAGGCAAGATTGATGGTTGAGGCTCGGAAAGCAGTAGAGGTCTTGCGCGCTGGTGATAGAAGCATCCGACCATAGATCAGTCCGAAGATGGTAAAGGAGAGCCAGCCAACGGGAGGGAACACTGAAACGATGCCTAGGTCAAGGCAAGTGACTACAGAGCACGAGAAGGGAGTTGTTCAGCACCTGCAGTCTCGAGCACGGGTCATTACTCAATCTTTGACTTACCACTCTGGAAGAGAAGCCACCACAATGCGCTTCCCATAGACGAACAATGACCAGGGTCTGCGGTCAATGCCGCGAATGAAGCTTGTTCAGGCATAGACGAGAGACCCAGTATGGTCTCCACTGCCGGGGAGCCACCTATGGTCATTGGAGATACGGCCTTGTCACATTGACCTTCGTTGGGAGATGTCCAGACGTTCATCCACAGCACTACTGCGGAGAGTATCAGCAACAAGATGTTGACTATGCTGTGTGTCTTCATAGTCGAGGCCGACGGAGCGTCGTTGGACACGTGCTGCTGCACCTCTCCTTCTCGTTGCCGAGACGCCGACTGCTTCACCTGTCCATCCAAAGAGCTCCTCAAAGCAGGCTCCAGGTAGTAGATGATGCCCGTGTACAGCACACCGGCCAGGAAATAATCCAGAGCCAGAGCAGGGAGCACGATGTTGAATAGCCAGATGTGGGGGCCCATACTAATGATACTAGTGAGGTGGCACGAGAGAGTGTTCACGACGAGGATGGCGATGGCTCGTACTGCGTAGTGCTTGATCTGCTGCCAGGGTGACAACATCTGTTGCTTCCGCTGAGCGATCACGAAACGGATGGGGTCAGCCTGAGCTTCACTGGCATAGAGGGGAGTCCCATCCCATTGGCCATTTCCGAACTCACGCTTTCTGCAAAGTAGACCACTCCCATCCCCATCAACATAGCGAATCCGCCAGCACAAAGATGAGTGCTAGTTCTGAGAACGTACGGAAATGGATCACTAAATCTAGTAATGGGCGTGGTTGGACTCTCGCTGACAGTGCCGGTTCCGTGCGGGTAGGCCCCGAGATTAGCGGAAGTGTGATCCATGGCCATGAGCATCATGAGTATGCCCCGCACTAGATCGGGTGAGATTTGCCGAGTGGATGTCGAGGGAGTAGAGGGAGTCGAGAAGGAAGTCTCCTGCGTTGCGGGAGGCAGAAGCGGCGTCGCCTCCGTCGCAGGACGAGAAGGGGAGGACGGCCGTGCCATGATAATGATGGAGCTGGCTCCAAAGGAAAGTGGTAGCAATACTAAGGACCGACGTCGCTCCAAGAAGGCGATATAGCCTGACGAGCCAATAAAATACAAAGGAAAGACGTACGCTCAGTGGAGCGGTCCGGAAGAAACGATTTGCTTAGGCTAGACGCAGGTAGGCTCGTGCGTCTTCTGTGGCTTCTGCCTGTTCCTGGACCCGGGCGGACATAAGCCGGCCGCTAGTCTAGGCGAGCGGGGCCGAAGACGCACAAGGCACCACCCCGCACCTCGGCAGCAGCCAGGCAGGCACAGTACGTCGCCAAGGAAGGGTTTCCCATCGCCTGCGCTCTACACTCAGTGAAAGGCGCTCTCGTGCGAGACGAGGGCCGTATTGCGTCGCAAAGGGTGCGAATTCAGCAGTCGCAGTCGGCTAGACACTTGAGCGTACATCAAAGTTGACCTGTGCCTGAGCTAATGGCTTGCTGTTCCTCGTCCTCCGCTGACCGGCCAGGCGCCCCACACTCGACAAGTGGTACAACCTGAAAGGGTGGCTGAGCTGTGTACATCCTACATACGGAGAGAAACCTAATCGGGGACACTGCGCCAGCAGTCCGACGACTACACGCTGCGTCCTCCCACGGTCATCCCCACAAAGGCCCAGTCTCTGTCACGATGCATTGGTGTGTGGGTCTTCTGAGCGAGGGACATCGTCTCAGTCGTCGCTTCGGACTGAAGATTGGTCGAGGAAGATCACTCAAAGGGCCGGGTAGCTGAAGGTGTCCCTTCCTTGGTGGGGTGCATCGCGCCTGTGTCGCCTTGACGTGTGCCGAGCGGAGCTTGAGCGCTGTCTGCCTGGCGTTGGCCACTGCGAGACGCCGGCCTTCTTTCCGTTGGAGGGCCGCATAGGCTCGACTGCCTTTCCCCACCCACCCCCTTCCTTCCCCCGCCGCAATCGCAGCCTAGATCATCAGACTTTGCTGGCTAGACGTCCCTATCAAAAGGTGTACTCGCACTCCACTTGATACGTTCCTCGTAGTGTCTGTAGGCTTGCCCATGACGCGTTCCCCATCCCTTCTCTTGTCACCGTCATGTCCATGATGCCTCCCCCAGCGGGGTCCTCTCACGCGTACAATTCGTCGCCTTACCTGCAGCAACAGCAGCAACAGCAGCAGCAACAAGCCAGTGGACCTTCCAACTACCAACAGCATAATGCCAATGGCGTTGGACTAGGACTTTCGGCAAGTGCTCCCGTCGCTCCCGCTGGCGCGGGAGCACTGTTTCCAGGCGGCAGTACGACCCCGTCATCTGCGTCCGGACACTCCTTTCCTCAGTCGACACCGGCGGTCCCACCTGCTGCCGCCAATCTAGGCTCGCTCTATCCTCCCGGAGCCTCTATACTGAGGTTGATGCAGCTGTACGATGCCATGGTAGGCAAAGGAGTGAGTCCCAAGGCCGGCAGCTGAGAAGCACAGCAGATGCCGAGAAGCGATAGTGCAGGGTTGCTAGTATCCTCAGCTGACATACGCGACTCCCACAGGCTGTCAATGAGCTTGAGGTGAAACATCTTGAATACTGGCGTAGATTTGTACGGGAGTTCTTCGTCTCGGATGGCTACTTCAGGCAAGTGTTTTGGAATCCTCAAGCCGGGGAGCAACGGGCCTTTGGTGAGTGAGCCGAGAGACGGAGACTGGCAGCGACATTGCAGGCCGACAGTCAACGTCGAGATTTGCCCACTGATGCAGCGAACTCACTGTGTTCCCCGGTCTTCAGAGTTGCCCGTGCCTGCTCTGGCTCGCTACCTGCATACAATCTACCTCAGTGGCGTCGAAAGTCGTAACATGGTACTCTCACAAGCCAAGGAGTACCCTCCACACTCACTCAGATCCATACCCAACCCTCCCGAAACGAAGCGCGCGGTCAATGGACTTCCCAATGCTCGCACCACCCACTTCGTGCAAGTCAATCGAGCGAGAATGAGCTTAGAATACGAGACTGGCTGGATGGTAGTTCATTCTGGCCTGCTTCGAGCTGCACTCACTTCCGAGCCGGCAGCCGCTGGGACCTCCCTTGGAGGGGCGAGTCTGAAGTTTCAATTCGTAGATTTCCACATTACAGATCAAGAGAGCTTCGTGCCCAAGGCAAGAATATCGCGAAGCATCACAGAGCAACCGATCCCAGACGACATCGTAGCCAAGATAAGAGGCACTTCATCAGAGGCTTTCAAGAGGGATGTGAAGAGGGAGAAGAGGGATCGAGAGGAGAATCAACGGGGACTACCTCCCGGTAAAGGGGATGACGATAATGATCAACAAGATTCAGACGGTAGATTTGTCGTGCCCGTGGATCGGATGACGCTGCCAGAAGCGCCCGTCAACGAGTACGGGATCACATTGCGGGCGATGAGATGCTTAGAGGTGAGCAGGCCAGAGCGGCCGTGGCGCACGTCTGGAATGTATGCTGAACCTTCCTGCTCACCTTGACATCCCTTGTTGGCTTTCCAGATCACCGAGTCTGTATGTCAACTTCGGAGTCTGATGGACTATGCAGCGCAGCAAGACCTCGGTCCCTTGAGTGAGTATACTTTCGCAAGGCGGGACCCTTCAGTACTATGGGTACATCGAGCTGACTAATATGCCCCCCAATCCTCTCGTCAGACGCACTACACCGTTTGGCCGAAGACTTCCGCTCTGCTCAGAGCAATCGCTCTGGACTAGGCGTAAATGGCAGTACGACACACGCCAATGGCCAGGCAAGCTCAGACGAACTCAATCGTTCTGGCACCGGCCGCTCACCCAGGTCCACCTCAGGTTCAGGTGGAGTGGACACGTTGAACACCAGCCCTTCGTCTTCTGGCGGCGGCGGCAGCGGCGGCATCAACGCCGGCGGCGGCGGCGACTACGAAGGTGCGAATGGGGGAGCGCCAGGGTCCGGTCCGTTGCTGGCCTCCTTGAAGCGGCGGTCCAACAAGATGGATGCTGCAGGGTCGGAAGACCTCGGAGGAATGTCGAGCCCGGTTAAGAGGCCGAGGTGACTCGGAGGGCTTGGCATTCATGCCAGACTGGGTCAAAGTGGCCTAGGTCTGGTTTCCCTTCATTTCGCTCGCTGAATTGAGATACCCCTTCTATCGCAATGTGAACGATCCTCGACCTCGCTAGAAGCCAGTCGTACACCAGTCATTCTCACACTATCCCTTCTGTTTCATCGTCTTGCCCGAAAATTGCATCGCTGCTAACTATCCTAGACGCCGGCTTACCCGGACTTCCGGGACAAGCTGTACTATCTGGTTCGGATCTCTTGTTGTCATCCCTCTGACACCTCGTGCCACGTACCGATGATTGCTCCGCGCCGATTTCGCCGGGCAGTGTCGCCCGTAAGGCATCTATTCAGCAGGGTGCAGTTGATGCAGGGGCCGATGCCAGGTGCAGTGCGCAAATGTGCCGAAAGGGCCATGCAATATTCGGCAGGGCAGGGCAGGGGCAGCAAAGAGGCGTAGATGCGTAGATGCGCGACCTCGGCATCTTGGCTCTGGCTTCTTGTCCTCTTGAGTGTGTGTGTGTGTCTGTGTGGTTTGTGTCTGGGCGTCGAGTGATTGTTTCCCCTCCCCGGCCTCGATTTTCTTGGCTGTGTGGGTGTGGGAGCGAGCGAGCAAGGCCTGGTGCTCGGTCCTCGGCTTGGCACCGAGAGTCCGACGGGAGTCCGACGGGAGGCGCCAGTCTGGTCTCGGCAGGGTGTGCGGGTGAGGCCAATTTCCTCATCGAATGGATGATGCATGGAGAGGCAGGCAGGCCACGGAGGGAAGCATATACGCACCCACCCTTCGTCATATATATCGAAACGCTCCGGCCTCCATCCCTACATTAGCAGGTCTTCAGTCCTCCTCCTCATCCTCATCAACATCAGTTTCGTCCTCATCATACCCATCGAGCCTGTGTGACCATCCCCGAGTGGCGCATTCTTGGGCCTTTCCTCCGTGTCTCCTTGCTCTTTCCTCCATTTGTCAATCATCCTCGTCATTCTCTGTATTTCTTCACTCTCTCTTGGAAGCGTCTCTCTTTGACCTGACTCGCACTCACGGACACTATTTGTACAAGCTCCTATCCAACAAACGCTACGCAAGACATCACACGCGTTAGAGAGACCTGTTTCACTGCTGCTCGGATATCTCGGTCCTCACGCATATACGCCTACTCACCTTGGCTGGACCAGGTCTCTTATCGCCGTACGCGCTCACTGGCCGTGTCTGCAAGTCCTGCTAGGCTCAAGTCGTACTGCAAGACCGCCAGAGCTCGCTAGCTTGCCTCTGCCGTCATGAGTGTCTACGTTCCACCTGCCACCAACTCGGGCTCCTCTTGCTCGGGCTCATGTCAGACGGAAGATGACCTCAAGTATGCCTACATCGGCAATTACCTAGGTGCACACATGCTCTCCACTCCATCGCATCGATATGCCTATATCATGTGGTTCACAATAGTGGGCTTGCTCTTGCTTGGAAGTGCAATACACCATGCTGGAATTGGCGATCAGACGTGGGTGGGCGCGTACTGGACCAAATTCGCGCCAAAGGGTAGATTGATAAAGCTTGGCAAGAAACCTCAGCAGACTGTGCGGCAGGCGATAGCGACAAAGAGGTGGTCGAAGGAGGGCAAATCAGCAGCTGCAGCGGGTCCAAAGGGCCCCTCAAAGCCCGCGAAACGATACGTCTTCTCACTTCCCAGCTTCGGAAAGATCCTCCTCGTGGCTTGCATGGTGGCGATTCCCGTGGTACTCAGTCTAGTCGGCGCAGACTACATCAACCCAAACGAGTCAATGTTCAACATGGCTGCCAGTTGGCCCTCGCGGTCATCCGCTCCTATGAAATCAATAGCACGTCGAGATGTTCCTCAATGGGGAATTGGCAATTACGTGCCGCTCGACACGACCGTTGCATACTATAATCTGCCCTATCACACCTGGTGGACCTCGGGTGGTAGATTTGGCCTGATGACCAATGCTCTCACGCCATTTGTGGTGATTCTAGCACTCAAGCAGGTCCCCTGGGCAGTCATGTCCACAAAGCTCTTTGGAAGGTACGCCTTTGAGAAGATGTCATTCCTCCACAAGTGGGGTGGTAGGCTCGTCTGGGTGTTCGCTTCCGCCCATACCATAGCGTGGAGTGTACAGCTGAGGCTGGACGAGCGCAATGGAGAGGAGATCTGGGGTTTCATCTTCCTCTGGCCAAAGTTCAGGTGGGCTTTTGTCGCAATGGGCTTCTTGACGCTCCTCACAATCCTTTCCATAGGTCCCATTCGGACCCACTACTATGAGTGGTTCTACGTAGGCCACATCATCTGCGGGATTGGATTCATGGTCGCGACTGCACTGCATCACCCTCCTCTGGCTGGTTGGATGTGGGCCTCTCTCACATGGTGGGGCGCGGAACGAATCACCAGGGCTCTCAAGGTTGCTTACATCAATGGCATTGGCTTTGCTGGCCGGAAGCCCGAGGCGCAGTCCCTCTCCTCTGCACCCTCTTTGCAAGACGTCAGCATGGTCAAGGGCGGCTTTCCAGGGCCTCAGTACGGGCCCCCTCAGAACCAAGCCCAATTCAAGAATGTGTTCCCCGCCCCTCAGGAGTATGTTCCTCATCTGGCACAGGGTGGCCATCGCCATCGTGGAACAATAGACAGTACGGGCGGCCATACTCAATCCTCTGCCACTCTGTACGAACCCAGTGTCGCTTCCCACAATGGCCCTCATGGAATCCCAAAGGGTTCAAATGGCTACTCTCATCCATTGGACAAATCGAGCGCTCTTGAACAAGACTATATCCGGGCCGGTAATGCTGGTGCTCGAGCCACGCTTGGGCCTGGCGAGGAGGACGAGTGGGATCTGGACGAGGATGGAGACAAGGTCAGGAAGAGGCCCAGCCGGCGATACGGTCCTGTGAGCGAGCTTATCAAGGAGTATGCGGCTAGACCGATGTCGAATATTCAGGAAGACTCCGCGAGTCCGCACAAGTATGCCCATGGCGTCGATCCTCTCACCTCCAACATCTCGTCGTATGACGACAGCACGGATCTTGGTTCGAAGATGTACTACGATGATGTTCCGATGAGATCCATCGGTCATGGCCAACAAGACAGTATCGTTGGAGACTCGACGGCATACGACAGTGGGCCGGCAAGCTCAGCAGATCACTACGCCCATTCTCGTGATCACGGCGACAATGTCCGTCCGCAAGGTTTCGAGTTGTCGGACCAGACCTTTGCGCCACCGCCAAGTGGAACCTTGTTCCCCCCGCCGCTACCAGTTGCGCGGCCGGTGCGGCCAGCCTTGCCAGCAGATGTTGCTGCCATCATCAAACCTGGCTATGCCTTTGCTCAGGTGTTGCCTGGAAAGACGCTCAGGCTGACTTTGAGGACGCCAAATCGAATGTCGTGGCAGCCGGGGCAGTGGGTCTACCTAAACATCCCTGGCATCAGCGGATGGCAGTCTCATCCCTTCACGATCGCTTCTGCTCACGACGCCCATATGCCCGATGTCTCGAGCCGGAGAAAGAAGGGCGGACCTTCGGATCTGGAAGCTGGCGTGGTCAAGGTGAAAGGTGAAGAGAGGACCATGGTACTACTCATTCGTGCCCGCAAAGGCTTCACCCTGAAGCTGTGGGAGCACGTCAAGAAGCATCGCCATCGTCAGGTGACAGCTGCCGCTCAGCCTGGTCGCGGATCTGTTTCGGGAACACTGGGCAAGACTACCACCGGCGTTCATGTGCGAGCCATTGTTGATGGTGCGTACGGGTCTACGGAGCGCGTTCGCTGGGGTATCCATTCAACCATCCTACTGGTCTGTGGTGGCTCGGGAATCTCCTTTGGCATCTCAGTTCTGGAACATCTCTGTGCCTGCCTCAAAGAGGTCAATGAAACAGGGAAGACCAACCGAGGTGGAAAGAATTTCAGTGTGCAGAGGATCCGCTTCGTGTGGGTCTGCAGGGAGTTCTCGCATCTACAATGGGTGGCATCTGCTCTGCGCAGGTGTATTGAGATGATTCCGCCCAAGCAACTGCAGGTGGATCTCTACGTCACTCACATCAACAACCAGATGGCTCGCAGTGGAGGACCGCGTAATCAGCGCCCGAGTTTGGGAGTCCCTCAGACCTCTTCCTTCGGCGATCTACTCCATGCTGGTCAGGGTTCCTATGGCGGTTCTCAGATGCAGCTTTCGCAGACGGGACTCCACACGCCCAATGGATCTGGAACCGCTACTCCGTCTGGCGGTGAGCCAGAGGCATGGCGAGATGCTCAAGGCAACGTCTATCACCGTCCTGCGTACGTGGGTGGCAGGGAGGCCGAGGAGATGGAGATGGAGCCCAATGAGTTCACCGAGTTCGACGAGGACGACATGGTGGAGCCTGATGCGGACGAGATGGCCATCAATACGCGGATCAGAGACGAAGGTAAATTGCGCAGGGCTCACACCAAAAGGCTCACCTTGAAGCGCAAGGGTAGGCGAGCTAGTAAAGGTGGAAGCGAAGCAATGATCCCCGAAGTCTCCCATGATGCCGTGTTGGCCGCCAGGAACACCGCGGCCATGGCCGCTCAAGATGCAATGTACCACCGTGCCTCGACGGGTCACTCATTCCTGCAGAACCAGCCAGGTCAACAAGGTCGGTCAAGGCCGGATGCATCGCTTTATCCTATGAGTGGAAGCAGAAGACCACAGGCGCCGAGGGCGGATAGCTCCTTCCTTGCGCCTTACAATCAGGACTCTGGTATGCACACTCCCAACTCTGGCACGCACACACCCGATCCACTAGCGCCCGGATCCCGTCGCGGAAGCTTGCCTTCCAACGTCGGTCACGGCGGCGAGTGGTCTGACTCTGGAATACAGACGCCCTTCGGTCACAACGTCTATGACTCCTTTGCGAGAAGGAGCAGTGCACATCTCCTTGGCACCGAGAGCGAACATCACGGCGGTGCTTTGGGGCCAAGTGGAGGTGGTGAAGGTCTAGACAGCGCGATTGATCTGGACGAGGAGGAGGAGCAAGACCTGCGCATCATTGCCGAATTGGCACACATGGGTCATCCTCGTCTAGACCAGATCATCGGTGATGAGACCAAGTATGCTCAAGGTCGCACACTGGTAGCCAGTTGTGGACCGGGAAACTTGAGCAATCTCCTCCGAAGAATCGCTGTTAAGCATGTGGACCCGGCGAGGAGTAGGAAGGGGGACAAGAGGGGTGAGGTGAATCTTTGCATGGAGAGCTTTGAGTGGGGTGGATCGTAGTGCGGCTGCTCACCATTGAACGGGGCGGGCGATATGGGTGGATGAGCGGTGAGCACTTCAGCGAATGCGGTTTGCAGACATTGTGCTTCATCTCAAGACCATGTCATTGCACACTCTAGACAGCCCTCACATCATCCCTTGCCTCCCCTTCTTTATTTGTCTATTTGGTCAATCTGGCCCCACCTTTGTATGTAGCTGTATCGTCAATCCCCAGTTAAAGCATCCCCCTCTCTCATCTTCCATCTCTTCTGTTTCAACGCACACACACACACATATCATTGCAATACGGACAAGCACTTTTATTTCATCTTGATCTCACTTTCTTCGTCTGCTACTCTTGCTTGCCTCATGCGAGTGTGTGGGTGGGTGGGTGTCTTGTGTGAAGACTTACATCTGTGTCTCATCTCACTCCGTCTCATCGTGCCTTGTCTCATCTCATCTCGTCTCGTCTCGTCTCGTCTTCCATACCTCGCCTCGCCTATACGCCAGTGGGAATTCCCCCCCTCCCCCGTCCCTCTCTCTTGGCCGGACGGATGGACGGACGGACAGGTCTTAAAAAGTCCCCGAAGAAAGTGAGACAGGACACAGCGGGCGGCAGTCGGCAGTCGGCGTCTTTTAGCGCTTCGTGTTCAGCAAGAGTCGAGGTTCGAATGTCGAGTGTCGAGCTGCTGAGCGCCCCAATCCACTGGAGAAGCAACGTTGAGGGTAGGTCCTAGTGATGTCGTGCGTCGAGTTGCTTCGCTCGGCTTGTTTTGCCTGGCTGCGTTTTATTGTCTTGCCGATTGGCCGAGAGTTGCTTGGGGTTTCCTTGCTTCCTTGCTTGCTTGCTTGCTCCGTTCTCGTCTCTCGTCTGCCGTCGTCGGAGTTGCGTCGCCGTCCTTTGCCCTTTTGCCTTTGAGTTTTTTGGTTCTTGGTCCTAGCACGGGCCCGCACCCAACCAAGTGCCAAGATTGACAGCTTGCTTTGAGTGCTCAGCTCCAGCTCCAGCTGCAAGGATAGTAGGATTGCCCGGGCAAATCTGCCCGTTGCGATGCTATGCTATGCTATGTCATGCTATGTCATGTCATGTGCCGTTCCCTGCCGTGCCGTACGACGGATGCCATGCCATGTCTTGCCTCTGCTTCTTGTGCCAGCCTGTGCTCCGAGGGCGGAGGTAAGGTAGGTAGGTGGGTGGAAGCCGAAGCGCAGCGCAGCACAAATCCATACTACTGTACCGTGCGTCTCTGTCTCGCGCGTTGCCTTGCCTTTTGGCCGAAGCGTCAAAAGTTCGCGGCCTCTTCGGTCCGTACAGCCCAGCTTCGAGTGCGGTTGAGCGGTGGGGCATGCCTTTGCAAAGTTACAGTGACGGCAGCGGCGGCAGCAGCAGCAGCAGCAGCAGCAGCAGCAAGCACGACACTGAGAGAGGTATACTTCCGGCCGTAGACATAACCGACTGCTCCCTTTCCCTCTACTTGCAGTTGTTTGTGTCTCGGTGGGGTATGTGCAGTGCTTTGTCTGTCTGACACGCCCTTTTGTCTCCGACTGTCTGTGCGAGCGGTCCGTGTGCTACGGTTACTTTGATGCGGTTAGACGGTCCGCCCTAATGGCAGACTTCCTTGGGACTGTTGCTGTCTTTCAAAGCTTACACCTTCTTTCATCTTGACCTCTGACGTACCAAGACTATTGAAGCATTTGTTGGAACACCTTTCGTCGAGCTCTTGCGCGCCGAAAGTACCACCACTCTTGGATCATTGGGAACCACCACTACCGGGCCAGTCCAAGGAAATCAAGCAGGGAACAGCCCCTGAGGAATTACACACACAGCCCGAAGTTGTCCCTCAAAAGACTAAGCTCCGTCATCAACGTCAAAGTAGGCTTGCAGAGCTCTGCTTTGGATTGGCTGCTGAGCCGCCTTGTTCTCTCTCTCTATCTTTAGGTCGCAAGCGAAGCAGGGCCATCTCCTTCCGCTTCCTTGGGCCGAGCCCTTTCAGCCCGGCGTCGTCTGATGCCGTCGCGCTTCTCCGAAGGCACACACGCACAAGCACACACACGCACACCACCCACGCCCCGCCCACGAACGGAAAGGAATCCACCCCGGCAGCAATCCAGCGAGGTCAGGAGCTCGATCCCCTTCCCTTGGCCCGCCCTAGCTACCCTCCTCACATTAAAACTCACCACCATCCCTACTACATAAGGCTCACAGGTGATTCACTGTAGCTGGCCAGAGCGGAATCACCATTGCATCCCCCCTCTCACCAGCAGAGGACAACGACAATTCCCAGCTGGCTTGTGCCCCCTCGAACAAGGCGCGGAAAGCTTGAGCCTTTCATCTCCGGGCAAGTCAAGTCACATCACATCTCAGCATCTCACACATACTTCCAGTGCTCTATCCGATAGACGAAGATGGCAGCAGCTACAGCCGCGACTCTGGGTGCGCCAAGCAATGGTCGCGATCAAAGCTTGCTTTCATCCTCCATCTCATCGGTGTCATCTGGCTCCTCCTCCTCGACACTTTCGCGCACAACGCGATCACCATTGCCAGACCTCGCCTCTCTGCCGACCAACTTTATAGACCATCTCCTCCTCATTACACAAACTCTTGTACACAGTACACCTCCTCCCTCGCTCAAGTCGACTTATGCCGCTGAAAGCTCCTCGAGCGACTACAATGGCAGCACTTCAGCTACCAACGGCCATGATCGAAGCAACTCAGCCGTCTCTGCCTCTTCAGTCTCCTCTACCTCTTCCTCTTCCACTGCGCTACCATCGCACCCTAGTGGAGCAGCAAACGCTTCTCAAGGCTCTTCGGAAGCTACAGTGACTCTCCCACTGCCTCGCTTTCACTACGAGGGAGGGGACAAGCGGACAGACCAGATCGAAGCCGATATCGGGCGCCTGGTAGAGCGGCTATGGCGATCGGAAAACCAACTGCAGGCCATTGCTCGCGCTGATCCTGCTGCCTACGAGAGGTCTCTCTCCCCTTCCAGCGGCGTCTTGCCTTCGTCTCCAGCATCCCGCTCTCCCATCCTTCAGGGCAGCAGCGCAGTCTCCGTCAAGGATACCTCTCGGCGCGCCAGCCTCACCTCCTTCCCCTACCCGATCTCTCAGGATCATCCGCAAAGCTCCTCGTACCCTCTTTCCTATCCACTGGCGATGGGCACAGATGGACCGATGATTCTCACACCCGAGCAGCCAGATGCAGGACCCGAGAGCGTCATTAGGGCTATTGAGCGGAACGCTGAGGAGACGGGGCTTAGCGCAGAGGAGGAGCTGAGGCTGCTTAAGGCTCAGGTGCAAGACATTGCCCGAGTCTGCAAGGCTGTAGCTTTCGGAGACCTTTCACAGCACATCCTGGTGCCAGTACAAGGTCCCGTCATGGTAGAGCTCAAAGACATCATCAATCAGATGGTGGATCGTCTGTCCAACTTTGCTACTGAAGTCACTCGTGTATCGCTAGAGGTCGGCACAGAGGGTAAGCTTGGCGGTCAGGTAGAAGTAGAGGGCGTAGAGGGGAGGTGGAAGGAGCTCAAGGACGTCGTCAATCGTCTGGCTGCCAACCTCACATCCCAAGTCAGAGGAGTTGCCTTGGTCACAAAGGTGAGCTTGCGGTCGCGGGTTAGATCTGAGAGAGCCGAAAGATGAGTTTGCTTAGTTTCCGCCGTCCCTTTCTACTTCCAACAGGCCGTTGCCCGTGGTGATTTGTCCAAGAAGATTGACGTTGAAGCAGATGGAGAGGTCCTGGACCTCAAGCTGACCATCAACGTCATGGTCGACCAGCTCCGCAAATTCGCCGATGAAGTCACAAGAGTATCCCGCGAAGTCGGCTCTAGAGGTCAACTAGGAGGTCAAGCCAACGTGCCTGGAGTTCAGGGTGTCTGGGAAGAGTTGACCATCAATGTCAACCGGATGTGTCTGAACTTGACCGAGCAAGTGCGGGGAGTCGCCCTGGTTACCACTGCGGTTGCGAAGGGTGACTTGACCAAGACCATCGACATCGAGGCCGAAGGAGAGATGGCAGAGCTGAAGGATACCGTCAACCGGATGGTGCATCAACTGAGGATCTTTGCTAGCGAGGTCGTCAGGATGTCCATGGAGGTCGGAACCTACGGCAAGCTCGGTGGACAAGCTCATGTGCCCAACGTCGAAGGCACATGGAAGGACCTCACCGAAAACGTGAACAAGATGGCCGACAATCTCACCTCTCAAGTGCGAGAGATTGCAAGGGTGACCAAATGCGTCGCCGAGGGCGTCTTGACCGAGTTCATCGAAGTCGATGTCAAGGGCGAGATCCTTGAGCTGAAACTCACTGTCAACAACATGGTGAGGCAATTGCGCTGCCTGTCTGACGAGATCATTCGAGTCTCGGTCGAGGTCGGAACACAGGGAAAGCTTGGCGGTCAAGCCAATGTTGAAGACGTCAAGGGCCAATGGCAAGTCTTGACGGAGCAGGTCAACATGATGGCCAGCAATTTGACAACTCAGGTCAGGAGTATTGCCACTGTCACCACTGCCGTCGCCAAGGGAGACTTGTCCAAGACGATCAATGTTGAAGTCAGTGGAGAGTTCTTGGACCTGAAGCTCACCGTCAACAACATGGTGGAGTCTCTCCGGACGTTCTCCACCGAAGTCACTCGAGTAGCCAAGGAGGTCGGAACAGAGGGCAAGCTGGGCGGGCGGGCCACTGTCCTCAACGTCGGCGGGACGTGGAAGGACCTGACTGACTCGGTCAACACGATGGCAGCCAATTTGACCCTGCAGGTCAGAACTATTGCGCATGCCACGACGGCCGTTGCTCGCGGTGATCTGTCTCAGAAGGTGACCATTGAGGTCAGAGGAGAGATCCTCGACCTGGTAGACACCATCAACAACATGATTGACCAGCTCTCCTTCTTCGCCTCGGAAGTGACTCGAGTCGCCCGCGAGGTCGGCACAGAGGGCAAGCTGGGCACACAAGCCCAGAAGAAGGACATCCGTGGCAAGTGGGGCGAGATTACCGACAATGTCAACATCATGGCCAACAACCTCACGTCGCAAGTGCGAGCCTTTGCTCAGATCACAGCCGCTGCTACCGACGGCGACTTCTCCCGCTTCGTCACAGTCGAGGCTTCGGGTGAGATGGACTCTCTCAAGACCAAGATCAACCAGATGGTGTACAGCTTGCGAGACTCGATTCAGAAGAATACGGCGGCAAGGGAGGCTGCTGAGCTGGCCAACCGGTCCAAGTCGGAATTCTTGGCGAACATGTCGCACGAGATTCGAACGCCCATGAACGGTATCATCGGTATGACTGCGCTCACACTGGAGACGGAACTTTCCCGTAGTCAGAGGGAGAACCTCGTGACGGTCTCATCGCTGGCGAGCAATCTATTGGCGATCATCGATGACATTCTAGACATCTCCAAGATCGAAGCCGGTAGAATGAATGTGGAAGAGGTCCCCTACTCGCTGCGAGGGATCGTCTTCTCCGTCCTCAAGACTTTGTCTGTACGAGCAACTCAGAAGAAGCTGAACCTCATGTACGAGGTGGCGCCTGATGTGCCTGACCCGCTTGTGGGAGATGCTTTGAGGCTCAAGCAGATCATCACCAACCTGATTGGTAACGCAGTCAAGTTCACCGACGCTGGAGGCCGTGTCGCCTTGAAGTGTACACTTGCAAAGATGATTTCCCCCTCAGAGGCCATGCTGGAATTCTGTGCTTCGGACTCTGGTATCGGTATCAAGCAGGACAAGCTCGACGTCATCTTCGACACCTTCTGCCAAGCGGATGGATCGACGACGAGGAAGTACGGTGGTACAGGTCTCGGTCTGTCCATCTCCAGACGTTTGGTGAACCTGATGGGCGGAGACCTCTGGGTGAGGTCAAACTTCGGTCACGGCTCCGACTTCTTCTTCACAATGGTTGTCAAGATCGATGACTTGGGCAAGGATCAGGTCTTGGACAAGATGCAGACCTTCGCTGGACGGAATATCTTCTACCTTGATACGCTGCGCGACTCGACGGGAGTCGAAAAGATGCTCATTGAGCTTGGTCTGCAGCCCTTCACGGTGCACAGCATTGAGGAGGCATTCCAGAAGAGCAAGGCGATGCCTAGAATCGACGCCATCATTGCAGACTCGCTCACCGTTGTGGAGGACCTGAGGACAGTGGAACATCTGAGGTACATCCCCATCAATTTGGTGTCGCCCTCGATGCTAACCCTCAACTTGACATACTGCCTGGATCACGGTATCTCTTCGTACATCAACACTCCCACCACACCGGCGGATCTGTCCTATGCACTATGGGCCTCCCTCGAGTCATCAGCAGCCATCATCTCCGAGGGCAACAAGGAAGAGGTGTACGATATCCTCCTTTGCGAGGACAATCGCGTGAACATCGTCATTGCTCGGCGCATGCTAGAGCGCGAAGGTCACAAGGTGCAGACCGTCTCGGACGGCAAGCAGGCCGTCGAGGCAGTCATGGCCCGGCGGTACGACGTCGTCTTGATGGACGTGAGCATGCCAGTGATGAGCGGCATCGAGGCTACCAAGAGTATCCGCATCTTTGAAGAGGAGACAAAGGCGGGTCGTACACCCATTATTGCTCTCACTGCCCACGCGATGAAGGGTGACAAGGAGAGGTGTCTGGCAAGTGGTATGGATGATTACTGCTCCAAGCCACTCAGGAAACTCGACTTGCTCACTGCAATCAGGCAGGCGACGATGAATCGGCGCAAAGGCGGCGGAGACGGTAGGGTCGTCGTCTACCCGCGGCCACAGCCAATGGTGCAATAGATGTTGAGCGACTAGCATAGGCACGACCCATCACTGCATTCGATGCGTTTTCTTCCAAGTCTCTGGTAAATTTTTGGCCCCCTTTCCATCCACACAAGTTCATCAAGTGATCAGCTCCTTCGTCTCCCGTCTCCCGTTTCCCTTTCTCCCCCTTTCTGCCAACAATTCTGAGACGCCTATAATCTTCCTCGCCATGTCCAACTTCTCTGTATCTTCTCATCTCCTCATACACTCGCGCTCCCAGTCCAACTCACATTCGAGGCACTGTAGATGGCAAACGACCCTCCCCCGCCTCCCCTTCTTCATCCCGACCGTGTCTTTCTCTTCAATTTTTCACCTCTGATAGTCTCCATTGTCTCATTCCTCTCAGTCGACTGTTACTTATCAATTGTACCTTTGTCTCTCACTCACACTCACACTCACACTCAAACTCTCAAGGCTGAAGCGGATCACTTGAGCCAACTTCTCTCATGTGTGCGCCTTATCGCAGGAAGGGTGAGATGAAGCTTACCTAATCTTTAACGGCCGGATCCTCCTCTCCCGTCAGAATTCGCCGAAGAAGGGCGGCGGGTTCGGGACCGGAATTGAAAAGCGCGGGAGTGGTCCGTGCGGAAGGGCTCGGTCACGCAAAGTTGATGAAAGATGGTGGAAGATGGAGGGGGCGGAAGGTGGAAGCGAGGTACAATGGAGGAGGAGTTGATGGTACCACGCACGAGGCTGGAGAGGTGCACCGAGCACGAGCTTTGAGTATGGAGAAGAGGAGAGGAGAAGGAAGACAGGAGTGAGAGGATTGACGAGTGCTGCCTGGCCGGGCGATTGGACGTCCCCTTTCTTCCGTACCATCATACCAGGTCCTGTTACTCCATCCCCTCACCCACCCTCAGCCAGCCACTATGCCTTCCACTACTGACTCCAGCTCCAACAACAGCAATCGCTACCTCCTCTACGCCTTCGCCATGGGCTGTTCAGGCCATCAATCCCCCGGCCTCTTCTCCCATCCTCAGGACAAGTCCCATCACTATAACCGTCTCACCTTCTGGACTGACCTTGCTCGCCTTCTCGAAAAGGGAAAGTTTGATGGACTTTTCCAGGCGGACGTGTTGGGGATTTATGATAGGTATGGTGGGACGGGAGAGGCGGCCGTTAGGAGTGGGGCGCAGGTGCCGTGAGTTGCGTCGTAGAGCTCGAGGTCATATCGGGCAAATTAGATCTGAGGTCTGAAGATGACTGCTGACACCTTCGCCGCTCTTCACAGTCTCATCGACCCCTCTTTGACCGTTCCAGCCATGGCTAGCGTCACACGTCACCTCTCCTTTGGTATTACAGCCACCACCTCCTACGAGCACCCCTACACTCTCGCGCGTCGCTTCTCCACCCTCGACCATCTCACCAACGGTCGCGTAGGCTGGAACGTCGTCACCGGCTACCTCGACAGTGCTGCTCGTCAGTATGGTGCTAGGAACCAAGAATTGCATGCTAGGAGATACGAGGTGGCAGATGAGTATATGGATGTGGTTTATAAACTTTGGGAAGGGAGTTGGGCAGAGGACGCTGTCAAGGTGGATGCTGAGAGGAAGGTGTTCACTGATCCGGAGAGGGTGAAGGAGATTAATCATGAAGGCGAGGTGAGCACGAGGGCCAAGAAGAAAGTTGAGCAAGCGTAAATCGGTTCTGACTCCACAGGTCGCTTTTCTCCTGTTTCTGCTGGCTCAGAACTACCAAGTGCCCGGCCCACACATCTGCGAGCCATCCCTGCAGCGCACCCCAGTGATCTTCCAAGCCGGCTCCTCCGGTCCGGGTCTAGCATTCGCAGGCAAGCACGCTGAAGTCGTCTTTATCGCTGCGCACAATGTGCAAGTAGCCAAAGGTCGCGTGCAAGCTGCTCGCCAGGCCGCAGCTGATGCAGGAAGAGACCCAAAGAGCCTCAAGGTCCTCGCCCTCCTTTGTCCCGTTGTGGGGAGGACGGACGCCGAGGCGCGGGAGAAGTACGACGACTATCTCGCACACGGCAGTGAAGAAGGTGCGCTTGCCCTCTTTGGCGGTTGGACTGGCCTCGACCTCAGTGGATATGCAGACGATGAGGAGCTGCGTACGGCGGGAGGCGCGGCGGCTGCGAACAGCAATGCCATCAAGTCTGCCATTGAGGGCTTTGCGCAGCAGGACCCTGGCGTGCAGAAATGGACCAAATCAGCCGTTGCCAATCTCATCAAGGTCGGTGGCTTGGGGCCCACGATCGTGGGTTCACCGGAGACGGTGGCTGATGAGCTGCAGGCTTGGGTGGATGAGGCGGGCGTGGATGGCTTCAATCTGGCCTATGCGATCGCGCCCGGTACCTTTGTGGACTTCATCGAGCTGGTAGTGCCCGTCTTGCAGGCGAGGGGAAAGGTCTGGGCGGACTACCCGGCCACGAAGGAGGGCGGGTGGGAAGGCTGGCCGGAGCAAAAGGTCCGTCCGGAGGAGGGTGAAGGGCGTCAGCCCCCTGCTGGATTCGGGAGCGATGAGATCCTTGGGTTGACCACGAGAGAGAAGATTTACGGAGTGGGGCAGAGACATCTCAGAGACGACCACTACGCCCGTCGCTTCACTTGGGCAAAAGGAGTCAAGGATCAGCCGGCTGCTGTCAGGGAGAATCGCGCTGCCGGGAAAGAGAATGGGACCAAGAAGAATGGCAGTGATCATGATGCAGAAGCAACGAATGGCTCTGCGGCCAAGAAGAGGAAAGTGTGATTTGCCAGCAATGAAGAGCGAGGTCACCGAATTTTTATTGCTCTACACCATTGTGATACCTGGTTTGTGCATAAGATTGAAAATGTTCCGTACAGAGACAAGAGGGAAATGCAAAGAAGAACGAAAGAGGAAGAAGGGTAGAGAAAAGGGGAGGAGTTCAACTAGTGACGCATGCCGCATCAGCTGGACGCGGCGCTTGCCTGCGACTGCAGAGCCTTGTCATTGGCCGAACCAACGATCTTGGTCGATGCTGAGGTTCCCAAGTCGATCTTCGGGATCGTAGTGCCGCAGATGACATTGCTGAGTGTGCCCGCGAAGGCCTTGCCCAGGAAGTCCAAGGCCGACGGGATTCCCAAGATTTCCGTGGTGATGTGCTCGCCGAGGAGGAAGATGACGCGACGGATGTCGGCTCCTTTTTTGCATTGCTCATCAACGTAGGCTTGTGAGCTGTTGAAGGGCACCAGCTCGTCGGTCAAAGCATGGTACATGAGAACGGGGTGTGTTGGCACAGGTACAGTGTACGATGCCTCGGCTTGGATGACCGTTTCAAGAGCGAGTGCCTTGCTGATGGGCGCAGCGCCCAAGAAGTCCTGCTTTGGCGAGACTAGGTCGAAGTAATTGACGTTGCTGAATTCGCTGCTGGTGACGGTGTTGACGCAAGTACCATCGGCGGTGAGCTTTGCAAAAGTGGCGTTTCCCTCGGCGGTGAGGATGGAGTCGAGGTAGGCCTTTGCCTCTGGATGGGCAGAGGCAAGACCCACGGCTCCCGCTCCGGCGAGGCCAGAAGCTCCGCCACCGTTGAGGAAGTAGAAGGTGTCCTTTGGCGACACGGGCGTACCTCCCAGACTTACTCCTACTACGTTGAGCTCCGGAGCGTACCCTGGAGCGAGCGAAGAAGCAAAGACACCGGCATTGGCACCTCCACTGTAACCGTACATTCCGATGCGCGTCTTGGAAGAGAGGGACTCTGCCTTGATGGCGGCCCGGATAGAGTCGAGGACAATGTGACCTGCGTTCCGGCCTGCAATGAAAGACGACGTAGGACTGCGAAAGAGGTTTTTGTCACGGTAGGAGGCGCGTCAGTCTTTGCTGCGTATCCTGCGCGCACCATTCGACTGTGACATTGGCCAGGCAACTCACCCCTCGTGATCAGGAATAACGACATAATAGCCTTGGTTGAGAGCCCAACCATTGACAATAGGCGCCTCGAGGTTTGCCAAGAGGGCCGCTTGACTTCCAGAGTTGGCCACGTATGCCCAGCTTGGTGAGCACGAGAAAGACACCGAGTCTTCAAAGTTCTGGAAGCTGAGCATGTTCGGCACTCCACCGGTGAGCGTCTTGGTTTTGGGCACCAGAACAGTAGTGATGGCTGCAATGGGCTCATCTTGGGAATTTTGACTGCGGAACTTGAGTTGGTAGGACTTGTAGAGGTTGGTTGAAGCACCTGTGAAGGTCGAGACGGTGGATCGCTGGGCGATGATCTGACCTAGCGAGTACGAGGAGATATTGTCTGGCTGTGAGTAGAAGGAGTCGACTAGGGGATCGGGGAAGCCAGAAACTGCGCGGTTGACTACGAGGGCGAGCGTGGATGAGGGCAGCACCAAAAGGGAACAGATAACGAGACTAAGCAGTTGCCCGAACATCATCGCAGTAGGTTGTGGAAAGATGGGACAGGGTGGGTATGATAGGGGGCGTGTGGAGCGACCACCTAGAGAGGCAATGAAGAACAGAAAGCCGAAAGGAGAATGAGCAACGCTAGGTGACTAGAATGGAGTGAAGAGAGATACCGACAAGAAATTGGCTACTAAACAGACCATTGAGGCACGCTTTATACCTGCGAGCAAGGCCCACCATCTACTCTACTCTACCTTGCCATAGCAAGATTCCGCGATGACCGCTCCTCTGATACCTCATCTAACTACCTCCGTCGGATCAAGACATTGCTCAGTAGCCGTCCACATTAAGCGAGACAGGAGGACGTGCCTACATGTCTTAACTTGTCATGGTACGATCCTGTTCCCCCTAATGAATAGCGCAATGATAGATCCTCTTTCACATCGCTTCTTCCTGCCGCCCTTATCCTCACGCACAGTCCCCTTGTGCCATTGCGTTCAAGAGCTCCGAGCGGGGGAACACCCAGCACCGACCGGCAACTGCTTCACTGGGATCCCGAGACCTGGTCCTTCTGTCCTTGGGGCTGACAGCTCGTCTCGTCTCGTCTCGTCAAGTCTAGCTCCGCCCAGTACTCTTCGTCTATCCCCGCGTCTGGCCAACAGTTCCGCTGCACCTCTTGCATGCACTCCCTCCCTCGCTCGCTTTGCCGCCTCGAGCACCACGGAGCAATTTCCGAACCCCACACCACCACCACCAACACACACACGGGCTCGCACGCAAGGATGAATTCCTGGGTGTGTGCACAGTGCAGCACGGGCTTTCGAGCGCGGGTCATTTACGGAATGTCTCAACTGTTCCAGTCGAGTCGAGTCTGTGCTGGACCCAGATCCGCAGGTCAGAATGGCGGCATGAGTCATGCGTGCATGCAGGAAGGCAAGGCAAGGCAGTTTGAAGCGAGGAGATCGCAAGAGCTTACAAGTTAGCCGGGGCGCAAGGGTGGGGGGAAAGGTGGAAGCGAGAGGGGTGAGAGCAGAGCGGAGCGCTCGGAGCTACAGGACGAAGCGAGCGTAGATGAGCAAGATGAGAGGGGGTTGGGATGACAGGTAATGGATTCCGGACGGCAGGCTTGCATGCTCGCCTGGCTCGGCCAATCATCATACGTACTGCCTTGCTTGCTTCCCTCCCTCAGGCTTCGCTCACATGCGAGGCTTGCCGCTCCCGCCTCTTTGTAGCTGGCGCCGTGCCATCAACTTGTCCCGCGGCGAGGGGCGGCGCAGCCACAGGGGCGACCTTAGGGGCCTCTTCCTCCCCCTGCCCCTGTCCCTCCCCCTCTTCTGACGTAGCCTGGGCCCTGCCAGCTTCTCCGTCCATCTCGTCCCCTGTGGTCGCGCCCAGGACCTCTTCGGTGATGAAGGCATGCCTCAGCAGCTCATCCGCCGTCGGCCTCTTCTCATGATCAATCTCAAACGTCTTTTCCAAGAAATCTACTGCCTCGGCCGAAATCTCCTCTGGTAAACTAGGCTTTGCACAGCTTCCAATTTTGAAGAGGGCTTGCATCTGATTGAGGTTAGGCCAAGGGTGCGTACCGCTCATCATTTCCACGACGAGACAGCCCAGAGACCAGATGTCAGCTTTGCGACTGTACGACGTTTGTTTCACCACTTCGGGAGCCATCCAGAAGACGGACCCTTGCAGGCTTGGACGATGTGCCCGGGCATTGGTGAGGAGGTCTGATTCGACTTTCTTGGAGATGCCAAAGTCGGAGATTTTGATGCAGGACTTGTTGTCCACGAGAATGTTGGCGCCCTTGATATCGCGATGCACAATGTCCTGCCCGTGAAGGAAGGAGAGACCATGCAGGATCTGTCGGACAAAGTTGCGGACAAGGGGTTCCTCAAAAGCGCCGTAATTTCTTAGAAGAGCGACGACACTTCCACCGGGAACGTACTCGAGGAAAATGTTCAAGTGCGTGCCGTCGGCGTAGCTGTCCAGGTACTGCACAATATTCTCATGCTGAATGGTCTTGAGCAATTCAATCTCCCCCTCGAGGGCATCTAGCATCCTCTTCTTCTTCTGGTCGTTCTGCGACTGTCCAGATGGCAGCTCCACCTGCTTTACAGCCATCAACAGACCATTCTTGGCATTCATGCCGAGGTAGACTGAGCCAAAGGAGCCTGCACCGATGAGAGCACCCTTGATCCACTTGATGGGCTGCTTGGACGCGCCACTCGAGGATGTCTTCTTTGTCATAGCCGCTTGGCCAGAGCTGGCACGAGATGCAGAACCAGCGCCGCCCACGGAGCGGCTACGGGCAACCCCATCGGCGGAGGTATCGCCAGCGATATCTTCTTTGACACTGGGAGCTTTCTGGTCCTCCTCGTCATCCTTCTCCTCATCCTCGTCCTCATCGGAGACGCTATCATCCTCGTCCGCTTCACCATAGTCGTCGAGCAGCGAAGACTCGCTGAGTGAGCCGCGTTCGCTATCCTCATCATCGTCCTGTTCCTCCCCTTCCTCGTCTTCGTCCTCTTCCTCGAGACTCGAAGACAGAGGAGGCCGCTGCATGTCCATGGCGGGGCTCGGCCTCTCTAACACCACACTAGCGGGAGCCGGACTCGATCCCTGAGCTCTCGAGCCAGAGAAAGCCGATGCAGCATCACCGTCCTCATCGCCACTGCCGCGCCGTTCCCGCAGGGAATCACCCTCCAGAGTGATTACGCTAGTCCTGTCACCGGCACTACGACTGTTTGTATCGCGCTTGCTCTTGGGTCTGCTGCCTGACCCGCCTCTCCTCGCCGCAGGCCGGATGGGGATGGGAACACCGTCTCCGTCTACCACGCAGGTATCATCTTCTACATCACCTGCAGCATCATTGAACGTCTGACTCAATCGCCTGCTCTCCACCTCTTGGGTAATCTCGTCAACAGTTAGCATCGAAGCAGCATCACTGCGATCATTGAGTGTGCTTGCAGGTCGATTCGAGGCGGACGACGAAGTGAAGCCACCACTCATGCTGCTCGGACCTCGAGCTGTGCGCAAGTGAGAACCATACGACTTGCGCGAGCGGGTAGACTCGAGGGAGACGCGAGCCGACGAGTGGTCAGAGGCTTGACGGACGTTCCGCGGACGGGATGCGTACTGCGTACCATCTGGGATCTCCAGACGAGAATTGCTCGCACCGCCGACACTCTGCTGGATGCTCTTGCTCCAGTCATCGAGCGAAGCGCCACTCACGACCGCTGGAAGGGTTGGGGCGTTAGTCACAGGAGGGGAGCTCATGCTCATTGCGTCCTTTGCTGCTCTTCTGAAGTCGCTCTCGTTGCCAGTCTTGGTAGGAAGTGGAGGAGGTATGCTGTCCTCACCTGTTGCGCCTCCTCTGAAGCTCCAAGTAGAGTCACGCTTACTACTCCTCAGACTTGTGCTTGCCCGCCCGTAGATGCTCTTCCTCGCCGTCCTCTCCAGAACTCTCTTTTCTGTAGCAGGGAAGAAATCGGCCAAATGATTCGAAATGAGTTCCGAAGGAGGACGCTGGCCCATGAAGTTTCTAGTCTTCCTCGGCAGTGCTATTAGCGAGCCTGAGCCAGCCTTGTGAGCAGTGTCCGTGCGACTCTCCCTATCTGAATTGGCCTCAGGCGGAGACCGCGCGCCACCCCGAGCTGACGAGCTTGCAGGAGAGCTTTGAGCGTTGCCAACGTTGTGACCGGCTGCAACCATTGCCATGAGGGCTCCAGCGCCAAGACCACTCATGATCGAGACTGTAGAAGCTCGGTTCATCTTCTTGCCAGCAGTGGTGACGTGACCCACTGTCGTACTAGAGCTATCCCCATCGGCAGGCGTGCCAGTTCCACTGCCCGTGTGGGCACCGGATTGAGCAGAGCTGGACGAGCTGTGGCCGTGACCGTGACCGTGGTGAAGAGTGTCGTGCATCCTTTCGCCAAAGAAGGCCTCGAGCTTGTTTCTGCCCGATCTTGCAATCCTTCGCGATGTGGAGTCAGTCGAGGAAGCGCCATTGGGGATCTTTCTCAGTACCAGACCACGTTCTCTCAAAGGATCATGCGTTTGCGGAGCGTGGCAGATGGCAAGGAGTTCTTCCGGCTTGAGCTCACGGGTCTGACCTTCGAGAGACACAGCAACGATGACGTACTTCTCAGCCTCCCCTGCAGCTCCTGCGTCGAAGGAGCCTTCGACAGCCGGACTATGGCCTTGAGGTGCTGGGTAGGTATTCGCGCTAGCGCTCTTTCCAAACTTCTTGAGGACTCTGGCAAGGACCTCGTGCGCATCAGTACAGTCCGAGACGTTGACAATCCTAGTAGTCCCATCATCGCCAATGAATTTGATCGTCTTTCTCCTGAGATCTTCAAGTGACGGATGATGGGCATTGTCGTGGCTCGAGAAGGTGGAATTAGGACCACGAAGGGTCGAGGAGGCTGCATTGCTAGATGAGGCTGTCGAGGCAGCATAGCTGTTGAAGCGCAGGGCTGAGCTGCTTCCGCCACGAACGGTGCCGCCTTGCCGGGCATTGCCGGCAGACGAAGTTGGAGTCGTCGGCGATTGCGTCAGACCTTCTGTGATGGGGGTGAGTGGTGATGCTGCTCCAGGGCCACCAGCATTGAGGGAGGTGTCTCCTCCGTACGGATTCCACCCTCCGCGAGCATGATTGTCGTACGCTGAATCGGCAGTGGCTGGTCGAATCTGCCTGCTTCCGAACGATCCACCGGTGGGACTTTGTGCAGAAGGCGAGCCGAAGTGATGAGCCAACCGAGCAACGTTGCCTTGCTGATGCTCTAGACCTCCCATAGTGTTGTATGGAGATCCATTGGACGGTCTTCCAGCGGGGGCTCCAAGACTGCCAAATTGGCGAGGGACAATGCCAGCCTCCACCGGTGTAGCCTGAGTCATCATGAAGCTAGGCAATGCGGAGTTGGTCTTGCGATGGGTGGGATGGCCAGAGGCGGTCGCTGCACTTGAATTGTCCAGCCTTCCTTCACCATTTCTCATGGACGGGGGCAAAGGGCTACGATTGGCACTGCTGGGACGCTCGACTGAGCTTCCGCTTCCTGAGCCTACCGTCCCAAGCCCTCGGTTCTGGGCGAAGCCAGGGATGGCTTGGCCATACGTTCCATTGCCCTGGGAACCATTGATATTGAAGGAGCCGTGCAAAGCGGGACTAGGATAGGTAGGAGTGGTGGGTACGTTACTAGTTGCAGATCCAGACAACCTCAGTGGTGGAGGTCTCGAGCTAGGGCGAGTTCGCCTCTCATCCTGAGTCCTTGGGCCGGCTGCCGCGGCCGCTGCTGCGCCATCGAGAGCCCCGAGGGCAGGGAGATATCCTCCGGTCTCCCGCTCCCCTACAGAGCCATTCAGGTACTCTATTTGGCCGTTTGGATCTTCATTGATGAAGGTGACCTGGTGAGGTCGGCTCAGGAAATCCATCAGGTTCTCATCCTCCTGGGCTTGTTCAGCCTGAAGCTGAGCACGATGAGCCGCTTCTGCTCTCTCCTGAGCTTGCAGCATCACATTGCGATTGACCTGCCCGCTCTCTATGCACCTCTTCTTGAGAGCCTTGATGGCAGCGAAGACTCGTATGCGGTCTCCCACAGCCACGATGCCCATTTCCCTCAGGGCATTCTGGTCCACATCAAGGAGGACTTGACCTGTGATGTCGTTTTGCGCAAAGGTCAAGGCGTGATGAGCGAGTCGATGAGAGGTGAGCCAAGCGGCTACATCGCCATCGTTCCACTTCTTGACGTCTTCCAGACTGATGGCAGTGCGGGAAGGCGAGTGTAGGCTGGTGAAGGAGGCGCTGGAAGAGCCGCGCTCGTACCGCCCGCTTGGTATCGGTCCTGCTGCTGTAACATGAACCCCCGCGCTCTTGGGCGTGGACGGGCGTGAGGTGAGCGGCGAGGCCATCGCAGACGATCTACGAGCGGACGGCGCAGATCGCGATGCGTTTCAGAAGATGCGATGGATGCCGAAGTCAGAACGGATCTACGCGTGGCCGGATCTGCAGGGACGATGGATGATCGGTGCCTTGATCTGGAGGGGCCGCGTACCCGTTCCTGAGCTGTACGCAGTCCCTTATGCTCTCCTCAGGTGAGGCAATCCTAGTATGAGGCGCCTCCAGTTACGATCATCAGGGCTCGGGGGAGGTATAGGCTTGGATGTAGAAAGAGGATGTGGGATGTTGGCTGGTCACCTCTTTCCAGAGAGTGAGAGATGAGGCGATCTCTGCCGTGCACAAGGCAGCTACTTGTGAGCCCTTTAAGGTGGGGAATATCAAGTCGCCACCCACCACAAGCAACGGTCGAGATCTTGGCACCAATGGCGAGCTCGGATGTGATGGATGAAATGACAAGGAAGGGTCGCGGAGGTGTTGGTTGTGGTGTGCATGGGACACAGGGCGGCCAATTCCTTTCTCCTGCTTCCGCCCCGATGCGCCCGCCGCACGCGGTGCCAGGCGTACGGATCACGACTTACCCAAGGGTCTGCGACGCAGCGGTGGGAATCTGCCTCACACTATCGAGACCCACAAACGAACAAATATTCTATCCATGTATGTCTGCTATCACTTCTCCTCGCCCTGACATGTCGTATGGCTCTTCGCCTCCCTCTCTCCCCTGCTTCGCGTCTCATCGCCGGGCTGCGTGAGGTGAGGCCATTTTCTGTCTTCTGTATTTTTGGGCCAGACGCGATTCTCCGACTTGGCGCTCGGGCCTCCGAGATTCCCACCCAGCAGGGAAGAGCGAGCGCGGGGTCGAGATCCGATGGGATGGGATGCGAATCCCGAAGATGGAACGAACGATGCAATGCAATCACTCCGGGATACCTTTTGCCAGATAGCGGATTTCTCACAGACGACCACGACGGTCACAGCAAGCGGTACATACTGAAGAGGGATAAGGGATTACCGATTCGATTGGCATATTGAGGCACAGACGCTCTGGACACTTGTACTTGCCACCATGTCAGACACCAAGGCACAAGCAGCAGCAGCCCCACGCTGTCCCCTTGGTTTCTCCGGCACGCCTCCAGAAGGACATCCCTCCATCCCTGGATTCTCTGACTCCACCTCCCGCTCCTCCTCAGGTCCACGCTCCGGGTCACGCCCAAGCCCAGCAACCTCCAAGCTCACCCTCTTCCTCGCTCTCATCCCCAAGAGTGCCGACCCGCGCAAGTGGACGACGCACCAAGTCTTCTTCGTGGAGGTCCTCTTCCTGCTGCTATGCGTTGTGCTGGCTGTGTATATGCCTAGGATCAAGGGTGCGACGGACGCCAGAGCCAAGGCACAGGTGCAGGGTCCGGGTGCTGGCGTGAAGGGGAAGAGGGAGTGAGCGCTCTTTCTGACCGACTGGTGGGCCGTACCAAGTGAAGGGGAGAGACTTCTTAAAGGAGTCCATCAAGCCTTCCATCTAACGAGTGTCAACATTCCCTACGAGCGACCTGTAATGGTCGTAGGTCTGACTGTGGCCCTGCTCCAATTCTCAAGACCGTCGACGTCTCATGACTACCCACTAAATCTTGTATATAGCAATCAACCCATCATCGACCCAGCCTGCGCCCGCGCTGATATCACGCCCCCTTCCCACACTCCTCATGAATGTACATCGTGGTATTATTGCTCAAGTGCTTCTACAGTGTCCAATGGCTTAATCGCCCGAAAGAGAAGACAGTTACAATAGCGTCGACCCCCTGCCCCTCAAGCTGAGATACGCCTGATCGATGCCAGGTCCAAACGTCTTGATCACCTCGTAGATTTCGGCAGAGTGATAGCGCAGTGACGTCTTGGGATCGGTGTACGGGGCCTGAAAGAGAGGGGAAGAAGGGAGATTGGAACACATGTTAGCGTAGATACACGTCTGTCAATCTAGAGACAGATCGCTGCACTCACGATTAGGCCGGTCACGTCGCAGTACTTCTTGGCTGGACGAAGGGAAGGAGGTGCCTCGACCGAGAGATCTGTCAGAGCGGCGAGGGAACACTAGAAGCGATCAGTCACCTGCTCGCACCAAGCCTGACCAGGTTCAAGCATCTCCTCATACTCACAAGTCGGCAGACTTCTCTTCCTCTTGCGCTCCTCCTCTTCCAGTCTCTGCTGTTCCAATTCTTCCTCCGTCGGCGTGATTGTGCTCGCATCGGCATCTCCCTCAGCCATGCTCTCATCCCCATCCCCGCTTCCTCCAGCCGTCAATTCGCCAGTAGGCGTAGCGGTTCCACTAATATCCTCCCCTGCCTCTTCCCTCGCAGCCTGTTCCGCCTCCTTCTTCAGCCGGTCTTCCCTTCGTCTAGCCTGCTTCGCCGCCGCCCCCTGCAACAATCGTCCATCCGCACTCATTACTCCCGCCTCCTTCTTTCCACCCGCACCTAGCTTACCGCCCTTTCTCCTCTTGCTTCCGGCTGCTCCACCAGCAGCTCCACCCAATTCAAATGCGGCTTCTTGCTCCAGAGCGATGATCTGCTTATAGTTGCGCTTACGGCCAGAGGCGGAAGTCGAGTAGGCGGGGACTCGCTTAAAGGGCTTGGGTGCGTCATGTTGGTTGTACATGGTCAGAAAGGCCATTGTGGATGGGCCTGGTGAGGCCGATGCGGATGTGCGTGACATGGTGAGCGACGGCAGAGGAAGATGATGGTGGTGATGGTTTAGAAAAGAGGAGGAAGCAGAGGCAGGAAGATCCCGATCTGTCCGAGGATGCTCGACTCCCGCCCGGGCCAAGCCAAGGCAGAGGCGAGGTGAGTGGGGCCAAAGCTCACGCGCGTGTTGGTCTCCTTGTCCGCACCTGTTCCTCCATCTTGCCCTTTCTCTGTACTCGACCCCCTCCCCCTCCTGGACTCGGTTGAAATGTCAAAGTTTTCCACCCTCCCAGACATCGACCTCACCTCGGTAGACGTCTACGAGACTGCCTCTTCTCCCGAGCTCAAGCCGAGCAAGGGCTCTCGCAGTACAGGAAGGATTGGCTCAGGAGCAGGGGGTAGAGATTCAGATGTCAGCACGGACGAGGACGAGGCAGATGGCGGGGCCGGCTCGCCTTCTCAGAGGCGGAGGCGAAGAGAAAGAAAAGCTGAAGAGGAAGATGGGAGAGGAGTGATCGACAAGAAGGGGATCGGGAGTGATGAGGCGAGAATGAGGTTCCAGGGTAGTACAGAGGTGCAACGAGGAGGTGAGTCCCTCTGCAGATGAGCCTATGCATACTCGGACCTACAAGAAGCTGATCCCTGGTCAAAACCAATGGGTCCCTTCAGAGTCCTCGCTTTCCCAGAGTCGGCGAAAGAAGGATACCACCTACATCGACTCGGACATCTATGAGCTGGAAGCTGCCAGCAACAGAGCTTCAGAGACCCCACTAGCACGTCTGAGACGGCTGCGCTTAGAGGCGGAGGAACTGGAGCAGCAGCTAGCAGCACAAGCAGAGACTGAGGCAAGCACGGATGGAGCAGCTGCCAATGGGACGACGGCGCAGCCTTCGCCGGAGGCCTTGCTGGCTCAGGTACGCGCTCTGAGGGTAGGACTGGGCAATCTCAATGGTGCCTCGGCTGATGGGAAAGACACAATGGCAGCCAGCAGAGTTGCAGATGCTCGGAGTCTATTGCAAGCTCTAGAGAACGGCTCCACTGTAAACCTAGATGCTCGCGCAGCAGACACAAAGGCTGCTCACAGCGGTGCAGCTACAGCAGCTGTCACTGGGTCTACGGCTCTTGCTGAAGTCGAGGAGCGCTTGGCTGCACTTGAGTCAATTGTGGGATCTAGTCAAGGTGTGCTCGAAGAGGTGAGTCAAGGCGTGTTGGAGTGCTGACGAGAAGGGTCATATGCTCACACAGGCTCCGAACACTCTTGTAACTCTCACTAGACTCAGTCGCTGCCTCGTCCCTTGCTCCCGACATTAGCTCGTCTGGAGCACCTCTCGACGCTGCTCAATCAGCCCCGGCACATTGACGCAATTTCAAAGCGAATCAAGATCTTGGTCTCAGAGCTGGACCGAGTCTACGAGTCGAGGAAGAAGCTTGCCGCGCTTCCTGGCAACCTCTCCTCGACTGTTGCTACGCTCAACGATGGCAAGAGCTCCAGCAAGGGCGGTGAAGACGCGGCCACCCCACTAGATCCCATCACTCTCTCGAAGTTGGACGATCTCTTCGCCCTCTCGTCTCGCGTACAGCCCCTGCTGCCCCTCGCGCCTAGCCTACTCGCAAGACTGCGCTCGCTATCATCTCTACACTCGTCAGCATCGCAATTCTCGTCTTCCCTCGACTCGCTCAAGACTTCTCAAGGCGAGCTCAAGAGTGGACAAGAAGAGGCGAAGAAGGCTCTGAGCAGCTTGGAGGAGAGCATGGCGGGAAATGCAGAGAGGGTAAAAGGCAACCTCGATGTGGTGATGAAGCGCATGGAGGATCTGGACAAGAGGCTCAAGGCCTTGTGAGAGAAGTCGTCGTCGTTCTGCAATGTCACACTTGATACCCATTCATGACTTTGTTGGTATTGCTGCTCGTATGGCATTGTAAAGCGTGTCCGCGGTCGCCCTTCATCGTTGCCGGCCCGCCGGCTTTGGCTTTTGCCTCCACCTCGGGTTGCCGCGTGTGGTCAGCCTGCGTGCCAGGACTCCTTCTTGGTCCATCCTCTATCCCGCCGTGCCTTCGAGACTTTGTAACCTGCATCGCTCCAGCACATCTTGGAGAGCTTCGATCGTCTTCGTTTCCTCATCCTCGCGTTCTACGCCTTCCATACCCGGCAACCTGACCGTGGTCAGCTCAGGGCAGTACCCATCCCACTGCTCGGAGAATTTTTCGGAGATCGGGCCGGGTCCTCATTGCCCGGCGAGCAGCCAGACTCGGGACCCCCTCGGCTTTCTTCACAAGTACGCCAGCATAGACCACTGATCCATAGATAGAGTTGGCATCTGAAGGCTCAGCCCTGCATCATCTGCGGTCATGTCTCGTCCGCCCTCTGGAAACCGCGGTACGAGCCAGAATGACGAGCGGCGCATTCCTCCCATTGCAACCTCCAACCATGGCTTCTCCAGCCCATCGGACCCTATCCACTCTCCCTACTTGATACACTCCTACCTTCAGAGCGGATCCCGACTCGAAGACGATGACAATCTAGCTGCAGCAGCTACCACGCCCTCTGGCTATATGCGCAACTCGACTACTCCCGCCGCCTCTACCTCTACTGCTAGCCCCTCTTCTTACTTTGAGTTCCACCAGGAGGCTCGATCCAGGAGCCGTCCTTCGGCTATGACCAGTCCCAACGGACCTGACTCTCGCTACGAGAGCTCCTCAGATGGCGCAACCATCTCGCGGCGCGGGTCGGGGAGTACAGAGGTGATGTCCAAGTCGTCTAAGCGCAGGCCGGGTCAGGGCAATACCGACCTGGCCGGCTCGGGCGGTGTCACCAGTTCTAGCAAGAGGCCTCCTCCTCCGCCTCCCTCTCATCGTGGCCCTCGCGGAGCGGCCGAGCCAGACAGCGGTGATGAACACCACGATTCTCAAGAGGAGGATGAGGAGGGTGATGCAGATGAGCATGCCAGAGTCTCCCGATCTCGAGCTGGCAGTGATGAGGACGAGACGGCTACTGTGCCCAGCAGTGGCTACTCTTCATACACCACTGGCTATTCTTCCAGCGATGAGGACGAAGACGAAGAAGACAAGGTCCGCTCTCTCACCCGGCAATTGGCCGAGACTGCTGTCGGGGTGAGGGAAATGTCCAAACAGCTGGGCAGGGCAAGGGTGAAGAGCAAGATCAACTCGGTATTGATCATCACGAAGGCAAGGGACAACGAGCTCATCAAGTTGACGAGGGAGATTGCACTGTGGCTGATGCTCACACCGAGAAACGGCCTGGATCGAGGAGTCGTCGTCTATGTCGACTCTCAGCTCAGGAATTCGAAGAGATTCGATGCAGCTGGTATTCAGAAGGAGCATCCCGAGCTGTTCCAGCCCGTATCGAGGGGAAGTCGAGAAGGCAATGGTGGCGGGCGAAGAAGGGAAAGCAGCACTGCTTCCACCAGCAGCCAGAGCTCTCAGAGCGGAGGCTATGGTGGTAATGGCAGTGGCAGTGGCAACGGCAACGGCACGAACAAGGACGTGGGCCAGCTACGATACTGGACAGCCGACATGTGCTCCAGATCGCCCCACCTCTTCGACTTTGTCGTTACCCTTGGCGGAGACGGCACCGTCCTCTTCTGCTCTTGGCTCTTCCAGCGCATCGTACCTCCCGTCCTGCCCTTTGCATTGGGCTCATTGGGATTCCTGACCAACTTCGACTTCAGCGACCATCAGCAAGTCATGAATTCTGCCATTGAGCAGGGTATACGCGTCAATCTAAGGATGCGTTTCACGGCTACAGTCTATCGTGCCAATTTGCCCTCGAGCGATGCCACTGTCGATCGGCAGCGCAGGCAGGCCATCAAGAGTGGTCGGACTGGCGAGATCATCATGCGCAACGTCAAAGAAGGAGGCTGGGACCGTATCGAAAGGCCTTGCGGTGCTCCCGGACCGGGTCCGAGCGGCATCAATGGCGACAACGTCTCACCAAAGAAGGACCGAGAAGTGATGTGCTTTTCGACTCGTCCTGTTGAGACTTTCGAGGTGCTCAACGATCTCGTCGTGGACAGAGGGCCGTCGCCATATGTCTCCTTACTCGAAGTCTTTGGAGACGAGCACCACATGACCACCGCTCAAGCCGATGGACTCTGTATCTCGACGCCTACTGGCTCTACTGCTTACTCCCTATCGGCCGGTGGGTCTCTTGTCCATCCTGAGATTCCGGCAATTCTCATCACTCCCATCTGCCCGCATACCCTGAGCTTCAGGCCAATGCTTCTGCCAGACTCGATGGAGCTTCGTATCGCCGTGCCTTACAACTCGCGCTCTACAGCCTGGGCCTCCTTCGATGGTAGAGGGAGAGTTGAACTCAAGCAGGGCGACCACATCAAGGTCACTGCAAGCCGATACCCCTTTCCCACAGTGTGCAACGAGACACAGAGTGTGGACTGGTTCAACAGTATCAGTCGTACCCTCAAGTGGAACGAGAGGCAAAGGCAAAAGAGCTTCGTCGTCGTCGAAGAGGGAAGGGAGAAGTCCTCCTCTTCGAAGAAGGATGGGGGCAAGAGGAACAAGAGAAGCAAGTCTAGGAAGAATACGGATAAAGATCTTGAGCAGGGACGAAAGGATGCAGAAGACGCTGCTAGCGGCGCTAACAATGCCGAGGAAGGCCAGAGCGCAGGAGCTGCTCATCCGCCGGCTGTAGTCGAAGAAAGCGAAGCTGTGCATCCAAAGGATATGGGCCAAGACGAGAAGATCGAGCGTGAGCAGGTCAGAAAGAATGCCGAGGGCAAGCTGGAATGCGCCCCCGAGGAGACGTCTCTCAGTGGACCTGCAAAGATTGCGTCGATCAGTAAGAACAAATCTGCCGATCCACAAGCCGGCTCCGCCCCTGACACACCGGACGAGAAGGTCGCCGACGACGACGAGGAGGCCGAGGATGATGACGACGACGATGACGATGATGACGATGACCAGCAAGAAGAAGCATTCGACATCGACGATTCATCCACTGTCGCAACAAGGGCCTCGAGTCCTCAACGGCAGCCCCCCGGACACGCTCTTTCTCACGATACTGGCCTCGGCTCTCGTCGAGCATCTCAATCTTCCGGTCGAAGGTCATCGTTGCATCACCAACACGGCCACCACCACCATGGTCACTCTTCCGCTCCTGGCTCGCACCGACCTTCCTTTGACGGACTCCACAGGCTTATGCCGTTCACCACCTCCGCCAGAGGCACAGACTCTGCTCCTCTGAGCAGGACGAACAGCGTTAGCGGCGGCCACTCGAGGGAGCGTTCGGGCAACAAGGCCACTTCGGCCACGACGAGCCTCGATACAAGCCCGACGAAGAAGCACGCCAGCTTTGAAACGCCGTCTAGCGGACGCGCGGGTGAAGCAAGCGCCGGAATCTCCTCTCCGCAAGCCTCTACGCTCCTCAATAGTCCGGACCGCTTTGCTGCGGGCCCGCCAGCACCTCCTCGCGCCCTCTCTCACAGACACTTTGCAGACGCCGACTTCCGCCTTGATGGTTCTGCTCCACACTCCGAGGACGAGGACGAAGAAGACCCGGATGGAGGCGCGCAGCAACAGAAGGGTAAGCAGAGGTCCAAGCGGCGCAGCAGTAGCTCAGCCCGCAGCGGGGGTGATGCAGCCAAGTCGAAGACCAGCACTGCAAAGTCAGCGGGCAAGGGAAAGGTAGAGCAGGAGAGGGAAGGCGTGGAGATCACCTCCAGAGGTCTTCGAGCGGCTGAAGACGCCGTAAAGGGCGCGGCGGAGATTCTGCATCGACAGCGCAGTGATAGTCGCGGAGAGCGGGAGACTGGACGTGACTCTGCAAGAGATTCCTCTAGCGCAAGACGCCAAGCTGGATCCGGAGCAGCGTCTGCATCTGCTTCGACCTCTCCCTCTTCGCGCAAAGGCGATAAGCACAGGAGAAATCGCAGCGGCACCGGAGCAAGTACCGCAAGCACGAGCGCAGCCACAGGCGCGAAGTCTTCATCCAGTCGTAGAAGTCGCAGAAGCGAAAATGCTGGCGAGGCTTCGAGTGGGGGTGGGGCTGTGCATGACAGGCGCAACAACGACTCTGTTGGTCCCGGCGGTGGCGCGGGCGGCGGCGGAGGAGGAGGAGGAGGGGAAGCAAGTAGTGCTAGCGGTGCATCTGGGGGTACTGCTCTGGTCGTGTATGGCGAGGATAGCAGTAGTGAGAGTGAGAGTGAATGAGGAGAGGGACGGAATCAAGAGAGAGGCGGGATGTAGCAAGTGGAATAGCAGAGGGCGGACTTGTATAATGCAAGGCAGTGTGCGGAACGTAGTATATTTGTTTGTCTCCTTCACTACGTCTTCATAGCGCCCAACAAGCATGTCACACCCCTAAGACTACATCGTCGCTTCGTCCATCTACAAGCCCGAACGCGCGGGAGGGGCTGGCGGGTGATACAGCTGACTGAAGGGCTCTCGCTTGCCGTCTGCTCCACGGGGCATCTGTAGCCAGTTGCGCTCGTCGAAGTGCGCCCGTGTGGGGTCACCCTCGATCATGTGGAAGGTGTAGATGTAGCGCTACGAAGACGAGAGAGAGAGAGAGCGGCATATCAGGGTGAGAAGGGCGTCGTGTGCGGCAGATCTACTGGTTCTTCTTGTTCTACAACGTAGCTACAGGTACTCACGCTCTTCTCGCTGAGGTTCTTCTTGCTCTGGTGCAGCACCGATCCATTGATCAGCACTAGCGACCCTGCCTCGCATTCCTCGAGCGTAGCACCCTCCTCGTCCCAGTCTGCCTCCTCATTCTGCTCCAGCGTGACGAAAGTTGTCCCACCCTCCTCTTCAGCAGCCTCTCTGCGCACAAAGCGAGCATTGATCCCCCGCGGTGTACCGTACTCGGCGGTAATCTCCTCGTCCTCCACAGGTCTCGGCGCGCTAGGCTTGGGCACTGAGTCTGCGCCTGTACCGTCCTTTGGCCATCGATGACTTCCCTTGAGGAAGCTCAGGCATCCATTCGTCCTCGTGCAGTCCTCCAAGGCGAACCAGAATCCCACCGCCGAGGGAGGATCCGTGTAGAGGAACGTCGAGTCATTGTGGTGCGGTACGGCTCCGCCGATCGAGGACTGCTTGCAGATGATCATGGACTGCAGTACGCGAGGATCTGCATGGACATTGAGAGAGCGTGCTAGGTTTTGCAGGGACGAGGAGAAGGAAAAGTCGTGGAAGTAGGGGTCGTGTAGATGGAGAGCTGCGGGTTGGAATGGAGGATAGAATGGTCGTATGAGCCGTGGCTCCGGTAGCGTAGCTCCTCTCCTGATCGCGCCAGCTACCACTCACCATGTCCGACCTTGTTCACGGCTCTACTCTTATCCCTATTGAGCTTCCCATCAGCTCCCACCGCCTCTTCCTCGAGGAAGAATCGCACCTTATCTCCGCTCTCGAGAAAATATCGATCCCCTACATGCTTCTTCTTCTCCTTCTGCCGTTGCTGCTCCTCCTTGTCCGCTACTGTGAGGTCTGCATCTTCTTCGTCTCCCCTGCCGGTGGAAAAGGTGGTGAGTGGGTGACCCTCGAGGGAGAAGGACTGCACGAGGTCCTTTGCCCGGGCTAGGAGGGCAGTGGGATCGAAGAAGCGCGGGAGGACGAGGTACCCCTCTCGGTGGAATTGCGCGAGCTGGGCGGGCGTGAGTGCCCCCGAGCTCGAAGATGAAGCAGAGGCAGAGGCAGACGTGGAATGAGACGTGGTGGCGGTGGGTGTCATGGTGGTGTCGAGGTGAAGCGGTGCGGTATGGTCTGGAGGGGATGGTAGTCTCAGCTCAAGACGGAAGTGGCGGGTACGGCGAGATACCGATTGTGGAGAGCGGGGAAAGATGCCGCGGCTAGTCGAGACTTCAGTGGCGCGTCAGGGTCAGACTAGTGACAGGCTTCAGACAGAAATGGAGTCTAGACGATGATAGCTTCAACAATCTTCTGGCTCTCAAAGTACAGGAGGTGATACAGTAACAAGGTGAAAAGGGTTTTGTGGGTCGTGGTAGGCCTGAGCACGTGGCGGGATCAAGGTTGATCGGCCAGACTCAAACAGGGGGAGTGCAGCCGAAGCTGGTAGCGGCCGCATTCTCAAAGGTGTCCTTGATAGCGGTACCACTACCGTACATTCCCAAGCAGGCCATAGTAAGCGATGCGAGGAACAGGATGATGTGGCCCCAGATCATCAGCTTCTCTTTCATGGTTCCGCCGAAGAGAGCCTTTGTCCATCTGGCGGGCGAGAGCCAGCTGGTGCTGCGCTGGGGAGTGCCACCGACAGTGTGCTTGCCATCGTCACGCATGGCGATGAGCTGCATGTCGAGAGCGGCCTTGAGGAGGAAGGGGAAAGTGTAGGAGAACTGCAGAATGCACACAGCCGCGATCAGACCCGAGATGGTCTGGATCTGCGGGATGGCGGCTCCTACAATGAAGGCCAGAGGCCAGAAGATGAAGTTGACGACCATCCAGAACATCCAGCCGCGCGGGGTCATAAGAGCAGGTCCTTTGCACCACCTCACGACGACGGTGTTGTAGCACAGCTTTTGGGCGATGTTGCCATACAGCAGAGCGGCGATCAGGCCAGTGATGATAGCAATGACGTTGCCGACGGTCTGTTCGGCATAGGGAGAGACACCGTAGTAGGCCAGGGACTGGGTGAATTGTCCTTGTTGTGACTGAGAGATTTGCGACAAAGCGGTTGTCAGCATGAGTGAGAAGCTGACTCGAGCCATGATCACATATCTTATACTCACGTAGACTACCATACCGAACATCATGTAGACGCCTCCGATGAGCAGCTGGGCGCAGCTCATAGCCTTCCAGAAGTCCCAAGGTCGGCGCATCTCACTGAGGAAATCAACGAAGATCATAGCTCCTCCGTATGCGAAGACCATGTTCATGATACCGTTGACACGGCTCTCCAGGGGGAGCGTGACGAATGCAGACGTCTCGACTGGCCCCTCAGGGGTGTTGTAAGATGCGAGAGCTGCCGCGTAGTTTGGGGCACTGGTCGAGACGAACCCGATGGTGATGAAGACGAGGGCGACATTGAGGAAGACGGCGGCATTGGCGAAGAAGCCGACACCTTTGAGACTTCGAATAGGGCTCAGGATCAACTGAACGATGAGGAAGATGACGATGGCGACGATGAAACAGAGAGTGCCATTGCCGTTGGGGCCAAGGACAATCTGTTCAAGACTCTGTGCATTGGAGAGGATGAGGGTTCCACAGTTGACGACCAGCTGAAAGGAGAGGTGTAAGGGGTTGGGCGTGTCAGCTTTCGGCCATATTAGAGCTCATAAAATTGCCCTCGCACCGGCCACATACCTGAACGATCATCAAAACGTCGTTGAAGATGCGCGCGTAAGGTCCGAGCACACGCAGCACAATACCACCGTAAGACTTGATCGGGTATCGGTCGCTGTCCAGTCGGAGGTACATGACACTGAGCAGGTTTCCAGCATACCAAGCAGCGATACCCAGGAAGAAGTAGCACAAGGCACCTGGAACGTATCCCACCTGCGAGAAAACGTATCCGGTGTTGAAAGGACCCAGAATATCGGTGGTGATGAGGTAGAAGGCACCGAGGGCAGTAACCTTTCGCAGCATTCGCCTAGAGTGGAGATCCTTGGCTACTGCATCATCCAGTTCAGTCTGACTTCCCTCAACATCACTTCCGCCGAGGGCCATGACCTTCTCCGAGGCGGGAAGCGCGTTCATGTGCGGCGTCGCAGGGCCCCACACGTACTTGAGCGGGCCCTTGAGGATCGACTCGCGCGGGGAGTAGCTGTCACCCTCGGGAACGATGTCATTGTTGTAGTACTGGGCGTCGGCGTAGGCCAGAACATCCTCCAGAGGGACGTTCTCAGAGTGGTGCTGAGAGACGCGATGGTCGAGAGAGGTGGTGCTGCCGGTCCCCTTGGCATCGCCGTGGTGAGACTTCTCTACAGCGGCATAACCCTCTGCGTCGCCCTGCTGGACAGTGTCGTCAATTGGAATACCCATCTTGAGGCGAGGCGTAGAATACAAAGGGAGGGAGAGATAAAAAGAGATGCCAATGCAAGGCACGAGGAGGAAGACGTGAGGGGGAATTATATATGAGGAAAGAGGTACAGTACAGTGCAGGGAGATAGTGCTATTTGTAATTTCCCCTCAGGCCTTCCCTTTCCACCCTACCAATGGAGAGCAGCACTTGGTGCCCGCCCGCCCCCTCACCCGAGATGTTCTGGCCAGCAGGCGGACCAAGGGAGTTGACCGGTGTCCTTACTGTCTCGTCCTGCTTTTCCAAGTGGTCGCGTGCCTTATCTCACCCCGCACGTCTATTTCATTCGGCAATGCTTCCCGCTCGCTCCGCCCAAGCCTTCGCTTATCTTCAACGACTCTTCCTCTCAGGTCGCGCCAGTCGCCACTCTCGCCAACGGTACACACGGCCTCGAGCGAGTACTCGCAACCAAGGTACGCTCCGGGGAGTGGCGGAAATGCCGACCCGCCGGCCATTGGGAGCAATGTTCGGACTGAAGATAGACGGCCGGCCGAGTATCCCGATCCCTTTTCATGCACGATGCCGAAACCGGCGGATCGCCCGACGTCTTGCCGCCGGGCGGAGTGCGAACATCTTTCTTTGCCCTCTTACCACATCAGAGGGCAATAGGGCGCCAGCTATGGTCAGCTGATCCTGACAGCTCTGGGACTCTGCAAGCTTCAGATGAAGTGGTGGTATACCACAGATGTCTACAAGGCACAAGGTGGCGCTCGCTTGAAGTAGTCTAGTGGGCTCTGGGAGGCTGCAGGCTACCATCGCGTGACGAATGTACTAAGCGAGGTCCGAGATGAAGGATCACATGGCGCGAGACAGCTTGCATTGCCCTGAAGCACTGTCTCGGTATCGTCCCACTCAAAGGGAAGCTACACGATCGGGATTCCTGGCACTCCTATCTCCGCATGAGCCTACTCCCTGCACCGACTCCCTCACAAGGCCAGTCTTCAAAGCGCCTTCGGCCCCTATCTCCTTGTGAGCTCAGGATCGAGCGGACTCCCACAGATTCCCGCGTCCCGTTCCCGCATCTTCGCTGCCAAACGCTCGGAGGTAGAGCTTCCTTCCAGGTCCAATCTCTCCACCGGCGGCATGCCCGGAGCTGTAGGAGTGCGAGATTGTCCCTGATGATCGGCACTCGCGGTGGCAGCTGCCGGACTCGGGAGGTGAGGCATTTTAGGTACCGCTTCTACGGGCGTGGTGGTGCTGCTGAGACTCATTGCTGCGAGGGGGTTCAGGGGAGCTTTACGCACGCTGGGGATACGCGACAGACGTAGAACCTCCTCGGCAGAAGGCGTCGCCGCCGCTGTTGCCGACCCAGCCACGCTCGGCTGCGTAGACGTCGGGGCGGACAAACCTGCCTTGCTTGCAGCGTCGCTACCTGCACTCGAAGCCACAGGCCAGCCATACACCTCTGCCACGAATTTGCCAACGTCGGCAGGCGGGATCCTGGCCTCACTCTTCTTGATAAAGGGATGCGTGAGCATCTTCTTTGGTCCGAGCCGCGTCTCTCCATTCTTATCGAGGCAGCGGTCGATGAAGTCGCGGAGTCCCCTGCTCCACTTGATCCCAGCCACGGGGTCGTCGTTGAGCTCCGGGGTGGGCATGGAGACGATGTAGCTCAGCAGGTCCACGGGACCCAAGGGCGGCTCGCCCTCTGCAGGAAAGGGAAAGCGATTGGACGCAATCTCGAGGATGGTGAGCCCGAGGGACCACACGTCCGACGTGATCGTGTACGGCAGCCCTTTGATACGCTCAGGTGCCATGTAGTAGCTTGTACCTGTGAATGTACCTGCAAGGGAATTGATGAGCTCCCCGGAGACTCCAAAGTCGCAGAGTTTGATCTGCCCTTCGCGAGTGATAACGATGTTGCTTGGCTTGATGTCTCGGTGGATAATGTGGCGGTCATGCAGATAATGCAGGCCTTTCAAGACGCTTTCTGCCACTCTTCCTAGGATCTTTTCCCCCGTCCTTCCATTCCTTGACTTGACACGTTTATAAATGACATCGAGTGAGCCAGCCTCGCAGTACTCCATACAGATCTCGATTGACTGCGAGTCGGAAGACAGAAAGGCGCCATAGTACTTGACGATGTAGGGAGAGTAGCAAGTCCTATTGAAGGAGAGCTCTCGTAGAATTTGACGATGGACAGAGGGATTTGGGGATGTGGGGATCGTCTGCAGAGGCGCATCGAGACGAGATGTCAAACGTTGAGTCATTCTTCTTACAGTGGCTCGGCTCGAATAGTGCTACTCACTTTGACTGCCATGACCAGACCAGTAGGCGCATGCCTTGCCTTTCTTACTTCACCGCTGGCTCCTTCGCCGAGTCTAGCTATCGTCTCAAGATTTCCTTTGAGAACCCAATCCTCTTCTTCTGCTGCTTCCTCCTGACCTTCCACCGCATCAGAAGCGGTTCGCAGGGGCAGACCCGTCTGACCATCACCATCTCTTTGGGAGCTGTGTCTATGTGAGCCTGCAGAAATGGAGCGCGTCATCTGTTCCTTGGACGAGGAGAGCTCATCGGTGGTACCAGAGAAAGAGGGTGTCCGTCTATCCCCGCAGGTCCCCTCTCCACCATGTCTCCTCGTACTACCAATCTCGCCCGCGGAAGTTCGTCTACCTCCAGAACCACTGCCACCATCACCGATGGCCCTCTTCAGGTCGTTTGTCCAAGCTTGATGATCCGTGAGTGGCCCGGCGGGCACGGTATCTGGGTATATGCTCGAAGCAGTGGATTGATAGGGCAGATGGCCTTCGTAAGCAGACTCGTCTTCCTGGGCCGGGTAGCCATATGCCGCGGAAGAAGATGTGGTGGGCATGACGAGCTGCAGAGGAGGCGCCTCGCTGCGTCCATCGCGAACGGAGCGTGCAGAAGAGGTGGTGATGAGAGTAGGGCGTTGTCGGGCAGGATTGCTTGGCCCTGCTTGCGCTGGATTGGTAGTCATGGGCTGATTCTGACCTTGTGTAATGCCGCCATCACCGTCAAAGGTTCGACTTGCCGAGGAAGAGGAGTCAGGCCGAGGTGGAATGGTGATCTTGGGCATGCCTTGCTTCTTTGGCTTGCGGGGAGGGATGATGGACGCCATCTCGGTCTTACGAGGTGTGGAGGTGAAGCTCAGACGTGGCTGTGGCTGCGATGAGGGATGAGCCAGCGACTAGTGGTGGGGTGGGTGACTCCAGCCTCTGTGAGATGGTAGCTGGTGTTGAGGTGTGAGTGATCGTCGTCGTCGTCGTCGTCGTCTTCTCCTTCTACTTCTTCTTCTTCTACCGGCGGCGAGGAACAGCAGAGCCAATCGTCTGAGCCTAGGAACAAGGGATCACCCTCGGCTGCACTCGCAGGCAGCAAACAGCCGGCGGCGGCGTGCCCCGCGCGGAAGTGGTCCATGCAGACGAAAGTCGTCCTTGGCACTACCAGAAAAGGCTCCGAGTCATACGAGTCATACCAAGGAGGGGAGCTCAGCGGATCGCCACCACACGGGTAGACGAAGAAGGAGGCTTGACGACCGATCCACCGCCATACTACAACGCGACATGCCAACAGAGCCACGCAAACGCAGCAAGAGTGTGGGTAGCCCAGTGCAAGCCTTCTATCAAAACGCCTGCTCCCAGGGCTACATGGGCGAGGTTGACTGGCCATCCGACGGCGGGACCTTGGAGGAGGCCAACCGAGAGCTGGAGCGGCTTGAAGGTCGCGAGAATGCTCAAATTGTCATACTAGGTCTTGTCAGAGGTGGAAGTGTTGCAGCTCGTGAGGACAGGGACCTGTGTTGCTCGCAAGGCGGTAAAATCACAGGTCAGATTCAGCTGCAGGGGTACCGCGGCCACCCAGCCACTCTCGATCAAGAGGATTGGGAAAAGGTATCACGGGTAGAGAAGGAGAACTTTATCGGCTTTAAGATGCTGGACAATCCTGAGAAGTGGGTCTTGACGTGGCAGCCAGGACTGTACACAGAAATCCACTGTGGTTTACCAGTCATGAGCAAACCACAAAAGCAGAGCGTGGGCGATCCTTCTCCGCCATGGTCTCTCCCGAAAGCGTCAATGTGACAATATCGGACTGCCGCAAAAATACATGCTGGATCGGCCACTGTGAACACAGTACGTGGGCCTTGCGATGGGGTGCCCGTTCAGTCAGAGACCTTTCGCCCGACTCAGCAATGTATATCGCCCTCACGAGCGTTACTCAATGTCATATCCGACCGTTGTTGAGCGATATGAGTGATTTAGTTATCTGGAAGATGACCGCCTACCATTTCAGTCTGTCTAGTATACTGCCCCACCAGCCATGATGCTACGACGCGATGGTGGTGCCGCCTCCACTTGGTCGGTGAAGTGTTGCTCTCTGCTTGCCGCGCCCAAAGAGCAACACGGGCCACAGCAAAAGTCTCGTACTCTCCTTGTATCCCTTCTTTTGCATGCCTTGTTGAGCTCTTCCACTTGTCTCTCGCCAGTCTCGTCGTACCATGTCTGCCTCTCCGTCAGACCTGACACAGGGAGCCCGCAAGCGTGCCAATGGCGCTGCCAGCCATACAGGGCAGTACGCGCCTCTAAGCGACGGAGCATCGGGCGCTCGCAGTCAGCCGGCTGCCCCAGCACCTCTGGCAGGCAAGATCCGCATCTTTGTCACGCTCGGCTTGCTCCTCTTGACCTTCTCGTCACTATCTGCGGGAAGGTTGAGAGATATCTTCGGCGGAACAACGCCTTGGTCAAAGGCTACACCGCCGTCGGGATCACACGCAAGCTCGTCCCTCTCCTCCTCTCCGGCTGCTGGTACACCTCCTGCCGACGGTGTTCCCACCTCGGAGGATGGGCTACCCTCTCTGCACCGCCGCGTGGTGGCGATCGCAGATATTCACGGCTCCCTCACCAACCTCCTGACCATCCTTTCCATGACCCACCTCATCACCCAATCCTCCTCCAGCAGCTCCAGTGCGACTTCCGACCCCTCGGTAGTTTGGTCTCCTCTGGGAGCGGACGACGTCCTCGTCTCTACGGGGGACAATGTCGATCGCGGAGACGACACGATTCAAATCTACAAGCTGTGGGAGAATCTTCGTGGCCAGGCTGGGGAGGAGAGGGTACGGACCTGTTTGGGCAACCACGAGGTGATGAACGCTCTAGGCGACTGGCGCTACGTCACTCCAGGGGACATCAAGTCCTTCGGTGGAGAGAAGGCGCGCAGACATGCCATGAGCTCGCAGGGCTGGGTAGGCCGCAATTGGCTAGATCACTACAATCTCTCTTACTCGGTCGATCTTCTCGATGCTGCCAAAGTGCGCGAGCTCCAAAGCTCCTCCTCGTCGTCGGTGAGAGAGAAGGGTATCCCTCCACTCCCCTCTTCATACGCTCCACCGCGAACAAACTTTGTGCACGGCGGCCTGCACCCAAGCTTCACCTCTCGTCACTCCCTCTCGGAGCTAAACGCCATCTCCCACTCCTTCCTAACAAAAGCCCTCGATGCAGCAGCTCAGGGTATCGAATTGCGCGGGTACTTACCCCCCGGCACAACACAGGAGGAGATGGCCATGTGGGGTGAGAAGGGTCCGTATTGGTATCGTGGCTACTCGTATGAAAAGGAAGTGGACGCCTGTCGCATTGCCAAGGAGGCAATGGAGGGATTGAAGGAGGGAGTGGGACAGATTGTCATGGGCCAGTGAGTACCCAAGTAGCCCAGAGCAACACTCCTAGCCATTTCGGCTGACCGGGTATTACCCCACGCTTCTCCCCTGCGCAGCACTCCAACCTTTGAACACTTCGTGCACCGCTGTCCCCCGCGGTACGAAGCCTCAACGCCCACGCGCCCTATCCCTCCCCTCTCTAGCCCGCCTCTCATCAATCTCATAGACACGGGCATCTCTCCAGCATACAGCGGTGTCCTCTCTTCGCTCGTATTCGAAACGTGGCTTCACCCCGAGAAGAAGCGGAACACCCCAGAGGAAGCGGCAGTGGAAGAAGAGGGTGAGGGGACGTGGGAGTGGGTAGAGAAGAGGACGATGCGTGCACTGTACAAGGAGCAGGGAAGCGCGCCGGGCAAGGGAGAGTGGGAGGATCTCGTCTTTGAAGGACGCAGAGTCATTGTGTAGAAGACGGCCGCCCGTCAAGCGAATGGACAGATGTAGATACAGTCGCCTTGCATATAAGCACATCACCGTCACGCTTCTATAGGATGTATGCATTGGCTGTTGCGCTCACAATCACTGAGGTCCAGGAGGTATCACCCCCTCAGCATCAATTTGCCTCTGCTCCTCCTCCGCCCCTAGCTGTCCCCCGGGTCTGCTCTGCGTCATTGCTTTATTCTGACTATCCCACAGATCTCTATAAAGTCCCCCTTCCTCCAGCAAATCCTCATGCCGACCTTGTTGCGCCACTTTGCCTCCAATGCCAAGGACGATGATCAAGTCTGCATCGGAGACGGTTCGTAGTCTGTGCGCTACAAAGATGGCTGTACGTTTACTCTGTAGGAGCGAGGCATTGAGGTCCTTCATCAATTCCGTCTCGGTGAAAGTATCGAGGGCAGAGGTGGCTTCATCGAGGAAGAGGATTTCGGGATCCTTGAGGAGTAGGCGGGCAATGGCCAGTCGTTGCTTCTCCCCACCTGAGATCATCAGACCGCGCTCGCCGACTTTTGTCTCGTACCCTTCGGGGAGGGAACGGAGGATGGTGTCGAGCTTGGCGCGACGAGCTGCCTCTTCGACTTCTGCATCGGTGGCGTCTAGACGTCCATACCTGATGTTGTGCCGGATATCGTCATTGAACAGCGGTGTGTCCTGCGGGACGACACCGATGGCTTTGCGAAGGGACACTAGCGAAACCTTCGTGATGTCTTGTCCATCAATGAGGATGCGGCCACTCTGTGGAGTGTAAAAGCGGAACAGCAGTCGGAAGATGGTGGATTTACCACATCCTGACGGGCCTACAAAGGCCGTCTTGAGCCCAGCTGGGATGGTGAAGCTGCAATTCTTGAAGATGGGTCGATCGGGATGGTAGCCGAAGGTAACGTTCTCAAAGACGATTTCACCGCCATTGGTCACCTGCAGATCGGGAGCGTTGGGGTCGTCTTTGACTGCCACGGGCACGTTTTCGAGGTTGAACATCGTCTCCATGTCGATCAGAGATTGACGCAACTCTCTATACACTGTGCCCAGGAAATTGAGAGGAAGAGAGAGCTGGAAGACCAGCTGGTTCACAAGGACAAGGTCACCGACCGTCATTGTCCCTGATCATTAGGAGAGGAACAGGCACGAGTGATGAGTGATCTTCTGATCCCGGCGCAGTTGACTTCCAACCTCCTTCCACCAGTGTACTCACCTGCCATGACTCCCTGGGCAGCCATGAACATCATCAGCGTCAGACTGCTCGAGAAGATGACGCTCTGACCGCTGTTGAGGGCGGAAAGACTCGTGGCAACTTTGACGCTGGCCTTTTCATACTCTTCCAGTGCCTTGTCGTATTTCTTGATCTCGTATGCCTCATTGTTAAAGTACTTTACCGCTTCGTAATTCAGCAGCGAGTCGACGCTCGTCGTCGCTCCTCTATTGTCGGCAGCGTTCGCTTCCTTACGGAAGCGCGTCCGCCAAGAGGTCGTCTTGATTGTGAACCAGGAGTAGCCTGCCATTGTGATGACGGTCACTGTTGCGAAAGTTGGACCACACTTGTAGGAGAGGATTCCACAGACCATGGAGATCTCGAGGGCAGTGGGGATGATGTGGAAGACAATCGAGGTAAGCAGGAAAGAGATACCCTTGGTTCCTCGATCGATGGCTCTTGTGAGACCACCCGTCTGGCGGGAGAGGTGCCACCCAAGGTCGAGACGCAGGAGGTGTGTAAAGACCGACCGCGCTACCCGTCGAATGGATCGTTGAGCAACGGACGCGAAGACGGCATTTCGCAGCTCAGAGAAGAGCGACGCTCCGATACGAGCCAGACCATCTGATGAAGTCACGAGAAGGAGAAGGAAGCCGGATCAGAAGGAAGAAATGCAGCTCGCAGCACTCGTATGGTCAGCTTACATCCGAGGATGGCCGAGCCAGCTATGACCCAAGCCGTGGCAGGGTTAGCCATGTCCAGTGGCTCTGCCAAGCCGCTGTTCAGATTGTCGATGATGCTCTTGAAGAAGAACGGAACTTGAACGTTGAGCAGCTGTGGAGATGTGAGAGGATCATGGTCAGCGCTACCGTTACTCGTCTGGCGTCTCTTCGGGCTCCGTTCTCCTGCTCACCTTTCCACCGATGAGGAGACTGAGCGCGAGGACTACCCTAATCTTTGCTCCCCTCTCATCTTTGGGCCAGATGTGGCCAATGAGTCTTTTGACTATCTTCCAATCCGTCTCTCGCTGTTGTTTCACCGTCTTGTCATCAAGTGTGGAGAGCTTGAGCGGATCCTCCCCGGAGTTGTCCTTCTTGGCAGCAGGAGACTTGGGAGTGGTGACTGCCTCTGCTGCTGCTCCTGCTGCTCCTGGCTCTTGCTTAGTACGCAATGTGGCTCCATCTGGCTTGCCGCCCTTCGATGATGCTGATTGAGAGACGGTGGAATGTGGGTCGTCTTGTTCTGCTAGCGAGCGGTATGATCTTGTGATTAGGTCTGGACGAGAGGGGATGTGGGAGGGGAGTGCGACATGCGCCGAGGCAGTGGTAGTCCTCGACTTGTGTTTCTTGTATATGCTTGCATTCGATGCAGATCTAAGTGGCTGTGTCGCTCTTGTCGTCGAGAAGGGACAGCGATGTGAAGTTGGGCATGACAAGAGTGGCCGGGTATGTTGCTGGTAACCGGAGAGGTAATGGTGTGACCGGGATGCTATGCGTGGTGCTGCGAGATTCAAGGAGCTGACAGCCAGCAGCGTCGATGCCACCATGACGCGGGCGACACCGAAGAAGAGAGGAGGAGGTTCCTGTAGCAACGATGGTCGATACGAAGGCGATGCTACCAGAGGTGACCAGCGCCCTCGACTGCGACCTTCTCTGGCCGCCGTTGGCCGCCCGCCTTTCCGCACGGCGGTCGAGCCACCCGGCCATTGCCTTGCGCAAGAAGCCGCCTGCACTCGGCCGGTTCAGCCCAGCCCAAGCCACGCGGACAAAGCCGGAACGGAAGCGTCATGCGCACGATCGACGGGAAGCCTGGACGCGAGGCAGGGACCAAGGAAGCACTCACTTCGCTCACCCACTCACTTCTTCCTATTCCCCCCACCATCACCGCCTGCAGGGGCTGATAGCATTGCAAGGCCATCACAGAGCGCGCAGTACTTGCCATGGCGTCGCCGTACGCTGCGGCGATCCCCTCGCCTCTGCCTGCCAACGACTACGCCGACTACCTCATCCACCACACCAACAACCTCGCTCTCCCAGGCATAGACACTGTCCCCTCGCTCCTCTCTCTCCTGTCCCTCTTCCCTTCTCCTTCCACACCCTCACCCACTTACCTGGCACTACGCTCGCCACTACCAGAGAAGATCGTCAGTGAGCTACGGAGATGCAGGGGCTACCTCAAGACAGAGTGGGAAGAGATTGCTACTGGCAGGATAAAGGCCCTCCTCTTCCTCGGCAGGGCAGCAGCCTGTAGGGATGCACAGGATCTCAATGGGGAGAGGGAAGAGCTGCACAGGGCATACGAAAGCTACGAAGCAGTAGTGGGAACATTCCTTCGCCAGCTCACCTCGCTGCCGCAGACGACTTCGGCTCGGCCATACCTCGCACTGCTGATCAAAGTGCTGCTAGACTTGCGGGCACTGGCCCTGCTCGCAGACAAGGTACTACAGACTGCTGCCACTTCGTCGGCTACTTCTGTCTTGGCACCTGGCAGCAGTCAGCCACAACCGCATCTCGAGGCGACGGCGAGACAGCTCAATAAGGCATTCACCGCCTGTGTGGCCGATCGCAATGCTGACATTGAGCTCAGTAGGAAATGGGCCACGTACAGGATCGTAGCCATCCTCTTCAGGACTTATTTCAAGGTAAGTGACAGGCGCAGGAAAGACTTCCTCACATCGTCCTCAGCTGACTCTCACCTCTCCTACTCTCCCTCCTCTGTTACTCCAGCTCAAGTCACTCCCTCTCTGTCGCAACATCCTTCGGGCCCTCTCAGCTTCAGCCGACCTCCCACCCCTCTCCGCATTCCCTCGAGCCGATCGCGTCACCTTCCGTTACTACACGGGCATGCTCCATTTCCTAGGTCAAGAATACCCAAAGGCCCTGACGGACCTCACCTACGCCTACGACAATTGTCATAGCGCTGCAAGGAACCAACAGGTACAGATCCTCCTCCCCTTGATCCCGCTGCAGCTCCTGCTGAGGGGTAGACTACCCAGTCCGCAACTCCTCGGGAGTGACAAGAGGCTACAAGCCCTCTATGCGCCCTTTTGCGATGCTATTCGCGGTGAAGCATCCTCCTCTGCCTCTTCCTCCTCCTCAACCGGTCCCTCCCTCTCCTCCTTCGAGGCGTACCTAGCCTCACCCCGCCTAGAGCGCATCCTCGTGCAAAAGGGACTCTACCTCGCCATCGAGGCCTTTCGTCCCATTTTACTACGCTGTGTCCTCAAGCGACTCTGGGTGGTGCGAGAAAAGGCGACAAGGCTCAGCTTTGAAGAAGTGTATAGGTCGCTCAAGTTTGCTGGGTGGAAGTCGTCATCTTCTGACTCCTCGTTTGGGTTAGAGGAGAACGGCAAGAGTGGAGCAAGTGGAGGAGATACTTTTGAGCAATCTGCACCGGAGATTGAGTGGCTCCTGGGAGGGCTGATTGCCAATGGCTACATGAAGGGCTATCTGAGTCATGAGCGTCGCATGCTCGTGCTGAGTAACACGAATGCCTTCCCCCCGCTGAGGGATGTTGCGCTGGGACCGGGGGCGGGGGGAATTGTTGGTTAGGAGGAAGAGGAGGAGGAAGAGATAGAGACAGGGGTGGAGTGCGGAGACTGGTACGCGAGAGGGAAGACCACCTTACCTTTCCCCACTCCGTTCCTACTCTATCATGTCATCCTCTTCATTTCATACCACCTTGCCCTCAACACCTCCGCGTAGATTCGCAATCAGACGCGTATTCGTTCAAAGCAGATGTGAGTGAGTGTGAAACGATGCAAAATATGGTATGTAAGTATTCGAGGTGATGACAAGTGATGCAAGAGAAGTTGAAGCAGTAGCGAGTAGCGAGTAGCGACGGTCATCGCGATGAGAGGTGCGCGAGTGGACACCAAGTGAGACTGGAACAAAGGGATGAGGGGAGGGGAGCATCGCCTTGCTCAAGTCCCACCGGCAGCGCTGCCCGTAGTAGCAAAGCTATAGATGTTGACCTGACTATCATCACTTCCACTAATCACTTTATCATCTCCAATCTGCACGCACGTCACCGGTCCTCTATGTTCGCAAATGGAGAACAGATGTTTCCCCGTCGCCAATTCCCAGATCTTCAATGTGGCATCGTGGGAGGCAGTGGCTAGTCGGAGCCGGTCGGTGGAGAGGGCCCAGAGACCTGCCATGTGCCCAAAGAGGGTGCGGATGCAGATCCCCGTGCGCACGTCCCAGATCTTGATCGTGTTGTCCAGAGAGCAGGAGAAGAGCATAGGACGAAGATTTTGATGACCAGCAGCTCCTGCCCCTGCGGCACTTGCACTGGAGGTGGCACCACTCCCGCCCATAGAGGCAGAGGGGCCGCCTGTGTTGGTAGACTGAGACGAGATGTTGTTGCCGAGCCCTCCGCTAGAAGGAGGTACGTGACTCCGCTGTACAGCTCGCTTGGCCGCTCCCCACTCCAAGTCGCCCATCTCAGCATCGATGGGAAGCGCATCCACCAAACCCGCACTCTCCAGCCTCTCTTGCAGTTTCGCCAGCTGGGGCTCGATCTTGCGTCGTCGCGGAGAAGCATACAGCGCAGGACCCTGCCCTTGTAGTTGGCGCAGCTGTGTGCGATGTTGACCCGAGGCGGCGGGATGGTAGAAGTGATCAGGGATAGCAGGCGCAGTGCCGGTGTTGGCCGCACGACCGCCCGGTACGGCGGATGGATTGTAGCCACACGATTGACCGCCTGGCGCGGCTCTGGCTGCCCCCATGGTGCCCCCAATGATGTTTGCATTGTCGGCATGCTGATGTGACTCTTCGGGAGTCATGAAGTAGGTCGACTCGTCTGAGGATCCGGGCCCACTAGGTCTTCCTCGATCATCAGAAGCCGCGTCAACATTGGCTCCGTTAGGACCTACATTGCCGCCCTTTGCTAGTGCTTCCACTACCTCTTCCGGCATATGGACCAGCGACAGGCCCTGGCATTGACCGACGTGTCCGGTGAAGACCATCAGACATTCATTGTGACCCAAATCCCAGAGTCTGATAGTGCCGTCATCACTCGCCGAGAACAAGAAGGTATCTTCAGCGCCATCAGAGTCGACAGATTTCTTCTTCGATCCGGACCACAAGGTGACGGCATTGACCCAATCCGTGTGACCTCGCAGAGTGTGGCATTGTCCCGTCTTGAAGTTCCAGATCTTGATATTCGAGTCCGCCGAGCCGCTCGCAAGCAGATGATCGTTGAAATTGAGACAGACGATGCCTTCGGTATGACCTTCGAGCGTCCGGACGAGGGCTCCTGTGCGCCAGTTCCAGATCTTGAGCGTGCGGTCCATCGAGCCGGTGATGAGCTTTGCTTCGTCGAATTGAAGACAGCGCACACCTCGCGTGTGTCCTCGCAGCACGCGCAACTCTTCGCCCGTGTCCATGTTCCAGATCCTGGCTGTTCGATCGTACGAGCCGGTGATGACGATAGGGAAAGACGGATGTACGAGAGACTCGTTGAACTGCAGACACATGATACCATCCGTGTGGCCCTTGAGAGTCCTCACAGTATACCGACCCCTCCTCCAATTCCTCTCAATCGCTAATCGCTCGCAGTAGACTGACTTCCAAGGTCTCGTGGCAGGCACAGCAGACATACTCGCTTTGCCGCTGCCACGACTTGACGAAGGCTCCGTGCTTGCTTCGCGAGAAGCCTCGTTGCATTGACGCTTCTTGGGCGGGGCAAGCGCGTCATCGACCGACATTGACGTCGATGTTGGAGGCTTCATCTCTTCGTCCATTTGAGGAGATGGGCTCGAAGTGCGGGAATTGTGGGCTGTACCCGCTCGGGAATGCTTTTCTAGTGCAGCGGCATTGGCAGCAGCCGTAATGCTCCTCTTGAGACTACCCGTCCCGCTGCTTGCTTCCTCCGCCTCTGTACCGCCACTGGTAGCAGCAGCTGCTCCTGATGAAGGACTTGCATCCGCCGCTGTCTGGCTCTTGCCCTGCAAGTCTGCATTGCTGTAAGTCAATTGACGGCTCTCAGGAGTGCCTGCAAGCGGTGCTGGTCCCTTCTGTCGTCTCCTCTTTTCGCTCAGCAATGGCAAACCCCATCCACACTTCTCGCACTTCCTCTCAATGTGCTGTTCGCACATGTTTCTCCAGAGAAGGTCATCGTCCGCCAGTGCTTTCCAAGTTCTCGACACTTGAGCTGCGCGGCCTAGAGACATGGCATCCAGGTGTCCCATGACCTTCAAGGAGACTTCTCGCGGGAAGAGTGAGAACGGGTCGATGCGAATGGCCAGAGCTAGTTCCGAAGAAAGCAAGGAGAGCTGACTGAAACAACACATGCTCAGGATCCCTTGCAGGATGAGCGCTCGACGAGCATGTGATGACGATGAGAAGATCGACCAGACTGTATTGACTGCCGTTTGGTCTGCAAGTGGGAGAGCTTCGATGGACTAGCAGAGGATGAAGAGAGGGAGCGTGCCAGCATCGGTGAGTACGAGGAAATGGACACACCCGCTCACTCCAACTTCTTCTTTGCTTTCATCAAATGATGTACCGTCACTTCTATGGCTCGTGATTCATGTGAAGAATATATCAAGGCCTCAAACTGGACGGAGAGTGTGGTTCGCTCTCGCAACTACCCAGGATCAGAAGACTCTCACCCCGAAAGGCTCGAATCTCTGCCATATGCGAAGGCCAAGCCATGGATGGGGCAATGGCCCTCGTATGGAGGTCTGCATAACTCTACTCTACTCGCACCCCATCTCCTCTTTGACGGACTTCATTGGGTCGTACTCACTCTTTGTAGTTTGCCCACAGTGCCTTCGTCTGCCATCCTCTGATGCCTGATACACAGCTTACGAGCGGCAGGAGGATGCAGCGGATTCGCAGCGGCAAGATCCCCTTGATTCGATGCTCTCCTCGGTGTGCTACCTGCACTTGGCATTCGCTCTGCTGAAGATCCGCTAGGAGCGCGACGATGTACAGCCTCTGCTTCAGCAGCTTCCTCCTCCTCTTGATCGGGAATCATTTTGTTCTCGTCCTTGCCTCTCAGTCCAGCTCCCTCAGCAGGCAGCTCCATCGTGCCACCTCCAAGGCGCACCTGAGATCGACCCGAGAGAGAGTCAGAACGACTCACACTACCGCTCGCCTCTGATGCTTCGCCTACATTGTCCAATCCATACCCAGCTGAGACATCCAACGCTTTGCGCGACGAGGTGTCGCAGTCAATTGGAGCGGGCGAAGAGGAAGCAAGAGAGCTTTGATGATGGTGGCGATGATGGAGTGATCGCGGAGAAGGACGTGGTGCTGGCCCATCATCCTGATCAACAGAACTCTCCTGGGGGCCATTGACGTCAGTCGATGAGGATGCATTGGCGAGGGGGCGGGGACCAGTTGACCTTCCTCGGGACTGAGCAGCGGCGGCGGCGGCGGCATTGGCCGTAGCTGTGGCGCTGGAACTGCGAACATGACTACCTTTGCCTGCTCTTAGTTGACCGAGTAGGGCCCAACCATCTCCCCTCTCCTGTATAGGCACTTTGCTTGCAATGGCAGCAGACATGTGTCCTCTTTGTTGCGATCGAGGATCTAAGAGGACTTCGTCTTCGTCGTCGTCGTCTGATGCGGCAGCGGCAGCCACGGACTGTGAGATGGCAGAGAGGATCAGCTCCTGCTGTTGAATGGGAGGCGTCGCCACAGACAGGTCCTGGAGTGCTTCTGATGCTCTGGGTATAGAGTCAAAGGAGAGAAAGGGAGTGGCGAGGGACTTGTTGTTATGTGCAGAAGGGGTATGATATGAGTTGTGGGATCCCGCTGTTGCAGTTGCCCCTTGCGAGTCGTGATCCATTGGCTCGTCTTGGGTGAATTGGTATTGCTCAGTCGTCTCGGAACGTGTCGATCTCGACGACGAGGCCTCGCTTGACGCCATGGCGGTGCGAGACGGGGAGGTGGAGGCGGGGTTGCGAGGAGGTATAGCCTGTGGCGGGATCGATCACTGTGGTTGCTGCCTGTGGTGGGTAGTGACTATGGTACAATGGGTATGGCGTGTGTCGCTGCTGAGCGTTGCGTGCTCGGCTGAAAGGATTGCGAGTGGGCGGCGTGCAAGTGCTGCTTCTGCTCTCACACCGTCGGGGAGGAACAAGACATTCCTGGCACGGGAAGAGGCCAGTAGAATACAGATGATGGGCCTTTGTCGAGTCTAGATCGGCCGGGAAGTGCAGGGAAAGGCCGTAGGAAGGAGGGAGAGATGGCCCAGCGGGATGGAAGGCAAATTAAGGCTGGTATTCCCTCGTCGTGACCTGCCCGGCCATAACTCTCACGCCCGCCATGGATCGGAACGGACCGTGGGGGCGCGCGCCACAGGCACAGGCAGAAGCAGAAGCAGGAGCGGGAGCAGGAGCGGGAGCAGGAGCTCTGGCTCTGGAGGCTCCGCCTGCGCCTAGATCCGCCCTGACGCCAAGGGAAAGCCGACGATGCCTGACTGCTGCTGCTGCTCCTCGAGTTCTGGCCAGGTTATCTGACTCTAAGATCAGTCGCTAATCATCGCCCCAGCAGTAGGACAATGAGGCACGACTCGCAATCTGCAAACCAAGTCTCTCTCCATTGGAATTAGCGGGTGGGGCCGCCACCGAGACTCAAGGCCACCGTAGGTCACATCCGCTCTCTTCCTCTAATACGACCTCTTGCACTGTTCACTTCAAGGCACACACTTCCCGCCATGTTTCTTTGGTCTTTTGAGTATGTTCTGTGCATTCAAGGGCCTCAAGGGTGATGATGAGGGACCTCTAAAGGCTCTCAGATGGAATAGTACATGAACAAGAGCGAGCCAGGGAGCCGGCAAGCTATGCAAGGTGGGCGGACAAGTGGCGGCAGTCCGAAGAGCAATGCCCTCTCTACTCCTCGACTGATGTGGAGATGATGCTAGTGAAAAGAGACGTGACGGAGAAGCGACTGTAGAGAAGAGAAAAGGAGACAATGCGTCTGCCTTCTTCTTTAAGCCGACTTCATCTCAACGTCACCCTTTCCAGCAGCCTTGGCCTTGCCGGCAGCCTTGCGCGAGATGATGTTGGTGCTGGAAGAGAAGAGTAGATGATGTGGGTCAGCAAGGATGAAGGCTGGCTTGGTGTGGCCTCTTATGCATGTGCAGCAGACACATCCCACTCGTGTCCTCCCTGGATATGCCAGATTGTTGGCACCTCGTGTAAAGGTACCGCCGCCTCTGCCCAACAAGACCTCTGCTGAGCCTCCATCTCCATGGCAGACCGATGCAATGGCTCCCATGATCATCTCCTGCCCTTTGCTCCGCTCCGTTGATGAGCTGCCCTTCTGTCCCTTTTGCCCTGCCTGCTGCTTGCTACCGTCTCAAGAGACGAGACTTTGATCATCTCAGCTGGAAGTTGATACTCACCGGTCCTTGTCCATCTTCATCTTGGTGATCACAACGTTCGAGGGGTGGACGGGGAAGGGCACCGAGGTACCGTTGGTCTTCTCACGGACCACACGCTCGACGTGGACGACCCACTTCTTGCGGTAGACCTGGGTGACCTTGCCCTCACGGCCCTTGTGGGAGCCACGGACAATGAGGACCTCGTCGTCCTTGTGGATGGGGATGGAGCGGATCTGAGAAGGGGAAGGTCGGAATCAATGTCAGTATCTCTGAGCTAGATGACTTGGAGTGAGATAGTGGGAGTCGCAATAGCAGGCTGAGGCCTGAAGGACTGCGAAGTCGCAGCTAAGACAGCGGCTTCTTCCTCCATTCCCCCATCCTGATGTGCAGCACCGATCATCTTTCGGCGTGGAACAGCCATCCACTGCGCTGTACACGGCAGCCTACGATGGACTCGGCTCTATCGCGGTTGAGCTGAGAGCAGGGTGGACAGGCCGGCCCTCTGTCTCGAGTCATCTCAACCCATGACCAAGCGAGTCTTGCTCGTCCTCCCAATACCCAGAACCTTCCTTTATCCATCCGATCTCCATGTTTCCCTGGTCCTGTTGTTCCTTCGTAAGACCTTGTCGCAGTCCCATACGTGGAAAGACAGTAGGACATGGAAATACTCACTCCATGTTCCTCCCTCAGAGGCTTGGAGAGGGACGAGCTCATGATCTTCCTCCTGAGGTGGGAGGGAGCCGTGAAGTGAATCTTTCGCTGGGTGCGTCGAGAAGAGGAGACCATCTTGAAGTATGTGTGAGGGGGGGAGGTGTTGGGTGAAGGGAAAGGGGAGAGTAGGATCGTTGTAGCCTCGAGTTTCTTGGCCGGGGCGTGTGGGACAAGTCGCAGGGCTGAATTCTTCGGCCTGCCCGCCTGCCTGCCCGCACTCGCCCGCACGCCTGGGCTGCGAGCCATGCGCCTGCTCGCCCAGAGGCCACTCCAGCGCGCGGTCTGCGGTTCGTCCCGTGGTTTCCAACTCCGCTCCCGTCCTACCATGCTCGCCTTCACCACCCGGAATGAGCACACCTAGGACAGCAGGATGATCTGCGGATGTATCATGATGATAGACAGAATTTGCATATGCATGCGGGTACTTAGCGATAACAACAACAAGACAAGGTGGGGCAAACATGGTGACGTTCGCCTCTATATGATACAAGATGTCGCGACTCTGCACCGATCCCCCTTAGTGCCGACCTTCACCGCTTCCCCTGTCCCTGAGCCGCTGCTCCATTGGGCAGCTGACTAGCACCTCCACCATTGGCATTCGGCGTCTCCTCTTCTCGCCATGCTTCTACACCCGCCACGCTCATCTCCACAACTGCCCAAGCGGCTCGGACCACCTTGACATGCCAGCCCCTGCGCCTGGCATAGCCCAACCCTTGGCGTGTCCGCTTCAGAGCCTCATCGGTGGCTCGCTTAGTGAGCGAGTACCTCTCGTCGACGGAGTGCAGAAGTGCCAGCAGTTGCGAGGACAATGAAGCCAATTGCGACGGGAGAGGAGAGTGCTTTAGAGCTCGTGCAAAGGACGCGGAGAGGAGGATGAGCTGATCCTCGGGCATATTTCTCATGTCCTCCTCAGTCACTGCAGCCAGCGCCGCATGGTCAGCCAGGATCGCTTCATCCGACTGTCCCTTGCGTTCCTGCTGTCGTGCCTTCGTCAAAGCAGCGTCTTGGCGAGCAGCTTCGTCTGCAGCCGAGGATAGGCAGCCGTAAAGCGTAGAAGCAGTCGAGGAAGCCAGAGCCATGGCGAGATCCCACTGAAGGCCATTACCCGCGCCGCCAGACCTATTCGTCCTCTTGGCCGGAGCAGCTGGTGCTACTGCAACTGCGGTTTGGTCCATAGTGAGAAGTGGCCTGTCCTGCTTTGAGAGAGCCAAGTTGTCCTCAGCCACCTCCCCAATGATCTTTGCACCAGGCACTGTACTGGACTCTAGAGGAGCCTGGGCCTTATCAGCAGGCACTGGAGGCACAAACCTCGACAGACCGCTGCCGACGAGTCCAAGTCCGGCTGCTGCGACGGTAAAAGTCAACTCTAGGGCAGAGTAGGCGACCGTGGAAGCCAGCATATTGCCTGACTGGCTCGAAGCATCTCCATTCGTCGGGATGCGTGGTCCGCTATTGGTCTTGGCTGATCTTCCGCTTTGAGAGCCCCCAGTCATCCTGGCCTCAGCTCTTCTGAGCTCAGTCTCCAGCAACTCCCGTAGTCTCTCTTCCCTTGCGGCCTCAGTAGCTGGACCAGCGCTGCTGCCGCCATCAAGCAAGGAGTTCTGCTCATCACCTCCAATGTCTCGCAAGACCTCCTGCAGCTTAGCCCGGAGTGCGTCCCGCTCCTTCTCGGGAAGTTGAGCCGCATCCCGGCTTGGCAGTGCTGAGAGCAGGTAAGAAAGCGAGGACAAGTATAGAGAGAGGGAGAAATTATCCTCCTCATCGTCTTCTTCGTCATCGTCATCGGTCTCGCTCAGGTCATCGTAGTCATCATCGTCTTGGTAGAGGAAGTCTTCGTCGCTCGAGTGTGGTGAATTGGGAGTCGTCCGAGGCCGAAGAGGAATGCTCTTTGGAGGCGAGCTCGAAACTTTGGCTGAGCCTTGCTTCCTCCAGTATAGACTGCCAAAGTTGGAGCCTCCCTCTCCGTCGCTCAAGGCTCCATACTCAGACAGAGTCTTGATCCTGCCCAGGAGGGTGGATCGTTGTCGCCTTTCTTTCTCTGCTATCGATGCTCGTCGAATTCGCTCGGCGGCTCTAGCTTTCCTCCTCCGCTCCTTCTCTCGGCGTATCCGTTCGTCCTCTTCTGCCGCTTCTGCCGCTTCCATCGCAAGGCTGGCAGCCTTGTCTATCCTGCGCCTATCTAGGCGGACAGACCCCCGACGCGCGGACGGCAGGGCAGCTAGTTGCTTGTCTCCATCCTTGGGGAGAGGAACGAGTTGCTGCTGTCCGACAGTCTGTAGCTCCGGGGAACGACCTCCAGCTGGTGAATGCGAGTCGTTAGTGGAGCGCCCCTTTCCAGGAACCCAAGCAGCCGCTAGATTACGAAGAGAGGCGAGATTGCGCGAGCTGAAGGACTGGCGAAGGCTCGGCGCTTCTTCGACTCGCTCCTGCATTGGTGATGCTAGACTGGGAAGATCGGGTACTGGCGGCGGAGCGTCAGCTGATCCGGCCAGCGCCCTGCGATTGCCTCGCGGTGTGGAAGGTGCAGACTTGGTCTGAAATTGTGCACGCCGAGACTTCTTTGCTGCAGCTGATCTATCCCTCCTGCTATTCATGACGTCGGCTGGGTCAATTCCACTTGGGGTCGCACTGCCTCCCTGAGATGCTGCTGAGGATGCGCTGGACGGCAGCGTCAAGCTAGTCTTGGCTGCCTCTGCTAGAGACGAGTCGTCTGATCTGGAAGCAGATGAAGAATTCCGGCTCGATCTCGACATTGGCTTCGAAGTAGATGCTGTTGAAGGAGCGAAGAATTCTGCAATGTAAGGACTTTGGGGGAAATCGACTGTGGGCTCGGCAGCAAGAGACGGGCTGGCGAAAGAGTAAGGAGTGGGGTTAGTGATCAGCATGCAAATATGTGTCAGTCACCGCTGCGAGCCTTGGCTTTCAGCATTTGTATCCGCTCACCTCTTGCGCTGATTGCTGCGTTGGGTAAAGGACTCGTCTGCCCAAGACAAGTCACTCTGAGCAATATCAATATCCTCCACCCTGACCTTGCTCGACTGCGCCTCTTGCATCTCAGCTTCTTTATGCCCTCCTGCTGAAGGAAGCTGCGATCTCCAGATGGATCTCGAGAGCATCATTGCAGTAGTTGTGAGGTGTCCTTGTCTGCCCCAGAAAGAGGCGCCTGGGGCGCGATATCAATTGCTTCCCGAGAATGGTACGGAGGTAAATATGCGGAGCCCCTCCGACGGAACTGAGGAAGAGTGTTTTGACTGCTTATCTGGGAGTCATCGCGGGCGGCCAACGAGAGCAGAGGATGAATCCGTCAAGGAAGAGGATGATGGATTGGATTCGATATCAAGGAGGCGGAGCGGCGAGATGGCGACGATGTTTGTTGTGGTAGAGACAGGACCCCAAAGACCATCCCTCCATCCTCCATCAACCTCGGCAGACACAACAGGCGGAGTCGACGATCACGCTCCTCGCTTTGACGGAAGCAGGGCGGCGTGCAGCATCTCGCCGAGGGGGAAAGTGCGCCCCACACAACTGAGCGTGAAACCAGCCACGGCCGCCCAGCCACGCCACGCCTACACCCAGCAGGATGGGCGAGGCGGGAAGGCAGGCAGGCAAGAGGCCATCATCGCTAGGCAGAGCTCCAAGTCATTCAAGAACAGACAATGGACAGAGAGAGGAGAAGAGTAAATACAGGCAACAGCAATCTATTTTCACAGTCACATCCCTCACGACTCTGAATCCTGCTTGATCGCTCCCTCCGTCGATGACAAGGCCCGCTGCACCGCCTTGTTTGTGCTCTCGCGTCCCTTGCCCGCCGTCCTGCTCTTCAGACCCCTCAGGGCAGGCAGCAGCTTGATGCTCAGGTCCTTGCCAGCATCGCCCTTACCCGACTGACCACCTCCCACAAGAGTCGAGAGCAACGTGCACGTATTCTCTGCAAACTCAATGGGCACATCTCTCCCCTTCTTTGCACCTTGCTCCGACCCGGTAGAAGAGTCAGAGGAAGCAGAGGCATGGCACAGCACTTCGTACAAAACATCAGCAGCACTGTCCGAGGCTGCAGTGACAGTGGTCGAAGAGTAGGTCGACATCATCGAGTCCATCGTTGAGCTCCTAGCGGGCGGAGCTCGGTTCAGCAGATCATGAGCATTGCCCTGGGCGCCCGAGGGGGGTGTATCTTTGCCCTCGCCCTCCACTGTCGCAGACTCATCGATGCTCCGTCCATGACGCTCCTTGCCGAGAAGCGCGCCGGCAATAATGACCGCTCTCTCTGCACTCTCAGAGCTGGCCAAGAGTGTAAGACCGATGATGGCCTCATTGAGCAGGATAGGGTACTTGTTTCCTCGCCGCAACATATCGCAGAGCGCGTCGATGACATTGCTGTCTCCAATCCTGGTCCGGGCATCCGACAGATCGACGTCGTCTTCTCGTTCGTCTTCGGGTTGGTGCTGTTCTTCATGATTGGAAGAAGCCCAAAGAGTCCGTATGATGTTGACTAGGACCCTGGTAGCCTCCAACTTGGTCGGAGTATCCTCCGTTCTGTTGATCAGATCTAGCAGGGCGTCCAGGGTGCTCTTCTTACCCTCCCCCGCAGAATGGCAAATAGCAAAGACATTGCGTTCCATTCCGCCACGAGGAGAGTAGGCAAGATGCTTTGCGATACCCACAGCAGCAAATTGGATTGGCTGAGCGTGATCCTTGTCCTTCATCAGAAACGAAGTGAGGGAATCGAAGATGCCCGATGCACCGATCACCTTCTTGTTTGCTACTGGGATGCAAAGATTCTTGAGAAGACCAAGAGCCGCGTGCGAGAGAAGCATGGAACTCTTGCCCCGGAGCAAAGAGACTAGAAGTGGCACCAGATCATGCTCCTTCACGAGAGACACACAGTTCGCGTCTTTAGAACACGGCGCAAAGATGAGAAAGAATTACGTGTCGTGTCAGCGTTGTTCAAGGCCTCCGTGCCTCCGATCAATCTTTCACTCACCACTTCTCGCCAAATTCGCAACGGAGAGCAGGGCGCAAGACACCAGATCTTCTCGCTTGGACCGATCAATCTGCAGCCAGGTCTTCATTCTCCGCAAGAACGGAGAGGCTCCGCCATCACCAAAGAGCTCTGCCATGTTCTCGTCCTCACCTACAAGCGAGACGACTGCCTTGACAGCATTCGACTTTGCCCTTGAGACCTCCTTCGCCATCATTGACACATCCTCGACCTCCAGCCCATACTGTTCAAGTAGACCAGGCGCGGGAGAGGCGTTCGTACCGAAAGGGCTGGTTCCCTTCTCGATGAAGTTCAAGAGCTCGTTCAGCTTGGGGAGCCCGTTGCGTTTGAACTTCACGGCGGCTGGAGCGTTGCCTTGATAGATGTTGGCGCAGGCCTCGAGCAATTCTCCACAGAGCGACAGTATAGTCAGATCTGCGTCCAAGAAAGGTGCTGCATCCTCTGGGCCATCAGAGTCCGGATCCTCAAGGTGCGGTGAAGGATCGTCCGCGGAGGATCTATCCGCTGGCATGAATCCTCTCAGAGCGCGAGGGAGCCAAGTCCACGCCTGGTCGTGAGATGCCAACGCTGCCTTCGAGAAGAGAGTCAACATCGAGGTGTCAATCTCTTCGCCCCCGCCATGTGCAGCCTTTGCATCCTCCAATTCAAAATTCAAAAGGTCCTCGATGATCCTGGCCGCCCAAGAAGCGACTTCGGCACCTGACTCCACTCTATCCCACTGCCCTGATGGCGGCTGCCACTCAACCTGGTCCTCTTCTTTGGGATCTTGACCCAGAATTGAACGGAGCGCAAGCCCAGGAGAGTAGATACGAGGATCGGTAGCTACCTCCAGCAGAGTCAGAATGGTCCCTGCTTCAGGCATGTCGAAAGGACCCCCACCCCCGTCGGGTCGATTTGGATCTGATGCATGGTGATGCGAATTGTGCCAATTGGGATGCGCCGCCCGATGATCCTCTTCCGTTAGACCTTTCCCGTCGCCTCCGTTGTTGTGGTGGGCAAAGCGTTTGCTGCCTGCAGGAGGCAATTTGAGTAGCCATCTTCGGCTTTCACTGTGGTCCAATTGGAGGTTCAAGAGCGCACCCATAGCAGTTTTGAGCAGTAGTAGGGTCGAACTGCTGAAACAGCCATCGGCAGAGGGTGACGACTCGAGCGTGTTCTTGATGAGACGAAGCACGAAGAGGGGAACATCGTGGGCAACCAGCTCGGATCGATTGTCGTCTGTTGCAAGGCATGTGACAGACAGGGTCAGTGTTGGCACTCAGAACAGCAGCAATACTGGAAGCACTCGAAGCACTCACCATTGTCTATGCAAAGATTTGCCAGACTTCTCAAGCACTGAATCTGAGCCATGTTGATCCCGTCCAATTTGGCAGCGGCCTCTGACAGCGAAGACTCTGCAGAAGAGCCTCTCTTGTGACTTCTGCTAGCCTGTGCCGCATTCTGTGGCACCGGCGAAGACGCAGGCACATCGTGTTGAGTCATGGTCAGAGAGAACAAGGTCAAGAGGTGGATGACGAAGGACGTCTTTCCCATAGGCTCCCTGAGCTCTTCTGCTCTCAAAGCGTCGGCAACCACTTTGACGGTATCCGCCACCTGGACCCACAGCTCATTATGTGTTCTGGGTCTGACCGATTCCTTGTCCTTCTTCCTCTTGTCTGAGCTGCTCTTTTTGCTCGAGGCGGGTGAGGATTCTCGGCTGTCCCCCTTGGGCGGACTTGAGCTCAAGTCGAGCTGTGATCGCTCACTGGCCGGCGACATCATCACCGTGTTCGAGCGAGAGCCGTCTGTTGTCAAAGCATCGCCTCCATCCTCACGATTGCTGTCGCTGGACCGACGTGGAGACGACGGCGTGGATTGCCTGCTGCTACCGGAGGAGGAACCAAGCTTTCGTTGCTTTGAGAGTGAACTCTGGGAGCTGGACGTCCTGAGCCTCTCTTCGCCAGACTGACTACGAGAGCTTGAGGCCTTGATGGTTGAAGAAGATGAAGGTGTGATCGTCTTGTCACTAGACTCGCTACGCTTCTCGTCCGGCTTGCTTGCCGACCATTTTGGTTCGGGTAGGCCGTGCTCGGATGAGATGACCAGGATGGAGTGCAGATGAGGGTGAATGAGCGAAGAAAGAGGAGGTTGGTGGTGATTGTTCTTCCCTTCCTCGTCCTGATCTGTATGCCTCTGAGCCGACATGGCTGCAGTATGAATCTCGAGGCAACCAAGGTCGAGTAGCGGGAGAAGCAAGGGAGAGAAGATCAGGAAGCATCAGATGCTGCAGCACACAGCCCGACACGCACAGGGCACGGCCACCCTTCTCACGCTGGTCCTGATGCCAGCACCGCACGTAGGACACAGGCTTCTGGTCAGTCAATTCTGAGATCACTGTTTGTCTGCCGATCTTCAAGAGCTGCTTCAACACAGACTTCGGTAGAACAGGACCTCGTTGAGGGGGTCGTACTATTGAGCTAGCTTCCGTTCCGATGTGGTCATGGCGGAAGCAGTGCACGCGCCCACTTCCGTCCCCACAACCGCTCCACCCAAACATCGCCCTTGTTCCGACAAGACAAGGCAAACTCCCCTCTTGCATGCCAATTCTTGAACCACTCATCTCTCCTTCGCCAGCGGAACCTTGCAAAGTTGGTACACGAGCAGAGCAAGGCGGTGCCTTGATGTCTTCCGATGCGCCTCACATGACAAGCCGGGCTGGACCCGGCAGAGGCGGCCTACGGGATGGCAGTGATACTGGTCACGGGCGGCCTCTCAGCACCATCACCGCATCGGACTTCGACGATGAAGTCGACGCTGAAAGTGAGAGGCAAGAGGGGAGCTCAGCAGGATCCATTATAGTAGCAGAAACATCACCTGTGAGTGTTTGCAGGGTGCATATGTCCGTGTTCCGTACGGTCAAGAAGCTCATCGGAGCCACGAACAGGATAAAGTGATGCGTTTTTGACGGCAATACGGCCCTGTCTGCACCCAATATCCTATCTTAAAGAGTCGCGCTCGAAGAACAGATCAAGACCTGATGGTATGTATCTCTCCGCAAGATTTGACATCTCACATCCGTTGCATAGACTTACCGAGACGCTTTCACACTTCAGGACCAAGTGTATGAGCTCTTTGATCGTTTCGTACCTAGCGGGGCCCAGGGCGACCTCGACAGCCCCAATGCTTCCCTCGATGAAACCTCAGCAAGCGACTCGCCCCGCAATCGTACAGTGTTCTCTCGAGACTTGCCTCACCTGCTCAGCGAATACGAGACTCAGCAGGGCAAGCCGCTCATCGAAGACGACAGCCGGCCTCAGCTCGAGCAATTCTGTCAGCAGTTTCCAGACCACGCCATTAGCTGTAACGATCTGATCAACATGATCAGGGGTCTTGAACAAGCTCGGCTCGCTGCGCTTGCTGCAAGCGATGGAGAAGCTTCAGGCGACGATTCTCTGAATTCGATAGCAGGAAGAGGTGGACCTGCATCCCGTTTGTCCAATCACAGTCGAGCGTCTAGCTCTGGTGATTCTAGTGAGGTACACGATGGTATGAGGGAGCCTGAGACCTCCTCGTATCCCCCGACAAGCTCAACACCCCCACGGGATAGGAAAACCAGCAGCTCTCCGACCAGACCAGATTATCTCAGGTCTCAGAGCATGCAAGCCGATTTGACCCTTCCAGGCCCTGCACCTCGGCTGCCCACAAGCCACCGTGTTGCTCTTGTTTCCGCTTCAGCTTCTCCGACCCGGACCAGAACAACCTCAGCCTCGGCGGCTCCTACGTCGGAGCGAGAGAAAGGGCAGTCGTTCCTACATACCAATCAGAATCGAAGCTTGAGTCAACAAAGCGACACCGGCAGGACTTCCAGCAAAGACGTCCTGAGAGGGAAAGGCAACGCACCTCCTTCTTCGTGGCAGAGACCCCGGCCTCAAGCTCTCGCTTCTACTGGCAAAATCAGAAGGACTAGTGATGCCAGTGCAGCCTCCAGCCTCGATCGGGAGCATGACAACAGCGGACGTCCCCAGAGCGCTCGGAGTGTTTCGTCGCAGCCTTGGTCTGACTCGGGCGGCAGCCCTGGCATAGGCTCGCACCGCAAGTCTCCCTCTGCCTACGTCTTCCCACGAGCAACCAGTCCAGGAGACGAGACATGGTACGCAGAGCAAGAGGAGAAGTACGAGTATATGTCCGATCGAGAAAGAACCCGCTCCACCTCATCTCGGGCGGCCAGCCCCGATCAGCGCGAGAAGCTCGGCTTCCAGTCGTTCGCTTCCCTTTCCTCTTCACGTGGCCCAAGCGGAGGTGTCATCACGTCTCCGAGACGCAGCGATGTCCGCTCCTTTTCGCAGACTGTGCAGTCCAATTTCGACGACGACAGTGGCTCGGATACATTGGCAGACCTTCAAAGGCGGTATGAACATCTCGCTCGTCTACTTCAGGAGAAGGAGCGATCATTCGAAGATTCGCAGAGCTATCACGAGAGCTCCATTGCCGAGCTGGAGTCGAGAGTTGAGACGTTGCAGGGGCGCATACACAGTCTGAGCAAGACCAGCGATGAGATGAAGCAAAGGGAGCAGCGATACCTCGACGAAATCTCTCGTTTGGAGAGTGACCTTGCCACAAGTCAGAAGAGGTGCGAAACACTGGAGCGCCTGAGGGATATGGCTCAGCAAGAGACTTCGGCACGCGAAGCCTCCATCGTCGTTCTGCAGGGCAAGGTCAACGACCTTCAGGAGCGTATCACCGCAATGGACAGGGAGGAAGCGGCACACCTGGACAATGAGAGGGAATGGGAAACTGACCGAGATCGATATAGAAAGGAGATTGAGAAGCTTCGGAGCGATCTCAGAGGGGCCCTGGACAAAGAAGCGCAGATCGAAACCTTGGTCATCGAAAAGGACGCACTGGAAGCTCAGTTGAGGGCGCTACAAAATGACCTCGAGGAGGCAAGGAGCCGTTCGGGCTTCTTGATCAATGGCAGAGGAAGTGAAAGTCTGCCAGGCACGGTCTCAAAGCGGCTCGGAAGAGAGCTGGCAGGCGCTCTAGAGAACATAATGGATGAGCCCGCGGAAGGCGCAGTGGACGCTGAACCCAATCACGCGGTCGAAGATGGCGAAGCGAGCGATCCGGACGAGAGCCTCGAGAGTGTCATTGTCACAACCACGAGGCGGCGGCGGGTCCATCAACGCACAGAGAGGGTGCTCACAGAGATTGCGACACAGACGGAGGCGGCGGAGCCGGACAGCACGCCTCGTCCTGCTGACGAGCCCAGCCCTCCGACCTACGATGAGGCTGCCCTGGAGGAATCAGTGCTGGCAAGGATGCACCCTGCGTGCCACAAGACGATGATCCCCGAGACAACGAGCGAGCTTCCCCCGCGTACCACGCTCGGCTCGGTGTTCAATATGAACAGGTTTCCAGAGCGTGAAAGGGCAAGAACACCGTACGAAGACCTCACGAGAAGGGTTGGCTTGCGATGTGTGGTGCTGGAGAAGGCTTTGGACGAGCAGGGGGACTCGCAAGGCCAAGCGGGAGGCGTCTCTTCTTCTGCTCCTTCTCCCCCAAGCGTCAGCCGGAGTGAACGCAACGACGTCGTCTCCCAATTGCTGGGAATCGGCGCCTCGAGGGTGCGTGGCTGCCTGCCGGAATCATTACAAGCTAAGCTGTCTTCGATGGCTGCTCCCGATACTTTCTCTCGACTGCTCGTCTGGAGCCTCTGCGTATTGGCAGGTGGTCTCATCTTGGGCAATCTGCTGTCCCCTCGTCAGCAGCACATTCATTATCACGGAACAGCTGGCGGCGTGCACGAAGAGGGCACATCTTGGACGCTGATGAACACCTTTGCAGGGCACGGTCCCGAATACTTTGAGCCTGGTGGCGCCGTCATGGGTGTGGTGGAGAGGTACTTGCGGTCAGCACCTGGGGACCGTCCTGAGTTAGTGCCAATCTAGGGGTGCCCCTGGCTGGGACTGTCCTATTCGCCTATTCCTTCTATTGTGCAATGCGCTGCTTGAAGCACGGTGCGCTATCACTATCATTTTGCACTAATGCACACCTTTCATTTGCCTGATGTGCAGGCGACGGCTACCAAGTGCCAAGGCCTGCCGGAGGTCCTTTCCGCACTTCTTGGGTGCATGTGCTTCTCCTGCACGCCTGCCGTGTCCGGTGTATGGCCTTGTGCCTGTCACGAATGTACCTGAGCATCGCAGAAGGTTTAGTACGAATGAGTTTGCGGATCACGACAGTCTCAAGTGGGATTCACTATGTCCTTTGTACTGCCTTGGACCATTGACTCCCTTGCTGTCGTCGCGGGTGTGATCTATCTATCTTCCTGCTGCAAGGGCGGAACAAGGTTCGAGGCAGCGTCGAGGGGCCCTGGGCGCGTCGTGTGTGTGTGTGTGTGTTGCTGTGAAACGTCATGGCTGGTGGCCGGACTCCGCGATTCCGACGCCCGTATGTCCGCGGCTCTGTAGGTGCCTGTGTTCGTTTTTGTGCGAGGGTGGGTGGATGGGGGGGGAACTCTTGTGCGGCATTCGCTCTGCCGCCACATCTCTCCGACGGCGCTTGGCCTTGGCGTGCACGGCAGGGGAGGCAGGCCAGCCGCGTGCCGCGCTCTGCCGTCCGCCTGGCCCTTAGACGATCACTTTCTCTGAGCCATCCGTGCCCAGAGGGTGGTGCCTGCTGCCACGCTCCTCCTCCTCCTCCTCCTGTCTGCTGCTCCCACCACCATTACTGTCAGCATCACCACCACCACCTTCTGGCTCAAGGAGTGCCATTAGCTGCGTCCTATCCTTCCTCTCTTCTCCTCCATCCGCAAATTCTCGTCACGACCACTCCTCCACAGGCACAGGCATACACACCTTTACGGAATATTAGCTTTCCCGACACGACGCGCCTCGTCTGCTGGCCACCCATTCTTCCACCCATCCACTTCTCTCTCATCTGCTCCAATTCTCACCGCAACAGAGCTACAGTGTCAAAAACATCCTTTGCGCACTCCTCCTTTGACCCACAGCTGTCAGACGTGAAAGTGGCCTCCCATACGTGTGCACAACTTCGCACAAGATGTCAGGCTACCGTCCGGCCCCGGCCCGATCACCCACGGAGGACCAGATGTACTCCAGTGGCAACCTCACCGCCTCTAGCTACCCGAGCAGCGCGACGCGCTCCTCCAACTACTCACATGGCAACTCTGGTTCAGGGAAGACGTCAGTGTTGAGCTCTAACATCATCCCTCCTGGGGCGAGGAGCGGCGGTGAGGGAGAGTTGGGACCTTACAGCGCTCTCAGAACCCGGAGCGCTGCTTCATCTCATAGCTCGTCGGGCAACAACGCCGCTGGCGCTGGCAATAGTGGTATGATCGCCCTCATCGGGGAGAAGGAGGCCGATGATTATTTGGTCAGTGGAGAGAGAAGAAGAGACTGAGGGAGCTCTGTACTCTGCGCGGGATGCGACGCGACTGACAATTCTCTACCTCTGCCCTTTACGTCTTTCAGCACGAGGGAGACGCCGACAAGCGAAGCTACGCCATCTCGGCTCGTGGTGTGGCCAATGCTCTTACCCTCTTTGTCCTCACACTAGGCCTGCTGATGCTCTTCGCAGGTTACCCAATCCTGGCAGCCGTAGAGAAAATCTTCGACTCGGATCTCATCTCCAACCTCAATGGTACCGGTCAAGTGGCCGTCTTCAGCAACCTGGCAAGTCTCATTGACTCGGACACCCCCGAGGCGGCCAAGAGTTGGACAAATCCCATCAACGGCGACACCTATCATCTTGTCTTTTCAGACGAGTTCGAAGTCGAAGGCAGGACCTTTTGGGAAGGGGACGACCCCTTCTGGACCGCCGTCGACCTCTGGTACTCTGGAACGGCTGACTTTGAGTGGTACACTCCTGAGCAGGTCAACACCACTGGCGGCTACCTCATGATCACAATGGACGACAAGCCTACCCACAACCTCAACTTCCGCTCCGGCATGATTCAGTCCTGGAACAAGTTCTGCTTCCAAGGTGGCTACATCGAGTGGTCCGTCGTCCAGCCCGGAACACCCCAAACCACTGGATACTGGCCGGCGACCTGGCTTCTAGGAAATCTTGGACGCGCAGTGGGTATTGTTTGTTTGCATTGTTAGTACGTTCTTCCTGTTCCTCGACGCTGACCTTCTCGCTCTGTCATGTCAGGGTTACCTCGCGTCGACGGACGGTATGTGGCCGTACAGCTACCAGTCCTGCGATACGGGCATCCTGCCGAATCAGACGTGGCTGAACGGGACTGGCCCGGACCAGGCTCTGCACTCCACTGCGCCTTATGCCCTTTCCAGTGGCCAGATTTCGCAATTGCCTGGCATGCGCTTCCCGGCTTGCACTTGCCCAGACCAAGGTCACCCGGGACCCAACCGCATGGTCGGGCGCTCGGCTCCCGAAATCGACTGTATCGAGGCTCAGATTCAGGTACACGCCGGCAAACGACGGTCTTACTCGTCTCAGTCGCTGCAGACGGCTCCTTTCGATGTGAACTACTTCTGGGGCAACACCTCTGAATACGCTACCATCTACAATGACACTACGAGCACGATCAACTCTTACGTCGGAGGTCCCCTGCAGGAGTCCGTCTCTACAGTCTCATTGAATCCCGATCGGGGCTTCCAGGACACCGACAATGAGTTCGTTACCTATGGCATCCAATACGACCCTGACTGGGACGCCAACGGGCAAGGCTCAGTGACCTGGTTCATCGATGGCAAGGCTACTTGGACTGTTCATGGCAGTGCCATTGGCCCGTCGCCAGACATGGACATTGGCCAAAGGACAGTACCCACCGAGCCGATGTACATCGTCATGAACCTCGGCATGTCAGACGGTTTCCAGACGGTCTACTTCGACAGCACAGCCCCAGATGCGGACATGGCAGTCGTCTTCCCCGCGGTGATGCTCTTCGATTACGTTCGGGTGTATCAAGTCGATGGCGGAACAGACCGCGTTGGCTGCGATCCTTCCGATCACCCAACTGCAGACTACATTGCGGCGCACCCAGCACTGTACCAGAATCAAAATCTGACGAGCTACAACGCCAGCGGATATGCGATGCCCACAAACGAGTACTACACAGGATGTTCATAGCTGGGCACGCCTCGTCGTGTTGTGCTGACGCAATGCAAGCCGACATGAGATCATTGGGTGCATGAAATTAGGGCCGGGGTCAGGGTCCTGCTTGACGACCTCATTGCAACGTCCTACGACTCTGCAAGAGGCCATGAGTGACAGGAAGGAGGTGCCTCTGTCCGACAGAGTCCGATGCGCGATTGGATCTGGCCCCTATGCAATGCAATCTCGCGGCCCTTCTCTCTCGGCGGGCTCACCTCCCGTGCGGTATTAGCATCTCTTTACGGACTCTGCAACCATCAGGAAGCCACTGAAACCTAGTCACAATCTGCCTGCTTTGCGGGGTGGAACTTTGCGCGCCATCTGTCTACGTCCGGCTACAGTCTCTCCCTTCTCCCCTTGCCACACGGCCCCTCCTGTTCTTCCTTTGCCCATGTCGCGACTGTACCCACGTTGCATGCCAATCTTCCCCACACGCGTGGACGGATCGTGTGCCCCTTTTCCCTCCTGCCATGATCGAGACGTGTTCGCTTGCACTGGTTAGCCACACCTTGCTTCCTCGCCTCGCCTCGTCTGTCTCTCTCCGCACTTTCCCTCCCCCTTCTCCATGTGCCCTCTTTGCTGTTTCCGTGTAGATAAGAAATCAAATTCGAGCACAGGTAGACTGGACGTGTAGGTGTGGGTGGGGTGATCGGACTCTTGATGTGGCGGGGGAGTGGAGAGGGAAAGGTGTGGATGTGATCGAGGCACCTGGGCGAAGGATCCGGCAGTGGCGGAAGGGGGGCCGAGCAAAGGGGAAAGGGAGAGTGAGGGTGAGTCTCTGCCTGCCTGCCTGCCTGCCTGCCTGCCTGTTTGCCTGATAGCCTGGTCTGGGCTTCAGGGCGGCGTGCCGAGGCAGGCTTGCCGAGGGAGGAAAGAAGAGGCAGGGCCGATTGCCGCCGCGCCATGTCAGAGCAAGAAGACGGTGCCGCGGGTAGCCGCTTGATCGTTGCTCTGATCTGCCTTGCTTGCTTGCTTGCTAACCAAGGCCGCCTCCCCTTGGACCACCTGGGAGAGATAAGGTGGATGGGAGATGGGACCCAGCGCCACCTGGTGTGTGTGTGGCTGTGGTGGGCCTGTCGCGATAAGGGAAATCGGGGGGAGCAGCAGCAGCAGTCGTCCTTGGTCTGCCCGTCGCTGCGCTGCCTTTGCCTCTCGGCCCTTTCGCCGTAGAGGCAGTCTGTCTCCCTTCCCGTCGGCCGCGGACGTAATTGCATTAAGAGACTCCGGATTCCGTCCGTGTAGCACATTTCCTTCCCCCCTTCCCGCGACGATCTGCACATTTGCTTCTTCCCTCGTACCCTCCTCCTCCTCCCCCCCTCCTTCTTCTTCCCCCCCCTACCCGACCTCCAGACGTTGGTCATGGCTGCTTACGAGCCTCAGGCCGCAAGGCCACTCACCGACGTAGAGAGTGGTCTCGCTACCAACCACTCCGACGAGAAGAGGGCCTCCTTCTCCTCTCAGCACATCAGCACCTCGCCCCACGGATCCGAAGCTGCAACCTATGGCAACACCAACCACGATGCCGTCCTCGACCAGGGTCTCGCTCGCTCCTCCTTCTGGGGCAAGATCACTACTTCCCTCGCCCGATACAATGTAGAGTCAGTCTCCGTGGCGCCTGTGCCCGTGGCACTGCGAAAGAACAAACAGTGGTGGTGAGTAGATGAGACTGGTTGCGGGCAATGCCCTTTTTGGATTCGCACTGGCGATCTGGGAACACCCGTCGCTGACACGCTGCCCGCCTTGTGCCTTGATAGGTCCGTACCTCTGCTCTGGTTCTCGGCAAACTTCAACAGTGAGTAAAGGCTGCAATACCGCCCCTACCACAGTGACCGAGATCATCCCCGCTGACCGTGACCACCACTCTCCCCCCCTTGTCATTGCAGTCCTGTCTTTCTCCACTGGAACACTCGTCGTTTACTTTGACATTGGACCAGCCGCTGCCTACACCACCATCATCCTCACCTGCTTCTTCTCGTCACTCTTCCCGGCTTACTTTGTCACCTTTGGTCCACCTCTGTAAGTCTACGAGCACGCCCCGATTTGACAGCAGAAGACCTTCGCAAGTTCGGACAACTGACTCTCCTCCTTCTTTGATACGCACACAGTGGTCTGCGTCAGATGATTCACACCCGATACTCATGGGGCTGGTTCGCTCCTCTCATTGCCATTCTCAACGCCGCGACACTCTGCGGCTACACTATCCTCAACTGCATTGTGGGCGGCCTCACCATCTCTGCGGTCTCTCCAAATGGCGGTCTTACACCCACCGTCGGTATCGTCATCGTTGCCGTCGTCAGTCTTCTCGTCTGCTTCTGCGGAATTCGCCTGCTCCACCTTACCGAACGGTATATGTGGGTGCCTGTGCTGATCTGCTTCTGCATCCTCATCGGACTTGCTGGAACTGGCTCCGATGGACTACACTTTGACGTAGCAGCTGCTCCCGCTACCACCTCCCACGGTGTGCTGTCCATGGTAGCTATCATCATTGGCTTCCTCGTACCTTGGTCGGGAATTGCCTGCGATGTCACCACCTACCTCGACCCGGAGACTACGCCCACACTCTCCCTCTTCATCACTTCCTTCTTTGGCTACTTCCTCGGCTCCTGCCCGCTCTTCCTGGCCGGTGCGGCATTTGCCCTGAGCTCCTACGACATCCCGGCCTGGTCAGATGCTCTGTACATCTCCAACGGCGCCCTCTTCAACCTGATCATGTCATCCAAGACCGGCGGCTTCGGCAAGTTCGTAACCGTGCTTCTGGGGCTGTCCGTCTACGGTAACGCCGCGGCCAGTATCTACTCCTTCGGTCTGTCGATGCAGGCAATTCTGCCTCCCTTCAGGCTCGTGCCACGATTCGTCTTCACGATCATTGTGGCAGCGATTATCATCCCGCTCTCCATTGTCGGAGCAGATACCTTCTACGAGACTCTGACAGACTTCCTCGCCGTGCTGGGCTACTGGGCCGCCTTGTACGTGGCAGTGGTACTGGCAGACCACGTGGTGATCCGCCGCTGCGACTGGTCCACCTACAACGTTGAGCACTGGGACTCGTGGCGCAGCGGACTGCCCCTTGGTCTTGCTGCCATCACCAGTGCCTGCATTTCCCTGGCCATCCTGATTCCCTCTGTGGATCAGACGTTCTTCACCGGCCCTCTGGCCGCTCACGTCGGAGATTTGGCCTTTGAGCTCAGCTTTGTAGTCTGCTTCGTCCTCTACATTCCCCTGCGAATGCTGGAGAAGAAGGTCGTGGGTAGATGAGGACTTGGTTAGAACGGGATTGCTGCTCTGTAGTCTTCTTCTTTTTAGTTCGTACCGTCTCGTTTGTCTTGCGTAATTCATTCACATTTGTACTGTCGCAATGTCTGATTAGTCGGGACGTACTACTCTGCGCCACAAAGCACGTGGAGGCGCAAAGGCGTGGAGCAGCACGGCGATCTCGAATGGGGTGAAGCAACAGGGCCAAGACAATAGTGGTACATCAGGACTGGAAAGAGGCCGTAAAGAGCCGGTACGGGGTGAGGGTGAAGCTGCACCACACTAGTGTAGCTCGCTCAGCGTGGATGCGGCGCGGTAAAGAGACTTCAAGACCAGTTATTGACCTTGTGAAGGGCAGAGTGCTCCATGATGAAGCGGCCTGCGTATCCGAGCGGGATCAAGAACCCCAAGTCAGCACACGTCAGTCCCCTCTAGTCATTGCAACCACCCGCCTACTCAACTCTGCAGCCCAACTTACCCTCCTTGTACTTCTGCGATCCCTCCCAAGCCTTGAGGTATGTCCATCCCACGACCGTCTGACATCCTTTACAGCGCATATCGGCTACAGTGTGCATGCCCGTGAGCAGATTACGGTCCTCGGATTGACCCACGATGATGTTGATGGCAGAGTGGAAGAGGTAGGCTTTGCCGTCACGCCCTGAGAAGGCCTTGGAGATGAGCTCGTCCTGTATCAAAGACAACAGAGACGAGGACAGGTCAGATCAAAGTCTGGCCTCTGTGTCACGACTGCGCTCGCCTTGACGGGCAGAAGACGTACCTGTAGTGCCAGATGGGTTCCGCACTTCCTACACACATACATCGGTGGCGCCTCACCCTTGTCCATGGGCAGGTAGTGTAGCCGCCCTCCCGCTCCAGCGGCAGAAGAGGCCGAGGAGTCTGCTGCCATCTTGGCGACGGTATAGGGCAAGGGACGTCACATGCAGTTATGGATAGCTCATCTTGAGATGGAGATTCGACCGGTAGTCGGACCAATCAGTGCGGGCCCGTGCAGTGCGCCGGAACCGGGACTGCCGGCACGGAGGGGAGCATCAGGCAGCCAAGGCAGCTTCTCTGAGTCTTCAGCAGCCGCCTTCCGACAGAAGCGACATGTAACAAGTCGTGTCCATTGCCAACGCATGCCAGCACGAAGCTGGTATGGAAGGAGGAGACCAGGCTGCCGACGGACCACAAAAAAAAGAGGTCAAGTAATGGAGTATACGCGACTCGAACGCGTGTCGATTCCTATATCGATGTGATAATGCGAAGGAAACATTCTGCCCCTGAAATAATACCCCGACGGTCAAGACCACTGAGAAATTTAGTCTCGGAGGAGAAGGCGCACCAATTGCACGTACCTATACTCTCTTGCTGTCGAGAAGGCCCCTGCTTTGCATGTCGTCGGCTCCACATCAGGCGGTTTTCAGTCTCGTTACTTTTTGCATGATGACGCCGACAATGGGAAAAGCTTTGCACACACTACTGAGCGATGGATGAGAGATGCACACAGAGTACAGGGAGATCCTACGGGCGATCTCAAGACATGGTCGAGTATGGACTCCGGAAACCTGCACTTTGATGCCCTCCAGCGGGTGGCCCCTGTCCCCCATATCCACCTTGCTGATGGTGAGGAACTTGGTGGGGCATGCTGTGCTGGTCGAAGGGTGAGAATGGTCCTGCTCCACCGGACTGCTGCTGAGCGGCTTGCGCCTGCTGCTGACGGTTCATGGACATGATGGCAGGGTCAAAGAAGGGGAGATCTAGAAGAGGAGTGCAAGCAAAGGATGGTCTGTTTGTGTTCAGAAACAGTATAGACATCGGCCTCAGGCCTTCCAATCTGACTCACCTCCTGGGGGCTGGTAGCCACTGCCGACTTCGCGACCGGCGCTGCCTTGCTGACCACCTGCATACATGTTCCTTCGAGCGCTGCCTCCTCCAGCCATGATTTGAGCCAATAGTGACTGTTCGGAGCTCATCGTACCGCCGTTGATACCACGATGCTGCTGCTGCTGCTCGCCATAGCCGCCACTGTAGCTACCGGTCTGCTGTTGCGCACGCTGCTGTTGTAGATCATGATACCAATTGTTCGAGTGGCCAGCATGAGGGGTGAATGGAGTGCTCGACGATGTGGAATTGAAGCTTGGCAACGAGGTCAAGCCAGGAGGTCCACGATGCTGAGCAGCCGGTTGCCCGGCTGGAGCCTCCGGCAGCTGCGATGCATGAGCCTGCTGAGCTGCTTGTGCTTGGGCCTGAGTCGCCCTTCCATAGATGTTCGTTTCCCTGTGAGCGGGTCCCGAGCCGGCTGCTCCCGTACTGCCATTCTCTTGCCTCAGAGATCCTGGCTCTTGGTCAAAGACACTTCCGAGGATACCCGAGACATCCTTTGATAGGGCGAGGGGGTCCTGATCGTTGTAGAGATCTGATCGAAGCGTCTTATTGTCCCTGAATTGTGGGGACGCGCTTGAAGAGACCGGATCTCGCTTGGCAAAGTCGAAGCGACTCGTTTTGGCGTCGGCACTCGATGCCATCTCACCATTCGCTTCCTGCGCCTCCTCTGAAAGTCCCCTTTGCATCTCGTAGATTGCTCTGAAGGGACCTTCGTTGTCAGTAGCCCCGCCGCCACTGCTAATCGTGAAGGTGTGCTCATCGCCAGCAAATGGATTGAAGGGACCTGAGTAGACTGCAGAGGCAGACGGTGATGACGCCCCTTGACCATTCGAATGCACTTGCAACGAGCTGTCAAGACCAAAGACGGATACGCCACTGCTTACTGCAGGGAAAGCAGCGAATGCGGGAAGGCTTGGGGCATCACGTGCTGCACCTTCACCATCATGGTCTGCATTGGCAGCGCCGTCTGTCATCGTCGGGAAGTTGAAGCTGAAGTCTCCATCGCTGAAGCGACTAAGCGTGTAGTCGAAATCCGGGAAGGGGCTCTCATGCGGCTGCTCTGACGTCTCGGCAGCTTCCCTGCGCTGTCTCATGTCGTCCAATACTGCTTGAGCAGAGGCAGAAGGCTGGTAAGCTGAAGCGTCTGAAGAGGGCGGGAGAGGCGAAGATGCGCGAGACGCTCCAAGTCCAGGAGGAGGCCCTGTCGCAGTTCTGACCAAACCTGGAGGAGCAGAGGGCGTTGCTGAATGGGCTACATCGACTGATGGTCGCGAGGTCACCGGCGAGCCCGGAGGCAGCGAAGGAGTGCGAGCGCCTTTTGACAACCCGGGTGGAGCTTGCGGTGCAGCAGGCGAGACTCTGCCTTCATCGTTGGTATCCTCATCGTTCAGCCGAGACGCAGTCCGTGTAGTACCAGTAGCAGACGTCCGGGCTGATGTAGCTGCGCCGACAGGTGGGACACTTGCAGTAGGTGCCGTCTGTTTCGCTGCCGCTTTCGAGCCGGCCACGGCCGTCTTTTTCTGGCTAGGACTACTAGCTGACAATGGAGGCATATCGGAGTCCTTGAGCCCCCCCGAGAAGCTGCCATTGGTGAGCCCTGTCGTCACTGGTGTCAATGCAGGTCTTCCGCCGGAGGCCCATGACGCCGTCTTGGGCAATGCAGATGCCTCTTCCACGGATGAAACCTGGGGAGTGCCTGAAGAAGCAAGTTGTGAATGATTCTCCAGCGGCGTGGGCCCTTTTGCATTTGAAGCAGCAATACTGGCTTGTGCAGGCACAGACTTTGTCTTGCTTTCCATGTCTTTGGCAGCGTGACGGCTGTTTTGGTGGGTAGGACAAGGTCAGTGATGCTCGGCAATTAGCGTTTCGCACCGCCTGGTTTGGACTCACAGAGTACTGAGATCCTCCTTGGTGAAACTGTCAGCTTCCTCCCCAGGTTCATGCAAATAAGTGCAAGCCGGATTTGTGCATGGCAGATTGCGCAAATACGTCGTACAGTACTTTGTAGTTCCGTAGCTGGCCCGCAGGATCTTGCCATCAGTCCCTTTGCTACCGTCGATGGCGACGATGGCCCTTGCCGCATCTTCTTTGCGATGGTATGTCACATAGACGCCGATGTTCGATTCTGAAGTGCCCATCACCAGCTTCGAGGCAGTGGTTCGTTTTGAGATGAGGATCTTTGAGATACGGCCATATTGGCCAAAGTACTCGTTGCTCCTCAGAGTTGGTATGAGCTACCCAAAGGTAGAGAAAGCCCTGTCAGCAGCGCAGACGTTTGACCTTGCCGTCGTACTCTGTACTCACTTCTTCCTTTGCCAGCTTCGAGCTCAATCCTACCACGTAGACAAGATTCTTCTGAACGACGCGCATGTTGGCCAAATGCTTTCGATTCATATTCTCAAGCTCCTTCTTCTCCTTTTCCTTTTGCTTCTTGGCTTGAGTCAGCCGTTTGATCCTATGGGTACGCAATGGAGTCAGTATGACAATTGAGGCTTGGCGACCCTCCACGCTATTATGAAACAGGCTGTTCACTCACTCTTCTGAGCTCATTGGCTTGAACTCAATCGACTGATCCGAATACTTTCTCCTACAAGCAGGACACCTGCCATTGAGGTTCTGCTTGATGTGGTGCCAGCAGAATCGGCAGATCTGGTGAGAGAAAGGAAAAACCAGGTCAGTATAGCCAATGTACAGGCGGAGAGCGGTCAATACGAATCCTACTCACTTGGTATCCACAAGGGCAAGGCTTGAAGTTGGCATCGGATAGATCGATCTCTTCCAGACAGAGGGGGCACTCCATGTCCTCCTGCAGATGGGTGGAAGACATGACCAAGGAGAGGTTGAGATGAGCATTCGGATTCGCCGCCGAACCCACGATGGCGGAGTGAATTCGGCATGGCTTTTGGCTTCGGCTACTCACCTCATCATCCGACCAGTAAGCATCTTGTAGTCTGCACTGCTGAGCCGCAACGGTATCGACCTTTTGCGGGGCTGGTGGCAGTCCCTCCTTTTGCGAGCCTTCTCCTGCATCACCATTGGTCTGACTACCCCTTCCACCCCGCTCCCCGCTGCCACTGGCAAGCAGAGGAGATTGAGCGGGTGAAGGTGAGGAGAAGCCGGCAGCTCCCGAGGCGGCGAGTCCGAGCGGCGGAAACGGTGAACCGTTGTGGTGATTGTGGGCGTGTGAATGGCTCGATGTGGTGTTTGCATTCTGCTGAGTATGATGATGGTGATGATGGTGATGATGATGCGACCGCTTGGACATGATGTGAGACCAGCAATCGAAAGACTCGATCGTAGCTGGGAATGTTCAATCTGCCGATTTTCTCTCCTTCGATTTGTCTGGAGAAGCTACGAGCAGACGTCGTACGACTGTCCTTGGTCTATTTCCAGATGCTAATGCTAACGAAGCGCGTTAGGAGCGCCGGAGGAAGAGGTTCGACTGACAAGCAATGACATGCAACGCGACAGGGCAGCCTGAGAATGTCGCAGAGTAGGTAGGGAGAAAGGTTGCAGACGAGGCGGCTACGGTGATGGCTCCACGTAGTAGAGGAGGGGATGAAAGGTGGCGGAAGGTGGACGGTAGAAGTGGTCAAGAAGTCGGTCTGCCTGTCTGCCTTGTCTGTCTGCCTGCCTGTCTGTCCGGCGGCGGTTGGTGCGATGCCATGAACGACGTCTTGTCCGAGGAGCGTCGACTACATTTTCTCTCCCCGCGCGTCCTCGGAACCGCACTGCTGCCCCCCCACACGGAAAGGGCGTAGACGACCTCACCCAGGCAGGCAGGCAGGCAGCCACTCGGCGGGTGGAGTGAGCAGCAGTCCGTCCGCCGGGATAACTACCATCGTCCGTACCGCCTGCCACATTCCTACCACCAGCCTTGTCCGCCAACTCCGCACCTCTCATCATGGCGGCTGGACTGAAGAGTGAGTAAACACTGCTATGTCGCCGCGTACGATATTGGCTGACCTTCTTCGCCCGACGTCCGCGATCATTAGCCATCATCCTGCTGTCCTTCGTTCTGGCAGTAGGCTTTCTCTTGATCATCCTCTCATGCGCGTTGTGGTCCAATTGGCTGCCGTTGCTAGTCGGTAAGTATTCGCGGTGGAGAGCTCGCCAGCCTCGTGTCTGCTCCATAGGCTTCCTCACGACCCTTGTTGAGCATTGACTGACCTTGTATCCATCCCTTTCGTCGCAGCTCTTCTATACGTTCTCGCGCCATTGCCGAACAGCATCTGTGCAAGATGCGCTGGAGCGGATGACTTCTCGGCAGATTACAACAGGTGAGTCAAGCGATGGAACACGGCATTACCGAAATCTAACGTCACTGGCTCACATGGACTTTCCTCGCTTATTCTTTGCCAGCTCTTTCCTCGACTTTGGCAATTGGCTGACATCAACAATGGTCGTGTCTGGCTTTGCCCTGCCGATTACGTTGGCACATGCTGGTGTGATTCACTCTATGGCATGCATCATGGCAATGGTGGGAGGCGCCCTCGTCTACGGTACAAGTGAGTTTCAGCGAAGAGGGTGCAAAGAGCACGACCAGAGCCAGCCCTAATCTTCTTCCCTTTTACGCCCCCATATTCCGCCTTGACAGTTCTGACCTACTCGGGCTTCTTCAGTGAGACGTCGGACGACTACTTCTGAGCAGAGCAGTAGCGCCTGTGTAGTTACACATCTCCAGTCTCGTGGCGGTGGCGCCGGCCTGACCGTTTACAGATACCAAACGCAATCGATGCAGATTTATGAGCAATTGTGCCAGAAGCTCAACAATTGACACCCGTGGGGTGACATGACACATTCCACAAGCTCCCACGGCATGCCTCTCGTCTCACTCAGTCTTTACGCTGATCCTGATAGAGTCTTGCGCTTTGCCTGAGTCACTAAGGCTAGGTCGGAGGCTCCGTCACCGCTCCAGCGAACGAGATTCCGTACGAGCGTCAGTAGATCAGACGCAATGGGAGAGACTGAGTAGTGATTGTTGCGCAGGAAAAGTGGTGGTATACGTGCACAAAAGGGGCTGATATAATACAGTGAGATGAGGGCGTCTAGAGCATAGGCAAAAACCTAGACGGCGTGCTCATTAGAGGCTTTGGTCGCACTAGCATTGGCAAGCGTATGACTGTGAGCGTGAGGGACAATGTCGCCCACTGCAGGCTCAGCGAATGGATTTGAGAGGTAGCCGTGAGAGATCAGGGCCAGGGTGACTTCAATTGCGATGACTGTCCGAGGAGAGGTGTAGCAGAGGCCAAGAAATGTCAGAAGTCTGCTATCCTACGCGGGTGCCCTGTGACCATTCAAAGGCTTCTTCGCACTCACGGGCAATGATGATGACTTCCATCCTGTGCGAGCTGCCCTCGGTAAGTAAAGCTCGAAGCACACCCATAAGATTCTCGGCATGGTCGAGCTGCTCATTCAACGCTCGGAAGCGCTGCTCGATGTCCAGGGTCTGGCAGATGGAATCGTAATGCTCTGCAAGTGGAGGAGGTAGGAAGTGTCAAAGCAGCTTCGACATGGGAGGCTTGCAGGTAGCACTTACTCACCTTCCATGCGACCGTTCTCCCAAAACAACTCAAGCTCCTCCACCTTACTTCCCTCTTCTAGATTGACCATTTGCCGTAGCTTGAGCAACCGGCCCATCTTCCTCACGACCTCCTTACGGCTGATCGGCACCCTACCCTTCTTTTCAAGCAAGAGGGGTAGGGTCGAGACCGATGAGAGATACTCTGAAAGTGATGCCTCCTGAGAGGACAAGCGCGCGGAGAGAGCGAGTCCTGCTGAGAAAGACAGGCGTGCCAGTAGGGGCGACCAGGGGTCCGAAGACGAGTCTACGTCTGGCGGTGCTTGACCGAGAATCAGCACGTCTCCCACGATGCGTGTGAAGCTAGGGGGGACAGGCAAATGTGGTGGAGGAAAGAAAGCGGGATCAGACCGTGGTTCCGGATTCCCGCACGAAGCATGCGCAGGGAATGTACTTACTCTTGCTCGTTGACGACGAACTCCATTTCCTCCTCTCCCACATCCTCGTAAGGTTCCTTCTCTATGAGCGGCTGCGATGCTGCTTGTATCGCACCTCTTGGACTCAGTACGCTCCCTCTGAACCTCTGAGCCTGCTCGGCGTTGAGCCCCCAGGTGATGTAGGCTCCGGTCCGGAGAATAAACACCTCGCCTGATGCTGAGCGGCCAGGTTTGCCATGTGTATGTGGATGATGGTGGGCAGGCCAGGAGGGTAGGTAGATGACCTGGCCATCCTCCATGAGACGCCAACCCGGAGGCAATCGACCCGAATTGATCAGAGCGGCAAAGTCATAAGACGAAGCAGTGGCGAAGGCTAGGACCTCTTGCAGCTGAGGCGGTACAGCTGCTGCAGACGTCGTTGATGGGCCTGCCGCGCCTCGCGACTCGGCGATGTTGGCTTGGGCGTAGTCGTCCTCTGCCAAGGCGGCTGCTTCTGCTGCTTCTGCGTCTGTGTTGCCCGGCGCCGCCGAGGCTGGAGCGAGCTGTGACCGCAGGAGTCTCGAGGTACGGGCATTGACTTTCGAGGAGGGCTTGCTGGCCTTTGTCAGCTTCGACGGAGATGCTTTGGGAGCGGGTGGCGGAGGCGCGGCAGACGAGGAAGACGAAGAAGCAAAGCGGTAGGATGGTTGAGCGATCCGTGTCAAAGGAGTTTGCTGCGTTGGGGCGACGAGAGTGCGCCCGAGTGCGCGTGAGCCATACCTGAACATCACTGCTAGTTGTGGGGCCACGTAAGGTCGAGGTTGCCTGAATGGGACCTGAGCTGCTTTGCCTGCTATGAGATCCACCACGACGAGGGCAATATCTCTGCTCCACGTTCAGATCTAAACGACTTCTTCTCCTCGTCGCTGCTGACTGGCTCCACTTCCCTGCCTCCGTTCCGTCGCGTCCCCCGCGCCTGCGTCTGTCACACCTTGGCTCCTCGTGCGGCATCACGCTCGGGCGGAGTTGCAAATCTGGCGACGGTGTTGATTCCAAGCCACACCTTCGACTCGAGGCTGCCATTCCTCGTTCGGTCATTTCAACTTGCAACTCTCCCACCTTTCCCAGTCTCTCATCTTCACCATCGCCGTTGCTATCGCCATCATCGTCATCAGCAGCAGCAGCGTTCAAAACACATGCCCTGCTAGTCGAGTCATCATCTTGTCATCCGATCACCACACAGCGGCCGCGTTCCCTTGCTAGTGTGTCTACAGCCATCAGCCTCCTAGCCGTCTAAGCGCCCTCTACAATGCATCGCCATCGAGCATATGTAGAGGAGGAGGACTACGATCACCAGGATCAATCTGTCTCTATGGGTACTCTCCACAACTACGTTCCCTCGAAGCACGTCGCAAGTGTCGCAAAGAAGTCTCAGATGCCTCGGCCATCTTCAGAGCTGGACGCCGGACTTCGAGTACCGAATTGGGGCCCGCCGATCCCCTCCTCGACTGGCGAATCACATCGCATTGGTATGGAAGGAGCTTTCAAAGTCGACAGCAGAGAAGAGGGGCGAAGAGATCATCGAGCACGGCCCTCTTCGAGCGCTTACATGCCTAGCTCACCCGGCATTGCCCGAGCAAGCGGGCCGATGTCCTCTTCTCGCTATCAATCCCAGCGAGGTGCCCAGTCTTCACCCTATCGCCGTCCCCATCATCTCTCACATCAGCAAGCAGCAGTTCGCAATAAGAACTACACAGACTCAGCTTATTCTTCTGGCTCCTCATCATCAGGTGGAGCCTCTTCGGAGGACGAAGCCGAATCGCCTTTCCGACCTCATGCGAATTCCAGGGAGAGTACCGGCAATCATCGAGCCCTCGCTGCTAGCTCAGTCATCAACTACGAGACGCTCCGTCCAATCTCTCGTCCCGCGCTTCCCAGAGATGCTCTCGATAGGCTAGATCAGTGGGCCGCCAGCGCTTCCGCTTCGGCGTCGGACAGTGAGCGGTCCAACGTGAAGCATCAGCGTCAGCAGATCAAAGACGCAGACGAAGCGAAGCTCAGACGCGCCCGTGTCGATTCTTGTGACCCAACATACGAGATTGTTCCCAAAGCGGTCGCATCGAGCCCAGCAAGGTCGCCCCTTCGTTCAGACACCAAGAATCGGCACGCGTTCAGCCCTGGAAGCCCTAGTCCTGCCCCTACTCTCCGGCCCGACAAGGGGCCGCGGTCCCGACGAGAAGGACCGTCTCAATTTCAGACCCCTCAAGAACCGCCTACGCCTACCACCATGAGCGCCTTTGCCGACTTGGCTGGGCAGATCGGTCGCGATCTCATGGGCGTTGACGAGGGAATGGGCTGGGAGAGAAGGCAGGCGAGCAAAGCTACAAGAGATTCCAGCGCGGAAACTCTGGTGGAAGAACCTCAACAGCTTCGACGGGAAACACAAGAGAGGAACACATCGAGCAAGACGAACGCTGCAGGCTATACTAAATTCTTCGGAGAGCCGGAGAGGACACAGGGACAGCTACTGCTACCCTCTGGCGTCTCAATGGGTCGAGGGGCGCATGTGCCCCTCCTCTTGCCAGAGGACGTAACCGGCCTCACTTCCGCTCTCGAGTCTCCGGTCAAATCACGACTTGGCGTTCGCCATGCTACGCTTCACCCTTCTCTTGGAAAGGCAGGTCTGGGTGACCGCAAGATGAAATTAGCCGACTTGAAGGAGTTTGTTCTCGGCATCGAGGAAGAACTTGAGCTGACTAAGGAGCGTCTGGAAGGCGTCGAGAGCAGAGGGGTCGAGCTGAGAGATGACCTGGACCAGATGAGGAACGAGTGGCGCCATGGACATCTTAGGGCTGATGGACGAACTTCTCGTGAGGACGAAAAGCGATATGCCGACAAGATCAGCGCAATGTCTCAGCACATCACCACACTCAGTCACGACTTAACATCGTACAGGGCAGCTGTTGAAGAGATTCAACATGCAAAGCTGGTGGGCCAGCAGCGACAGAGCCGACAGAGGCCTGTCCCAGATCGGCATGTTGAGCTCCAAAAAGGCGGACATCATGGTCCAGAGACTTACAGTACCGAGTTCGAGTATCGCCAGCTACAAGAACAGATTCTGCATCTTGAAGACGAGGTGAAGCGATTACACCTGGTGGTCGAGGGTCACAACGACCGCGAAGAAGAGGCGACAGAGGACATCGCAGCTGCTGGGCGGATCAACCTTGCCGATCAGCGACACCTCAATACGCGACGGCCATCATCCAGAAGCAAGCAGTTGTCTGGTGCTCGTCACGCCACTCGATCTTCCCCCGCCAGAGCTGAGAGTCAGACTCGCCGGCTTACTTTCGCTGATCAGCCTGAACCTCTGCCCGGTGGGCGCAAGGGTCGGTCCTCACAACCCAGCTCTGACGACCGATATAGCGACAGTCAGCCTGCGCATTCTTCTCAACCCGCTCCAATCATCAAAGGAACAAGCATGCGGCAGACCACTGTCGCATCCGACGAGGACGAGGGCAACGAGACCCCGAGACCCTCTTCTGCTCAGTCTGCTACACGGTCTCGCTCGCGAGCCCGTTCGAGCGACAAGTATGCCCAAGACGAAGATGAGGACGTCACTCAAGCTCAAACGCGGGTCGATCAGACCACTCGATCCGTATTCGCTTCTAATCATCCTCCTACACACAAAGCTGTCTCATCCCCAGAGGCTCTGAGCTTCGAACACGACGCAAAGAATTGCACCGTCTGTCTCGCGCGCTCCCGCAAGGAGACTCACCGGACAGGTCGACGGCAACGCGTTATGGACAGTATCCGGCAGCAAGAGGGGAGCATCACTGCCAACGAAGAGGACCTTCTTCTTTCTTTACTGCAGTCGAGCAGCGCACGCCAGCCACTCAGCGGGGAACAAGAATCTCTCCTTCAGAGGCTCATCAAGCAGCACATCGATGAATTTCTCCATGCTCGGATGCTGTATGCCGAGTTGGCGGACGAGCTGAAGAAGCTTCACCCTGAAGACGAAGGCATGACGAGCGAGAAGCGGAAGATTCTCGTGGAGCACGTATTGGAGAGCGTGGAGGAACTCGAGGCCAGGTGCGGGAGGATCGAGGGGCTGAAGAGGTTGAGGTCAGCAATTTCGGTGAATGGAAGAAGTTCTCCTCCCACGACGGATGCAGTCAGATCAAGCTCTGGCAATCCTCTTCTGGGTGGAAAGAGCAAGCGAGTCAGCAGAGTCGAATCCGGTCACAAGGGTCCAACACATACCACTCTGAGTCGCGCCTTGGCAAACAGTCCTCCGCTTGTCGACAGAGTGGCGGGAAGGAAGTGAAGAGATGCGAATATACCCCAACAAAGCGAGCCTGGCTCTTCTCAATCCTTCGAACTTGAGCCATGCCGTTGTCATTTACCTATATCCAATCATGCTCTGTACGGCTCTGCGCAGTCCAGCGTTCTCATTCTGTCAATGTCATACTGCCCTTTAAATTTAGGTGTCAGCCTGAACTGCAAGGCCTGATGTAAGCTGACGATCTGCATTGGCATCCTTTCACTGCAGTCCGCGACATCCTAAACAAATCAGCAGGCATGAGGGAGATGGCTTAGATTGCTTGAAAAGTCTAATCGTACAGAGAGTGACGAGGGGGAGGATAGGTATTATGCCAGTGACGATTTCAAAAGTTCAAGCGCTTGTCTAATGCTGGCAATGCTTCCGAGAATGTGATTTTGTTTGATAAATAGCTCGAGGCTACCAGGGATGGCGACATCTATCGCATGACGGTCTGACTGTAGTCATACTTGTTGTAAAACTTCTCCGAGTCGGTCTCAACGCCTTCTGCACTTCTCTTGGCACCCCTCTTCTTGCCGCCTTTGCCTTGCTCTTCGCCCTTTTCTCGAATATCTCGATCCTGTCTCAGCCATTTGAGAGCCAGAGTGAGCAACAAGCCGTCTTTGGTGATCTCTTCACTTCCGGACGGCGCCGTTCCGAGCAGCTGAGAGAGGTCGGAGGTAGACGCTGGCGGCCAACGAAGAGTATTGGTCTCTGCTTCCATCTGCCCCTCCTCTACAAGCCCTCCCAGCCGCATGTGCACGACGTGGGACGGGAAGTCGTAAAGGCCATCGAAGATGTGTGTCGCGTAGACAATGGTAGCACCCCGCTGCTCCGTTTCCTCCTTTAGGAACTCCAGTAGATCAGATCGGACCTGAACGTCGAGGTCGACGGTGACCTCGTCTAGCAAAAGGACAGTCCACGGCGTCATCAGGCCCATGCAAAGCTGCACCCGTCGTCGTTCGCCGTCCGAAATGGCATGCATGTGCCACTGTAGATCTACGTCGAGCAAGTCAAGCAGACGATCGCGGCGCTCTTTGTACCTGTAGCCGCCGACAGAGTTCAGAAAGTCCTCTACGACGATGTCGGATCGTACAACGGGGTTCATTGCCCACTCGGTGCCCAGATAAGTGATACCTTGTGGGGGCGAGTTGAATACATCCTTTCCAAACATTGTCACTGGAGTGTGATCTCGAGAAGTAGACACCAATCTCTTACCGGCCAGTAGTCGAAGCAGCGTTGACTTACCCGCTCCGTTGGCGCCGATCAGGAGAGTACGTGAGCATTGAGGCAGCGTGAGATTGACGTCGACCAAGGATGGCGTGAGGTCAGATTGGAACGAGTACGTCAGATCGGTGACCTTGATCGCTGTCGGCTGGGCAGAGAAGTCAACGGCTGAAGGGGCAGTGCTGGCAGCCTTGTCGCTCTGTTCCCACTTCCAGTAGCCTTGCCTTCCCTTGAGCTTGTCCTGCATCATCTTGACCGCATCGATGGTCGCCGCTCCCCAGTCACCTTTGTGGTTGTTCTGGACGTCCTCCTCCTTGACGAAATGGATGAGCTGGAGCCCTTGAGGAGTGATGAAGCCATTCTTTGATGCAGATTCTACAAGGAGCTGCAGTGGGGACCAGAATTGGTTGACGTCTACCAGGACAATGGGCAGATTGTGAATGCCCAGTTGTGACCAAGTGACCATTTCGAATACCTCCTCAAAAGTTCCATAGCCACCAGGTAGGCCGACGAATCCTCGCTGAGACTCCTTTGCCATCAGAGCCTTTCGCTCGTGCATTGAGGCCACTACACGAGTCTCCATGCGATGGTGTTGTGCCACTTCACTGGAAGGCAGCTGGTTGGGTCCACTGCCTTCCTTCGAAGCAGGAGCCGTGCCGGTGGTAGGATGTCCTGAGGGGGAACTTGTAGCCATGACAGAGGGTATCACGCCTAGTACCGAGCCAGAGGTTTTGAGGGCAGCACTAGCTACGGTACCCATTCTAGGAGAGGAAGCGAGACATGAGGGCAGATGAGGTGAGATGGGGACTCTAAAAGCAGCAACTCAAACGACGACTCGTCTTTGTCTCGATACTCACAGGCCCTTTTGTCCCCCGCCGTATACGAGCCTCCATTGCTCCTTGGCAATGGCCCCACCCACTTGGGCAGCTACCTCGGCGTAGACGGGGTCCTGACCGGGCGACGAGCCACAGAAGACGCAGACGGAATCGGCGGCCGAAGGAGCGGAGGTATCAGAGGGCATCGCAAAACACAAAGCAGGAGTCAGAGTGATGGAGAGGAAGCCAAGGAGGGTCAAGGAGGGAAGACGATTGCGGCAAAGGAGAAGAAGTTGTGGTGGTGGTGGTGTGAGTCAAGCCCAGGCCAACCATTGCGGATCTCCGACAGGCGCACGGCTCAACTCAAAGCACGCCTCTGCCCCTGTAGGCTTGGTCAGCCCTGCACCACCACATTCTCGGATCGGAATCAAGGGATCAGCGTGCAAGGAAGCTCGGGCCTCACTTGCCAGCCAGGCAGCCAGACGTGACGTGAGCCATCTGTCCAATCAATGTCTTCGGCTGGAGAACCTGTCTTGCTTTGTGATCTGCGTCCTTTTCGAGGAGTCTCGGTGTATGTAACGTCCCACTGGTGAAACCAGCACACGCTGCCCGATGCAGGAGCGGCAGCAGCCATTGTCACCCAAGACTGTGGAGGTGCTGACGTAAGCTCAGTCAACGCCCGTCTCCGCTCGGCCATTGCGAGAGCAACACAAGGGATTCAATTGAATTCGCCGTCCAGTCGTGAACCTCTCACCTTGCCATCACACCAGTGAAAGCCTCTCATACATCCTTCAGATCCCTCAACACCTTCCCAACCCCTGCTCCACTTCACTCAGTCACTCGGTGTCTCCTTTTGTGCCTCTCTCGTCGGCTTTCTCCAGCAAGCCAGACATCGGCTGGTCCGGTGGCGAGGTACGGCCTCCTCTCACTAAGCGGCTATGTCCTCGAATGCAGATCGCAATTCATCCCGAGGCGTGGCAGACACCAGTGGCTCTCATCCAAGCCGATCCTCCTCGTCTATCGCCTCCTCATCCCGACTGCCACCTCTCTCACCTGAGCCAGAGCCTACGACGGACAAGAAGCGTCACCGAGAAAGTGGGACACCAGAGGAGAGCTCGTACGGGTCTGAGCAGAGCTCTTCGCAGAGGCAGCGTCTGAACGATGGTTCCCGTAGAAACAGAAGCACCGTCACGGAGGCCAGTGCTGCCGCAAGGGCTGACAACATCCCTCAGGCAGATGCCCACACTAGCGTCGGCTCTTCGAGCTCTGGACAGCAACCCTACCTTTCCTACCTTCCGCCGGCAAATCCCCCATCCCTACCACTGAGTCCCAATCCGCCATCGCAATCATCCAGCACTTCACCGCCGCGGGTACGGCGTCCACCGGTATCACAGTCGGCTTGGTCGGCTCTGCGAGAGCGGATGGGCTCATCTTCGTCAACATTGTACGCAAGTCGGCCCTCGTTACCTCTTTCTGGTGCTGAACGCGTGTTGCCCTCGCCCGATGTTCCTGGACAGAGCACCCGACAAGAGACGGACGCCTTTCCTCGTTCCCCTGGAATACCTGTTGATCACTCGGCTGCAAGAAGCTCTACCGATCCTGTTGTCGCGGGCAATCCACCCCGACCGGCGACTCAGCCGTCCTCTTCACGCTGGGGACCTGGTGCTGTTGTCGGAGCTCTCATGTCCGATATCTTAGGTTTCACCGCCAGAACTGGCAACGCCTTGCCTGGTCCTGGCCCACACGCTAGACCTGCGCAGGTAAACCCCGGCACAAGCACAACAAGTACATCAGCGCCTGCTCCTGTTCCTCGGCCCCCAGTCCGGCCGCCATACCATCGCGGCTGGCCTACCATGGCCCCACCCCCGCCGTTTACGCCACCAGGCGGCAGCCGCCCCACTAATCAGGCTGCTGTTCCCGCCCGTTTCTTTGGCCTTGGAGGGACCAGCATCATCGTTCAGGGAGCGATGGTGGCGAGATTGAATCGAACGGAGGTCGAGTCCACGGGCGGGACAGCGAATTCGGAAGCCACTGCAGGACCTAGAAACGAATTCGCGCCCGTGGACGGTGGCATTGGGTCAGAGAGAAGCAGTCGATATGAAGCGCCAGAGACCTCGGACGCAAACACTGGCACAAACATTCCGACTTGGGGCGATGCCCAGGCGAGCATGCTGACCAGGCTTCTGTCGATTGCTGCTGCTGCAACTGCTTCCTCGCTTGTGTCCCCTCCAGCAGTGTCAGCAGTAGGCGTGAGAGCTGAGTTGGCCAACCCTCCGGGACTTCCGGCAGATGGCCTACGAGCACAACGAAGCCAGATGTCAGCTGGCATATCTGCGGGTGCCTTTCATCCTCCTACCTCAGCATCCGGCGGTGGCGGCGGCTCTGAAGGTGTAATGCCATCTTGGGTCTCACATCAACGCGGCGAGCCCCACAATAGCAGTAGACTGAGGCGATCCATCGCCTCCCTGACTTCCCGCGTCTTTGGTCGCTTCTCCTCCCAGCAAGGCCTGGATCAGACGCGTTTGCCTGGGGACGGTGCTGCTCAGACATCCTCCACTGCCGGCATTACCAATACCAGCGATGACGAAGCGAACGAAGTAGATTCTTCACTGGGCGCCGGCTCGAGGTCATACCCTGCAGGTCGCGACCACAATGGCAGTAGTACGAACAATACCGATGACAGCGATGCCAGGCGTGCTCTGTCGATGAGTGAGATGCTTCAGGAGGCGATGAGAGAGGGCAATGCACCGGATACCGCTTCCAGCACAGCGGCCAATGGGTCGTCGGAGCCTAGGGCAGCGACGGCTGCTGGCGTCAACAATGCCAACGCGGCACGCACTGCTACAGCTGCACCTGTTCCTCCTCAGCCCTCACCGGCAGCATATCTAGCAGGAGTCCTCACGGCCGCAAGAGAGAATCGTCTGCAGCGAGGCCCCGAAGGCTCCTTCGAACGATGGTTGTACGACTTGTCTGACGACCTTGATCATGCAGTTCGAACCATGATAACCACTCAGGTGTCGCAAGGGTCATTGAACGCCACAGCGGTAGGTGTAGACGGAGAGGACTCCGATCTTGCTGGTACTAATGACTCTGATCACAGGCACAGTGATCAAGGTGCGCAGAGTAGACGAGCTCTTGATGTGGAACAAGGCCAGCTCAGCTTCTTTCGTCTGTTTCGACTTGATGGACGAGGCCCGCAGCCATCGACGACCAACCACACAAGCACGACGGCGTCAGGCCCAGCCTCAGCGGCGTCTTCTGCCTCCGAATTGCCTCCGAGGAATGAACCGGGTCTGGTGCCTTGCGTTGTCGTTGGAGTCAGGTCTCTGTCCATGACAACCCAACCGATCACCCCGCAGCATGCTGTAGAGCGCTTCAGAGGTCTGTTGGCCGGGACACCAACGGACTCTCCAGCAGGCCACGTACATGAGCAGAGCACGGAACGTAATGATGGCACCACGACGTCCACCACCAGTGAGGACGGCTCTTCTGCCTCCAGGTCTGATGATCGCCCTTCGAGGGATCAGAGCACAGCAACCAGCGCAAATCAAAGTCAAGGTTCTCCCGCCACGGCAGACGTGGAGAGGGGCACATCTGCAGAGCAGAACGACTCTTCACGCTTCCTCCTCTTCGTCTCGGGAGGCTTCTACCCTCCCGCGCATCCCTTGCTCTCTACTCCTTCCAATGTTGCAGCCCGCGACCTTATGCTTCTGATTGAAGTCCTCTCAAATCTCAATTCCGCAAACACCGCCAACGCCGCCTCGGACCAAAGCGCACGAGTGTCGAAAGAGGACTTAGAAAGGAGTGGGCCAAGCGTCAAGAAATGGATGGACATCAAGGCCAGCGCTGTCGAAGTCGATGCAAAGGAAGGCACGAAGACCGGCGAGGGCGGCAAAGGCCAGCTTGCGCCGCGGGCGGGCGATCGTTGTGCAATTTGTCTTGAAGAATGGTTGGACGAAGATGACGTTCGGATTCTGGGCTGCCGGCACGCGTACCATCAGGGCTGCGTCGACCAATGGTTGTTGAGCAGCAGCAACTCTTGCCCCATGTGTCGGCAAATTGCAGTAGGGAAGAATGGAAGGGACAGTTCGACCGCCACAGGGCAAGACTCCGCAGGTGCTGCAAGCACTTGAAAGATTTGAGCATCTAGTCATCATATCCTTCTTCGTACACAATAGACTACATCCAGTATGAGATCTCTGCGATCACTTGCTCGTCAGCACAGCCGCGGGCAAGTGTGTGTTCCACTTTGAACCTTTGCCGTTGTGATAACAGATGATGAACAGGTAAGAGAGACATTTTTCCGGGGGCGACTCAGGCGTGAAAGACTCATGCCTTCGCGAGGGATCACAGATGCTTCCTTGAGGTGAGATCTGAGACAAGTCTCGGGAGTCATTCTAGGTAGATTGTGTGAACTGCGATGACAACTTGGCAGCCGTCGCAGCGTAGCCGCGCTTCTTCTCGGTCGGCAATGAGCCTGCTCACTTTTCCTTCCCTTTCGCTGCCGGCGATGAATGGCGGCAAGCCTACAGTCTAGAAGACTGACTTCTACTCGGATGACATGAAAAGGCGGTGCGCACGCTGACTTATGGACCGTATCGAGTATTCAAAGGCGTACAGGACCTCTATTCTCTTCTGCTGCACTAGAGAGTGAGCATCGTTGACCTGATCAAGGTGAATTGTGCCGCCGTTGTGATCACGTCTCTGCAGCAACTGGCGCTGCCTTTGCATGTGTTGAAGCCGACCCACCCACTGATATTGCCTGTGACACCAATATCGAGCTCGGCGACCTCGTCTTACACATTGGTCAGCACACCCAGACCTGCTTATCGGGAAAAGCGACGCAGGACTGGAAATCGACGTCGACCTGTGCTGCGTCACTAACGGGTCGCATAACGACATTCCGCGTCAGGCCAGTCGGTTGGCAGCCATGCCGATTTCTTTAGCCGACTTCCGATGGCTGTGATGTAGCTGCGACGACCTCGCGTCCCAGCGTGCGGTTGTAATTACAACTGGGGTCCTCAAAGCAGCCCCGCGATGAGCTGAGCGCCCGGCATAAGGCCATTCGCTATAATACCGTTGCTCGATTACAGGGACAAACAGTCACGGCACCAGCAATGGGGAACAAGTTCCTGGTAGGGCTTCTTGGTGTCTTTCTAGGGGATTGAGGGGAGGGAAAGCCCGTCTGATTTTTCCTGGTA